GGCAGGAAGGATTTGGGGACACTGGTGCTGGGCCCTGCAGAATTCCCGGGAGAGCTTTGCTTGGCCCGGGAGGTTTTTCCCAGGTGTGCCTCAGAGGTCGCTGGGTACCACGAGCTGTGCCCAGCTCCTGCTTGGTACAGGGCAGAGATTCCCTGCTCCTCCTGCTGGGCCTTGTTCCCATCAGGAATCCCCCGGCACGGAGGATTTTCCTGCTGCAGCTGAGGAAGCTCGGCCCCGTCACCCTGAACCCCACGGGATGCACATCTGGAGCATCCCGGGGGAGTTTCCATGTCCTGGGAAAGACAAAGTGCTGCAGCACGGAAGGGACAGCCCCCAGACCCCACAGGGACAGCCCCCAGACCCCACAGGGACAGCCCCCAGACCCCACAGGGACAGCCCCCAGACCCCACAGGAGCAGCCCCCAGACCCCACAGGGGCAGATCCTACAGGAAGCAGCCCCAGACCCCACAGGGACAGCCCCCAGACCCCACGGGGACAGCCCCAGACCCCACAGGGGCAGATCCTACAGGAGCAGCCCCCAGACCCTACAAGGGCATCCCCAGACCCTACAGGAGCAGCCCCCAGACCCCACAGGAGCAGCCCCAGACCCCACAGGGACAGCCCCCAGACCCCACGGGGACAGCCCCAGACCCCACAGGGGCAGATCCTACAGGAGCAGCCCCCAGACCCCACAGGGACAGCCCCCAGACCCCACAGGGACAGCCCCCAGACCCCACAGGGGCAGATCCTACAGGAGCAGCCCCCAGACCCCACAGGGACAGCCCCCAGACCCCACAGGGACAGCCCCCAGACCCCAAAGCACTCTGGGCTGTCCCCAAGGGCTGTCCCCATCCCTGCCGCGGTAGCAGAAGCCTTCACCATCCACCCAGCCCAACTCTCCCTGCTGGAATTCTCTCCCCGGCGAGATCTAATTAGTTAATTCCCTTGCTATTTATAAATCAATGTGGAAATCCCTCTGTTTTTATTCCCAGCGCTGTCGGGTCGCCCTGGCTGGGCCCCTTTAACTCGGGATAAAATCCCGGAGCGGATGAGCGGGGCCCATGAATAAATAATTGCCTTAATTCCTCATTAAGGGCTGGGGGAATGGGGCAGGACGAGGGGCTGGGCCGGTCCCTCTCCCCTCTCCAGCTCCCGGCTCTGCCCTGCAGCCTCCCGGCGCTTAACACCCAATAAATTAATAATCAGCCGCAGTTTAAGTAGGTCTGGAAAGTGGAAAACAACATCCGCAAGGATCCGCCGTCCCCCCGGCCTGGCGGGCAGGAGCAGCAGAGATTTGTCTGCCTGTCCATCTGCTGGGGGAGCGGACAGACCGTAATCTGTCCGATCCCGCAAATTCCTGCCCCTTCCAGAGCTCCTGCTGCGGCTGGAGGAGGCAGAGAGCAGGGACGGGACCCAGCTCGGGGCTGGTGGCACTGGGAGGGTCTGGTGGTGCTTGGGTTGTGCTGGGATTCGGAAATTCCTGGTTTCTGATGGTTCGTGTCCTCCAGCACGGGGTCACCAGGCACACAGGGAGCTGGGAAAGGTGGGGAAAGTGGGAAAGGTGGGAGATGGGAAAGGTGGGAAAGGTGGGGGATGGGAAAGGTGGAAGCTGGGAAAACTGGGGGCTGGAAAAGGTGGGGGCTGGAAAAGGTGGGAGCTGGAAAAGGTGGGAAAGCTGGGAGCTGAGAAAGGTGGAAGCGAGGAAAGCTGGGAAAGGTGGGAAAGGTAGGAAAGCTGGGATCTGGGAAAGCTGGGAGCTGGGAAAAGGTAGGAAAGCAAAAACTGGGAGCTGGGAAAGGTAGGAAAGCTGGGAAAGGTGGGAAAGGTAGGAAAGCTGGGATCTGGGAAAGCTGGGAGCTGGGAAAGGTGGGGGCTGGAAAAGGTGGGAAAGCTGGGAGCTGAGAAAGGTGGAAGCTAGGAAAGCTGGAAGCTGGGAAAGCTGGGAAAGGTGGGAAAGCTGGGAGCTGAGAAAGGTGGAAGCGAGGAAAGCTGGGAAAGGTGAGAAAGGTAGGAAAGCTGGGATCTGGGAAAGCTGGGAGCTGGGAAAACTGGGAGCTGGGAAAGGTGGGAAAGCTGGGAAAGGTGGGAGCTGGGAAAGCTGGACAAGCAGCCGTGGATGTGCCTGGGGACCCACGGCCGCCCCAGGGAGCTGCAGGGGCAGCAGAGCCGAGCTGGGGGAGCAGGAAGGACGAAGGACGGAGCTGGGCACGGCCCGGATCCGCGGGGAGCTGTTCTGAGTGAGCACAGCGCTGGGAGAGACCGGGATGGGAGAGACGGGGATTCCTCGGGATGAAAGCTGCAGGGAAAGCGCTGCCAGGAGGGCCTGGCAGGGCGGGGGTGTCACTGTCACCCCCCAGCTTTGCCCCCAGTTCTGCCCAGCCCTGCTGCAGGTCGTCCTTTACACATCACATCCGTGTCCTGGTGCTCTGGGACACGGGGAAAGCTGGGATCTGGGAAAGCTGGGAGCTGGGAAAACTGGGAGCTGGGAAAGGTGGGAAAGCTGGGAAAGGTGGGAGCTGGGAAAGCTGGACAAGCAGCCGTGGATGTGCCTGGGGACCCACGGCCGCCCCAGGGAGCTGCAGGGGCAGCAGAGCCGAGCTGGGGGAGCAGGAAGGACGAAGGACGGAGCTGGGCACGGCCCGGATCCGCGGGGAGCTGTTCTGAGTGAGCACAGCGCTGGGAGAGACCGGGATGGGAGAGACGGGGATTCCTCGGGATGAAAGCTGCAGGGAAAGCGCTGCCAGGAGGGCCTGGAGGGCGGGGGTGTCACTGTCACCCCCCAGCTTTGCCCCCAGTTCTGCCCAGCCCTGCTGCAGGTCGTCCTTTACACATCACATCCGTGTCCTGGTGCTCTGGGACACGGGACAGGCGTGGGATGGAATTGTTTGTCCCCTCTGGCAAAACATGGAGAAGGTGAAGTGTCCATGGGGTGGCTGCTGAGCCCAGCCCCATAAATCCCCTTAAATCCAAGGAAACTCCTCCCCACAGGCACAGGGAACACGTTGGTGTCCCCAGCCCGACAGCCAGAGCCACGCTGGGGCTGCCACCAGTGGGAATGGGCCAGGGGGTACGAGCTGCTGGTGCCATTCCCTTGTGGGGCTCCCCGTGGCTTTGGGATGGGAGATGGGAATTCCCGTGTCTGTTGTGTGGAGGGATGGATTTGGAGGAGCCCTGCGAGGGCTGGAGCTGGTTGAGGTGGGTTTGGCACAGCCAGAAGGGGAGGGATGGGATGGGATGGGATGGGATGGGATGGGATGGGATGGGATGGGATGGGATGGGATGGGATGGGACATCATGGCATGGCATGGCACAGCAGCACAAGGCCTGTTTGCATTCCAGGATGAAATGCAGGTGGGAATAGAAGTGTGGATTCCCTGTGGGTATTTCCCAAAGCTGCTGGGACACCGGGAAAGGCTCCCCTGCCCTTTTTCCTCCCCAGCTGGGAACACCAGCCTGGAGCTGGGACTGGGAACAAACACCGCGTGCCCACTAACCCCCCACTCTGTCACACTCCTGATCTTCCCAAGAACCTCCCTGGAGCTCTGTTCCCAGCAGGGAACACCCTGCCCAGCTCCCCTGGCTCTCGGGACGCTCCGGCCCTCACGGCCAGCCCGGCAGCCGGCCAAGGGCTTTTTATCAACTGGCACCCAAAAGTCAATAAGGAAGATGCTGCCTGTTTTAATTAACAGCAATTTCGCTCTGCCGGGGGTGAGCCATGTGCCTTGGGGGAGGGAGGGAGGCCGGAGACAAAACATGACCTTGTTGGTGCAGCACACACAGCGGGACATTGTTTTCCCCTCGGAGTCTGGCCTTGGATGCTGCTGGGCTCGTGGCACAGCTGGGTGCTGGGGACAGGGGGTCCTGCCAGCCCTGGTGGCTCTGGAGCAGCCCTGGTGGGAGCAGGGTGACTGGAAAACTGCAGAGTTTGGGATGTGGCAGCTGGGAGCTGCTCTCAGGGAGTGTTGGTGGCTGGGGATGGAGCAAAAGGGATTTTGGGAGCCCTCAGTGAGATGCAGCGGTGGCTGCAGGGAGTGAATCCCGCTGGCACTGCTGGGTCCTGGCAGGGATCCTGCAGGCCCCAGGCCAGTGCCAACAACCCAACAGTTCAGTCCCGCTTTCCTTTCCCCTCAGTTCTCCTGTTCCGGGAAATCAGAGAGGAGGAAAAACCCAGAGGGGAAAAACCTCCCTGTGTGTGTGCCAGGGTGCTCGGGGAGGCACGGTGTGACATGGGACACAGCCTGTCCCCACGGCAGGACCTGTCCCCACAGCAGGACCTGTCCCCACAGCAGGACCTGTCCCCACAGCAGGACCTGTCCCCACAGCAGGACCTGTCCCCACAGCAGGACCTGTCCCCACAGCAGGACCTGTCCCCACAGCAGGACACCCCGGGGATGATGGGGTTGGGATGAGCAGGACCCTGGAATGAGCAAAACCCCGGGAGGGAGACACCCTGGGGTGACAGGACCACCCTGGGGTGACAGGACTGAGGCCACCTGTACCAGGACAGTCCTGGGGGGGACAGGAGGGGGCCAAGTGGCACCATGGGACCCTCCCAGGGGTGACAGGGCTGGGGGCACGGGCACCCCAAGAGTGACAGGGCTGGGGGCATGGCCACCCCAAGGGTGACAGTGCTGGGGACACGGCCACCCCAGGGGGGTTGGTGATGGGGGCACGGCCACCCCAGGGGGGTTGGTGATGGGGGCAGAGGCACCCGGGGGTTCTGGGCTTGGGGGGAGCAGCCCCCTAAGGGTGTCAGGTATGGGTGAGGGGCACCCCGGGGGTGACAGAGCTGCCAAGAGACCCCACCCAGGAACGGGGGTACCCCCACCCCACCCGCCCCGACCTTCGCTGCCGCACAGGCGGGGAGGGGGCTCGGCGGCCACCAGAACCCCCCGGTACCGGCGGGGCGGTGGCTCCACCGCGCTCCCCCCGCCCCCGGGGCGGGCTCGGCCCCGTCCCGCCCCCGCCCCTCGCCTTATCAGCGGCCGGCGGGGGGCTCGCCCCACTCCCGCCCAGCGCAGCCGCCGCGGCGGGGCCGGCACCTCCCCGAGTGCCGCACCATGGGCAGCCAGGGCTCCAAGGCGGCGGGCGGCGACCCCGACACCGCCAAGGCCAACGGGCAGGTGGGTACCGGGGGCACCGGGGGGGCACCGTGCGCCCCGCCGGGACGGGCGGCAGCGCGGACAAAGGGAGGGCGCGGGGATGGAGCCGAGGGGAGCCTTGCAGCCCCCCGGGGGTCTCTCCAGCCCGGCGGGTAGCGGGGGGATGCGGCACCGCCCGCGCCGCGCCCCGGGCTCCCCCCGGCACCGGGCGGGTCCCGTCCGCCGCCGCGCCCCGGTACCGGGAGCGGAGCGCGGGCGCCGCCCGCTGGTAGCGCGCTGGGCCCCCCCCCCATACCGAGCGATCCCCCCGGGAGACCCGAACCCGGGACCCCCGCACCCCCTTTTTGCGACTCCGCACCCCCGGTGCGCTCGTGTCCCTCGGGGGAGCCCCGCTGTGTGCCCGCTGCTCCCCGTTGGAAGCCCGCGGGCCCCCCCCCCCACACCGAGCGATCCCCCCGGGAGACCCGAACCCGGGACCCCCGCACCCCCTTTTTGCGACTCCGCACCCCCGGTGCGCTCGTGTCCCTCGGGGGAGCCCCGCTGTGTGCCCGCTGCTCCCCGTTTCCACCCCCCCGCTCCCCATCCCGGTCTCCTTTTCCCGGTGGATCCCCCCGTGCTCGGTCCCCCCCCCCGCCGCCGGGAGCCCTTTGTGGGATATTTGGGGAGGGGGCGCGGGGTCCCGGCGGTGCCTAACGCGCTCCCCCCGCAGGAGAACGGCCATGTCATCTCCAACGGGGACATGACGCCCAAGGCGGGGGTCGAGGCGACCCCCCAGAACGGGAACGGCTCGGCGGAACCCCCCAAGGAGGAGAGCGAGGGCGAAGCGGGCGCTGCGGACGGCATCGAGCCCGCCCCGGCCGCCGCCGAGCCCGCGGGAGAAGGGGCCGCGACCCCCAAGGACGCCCCCAAGAAGAAGAAGAAATTCTCCTTCAAGAAACCCTTCAAGCTGAGCGGGATCTCCTTCCGCAAGAACAAGAAAGAAGCCGGAGACTCCTCGGGCTCCTCGCCCACGGAGGAGCAGGGCAGGAGCGAGGAGAGCCCGCCCGGGGGGCTGCAACCCTCGGCGCCCCCCGAGGAGGAGCCGGGAGAGCCCAAGGATGGAGGAGAAGCCGCGGGCAGGCAGGAGGAAGAGGAGGAGGAGGAGAAGAATCAGCAGCAGCAGCAGGGAGGGGAGAGCCACGGAGACGCCGCCAAAAGCGAGGAACCCTCCAAAACAGCGGGGCCGGAGCCTACAGCGAGCCCGGAGCTGAAAGAAGAATAAAAACACTCGGGTATCGTCCTCAGAGGAACCCCCCCGAGCCCCCCGAGACCCCCCGAGCAGCCCCGGTCCCCACGGACTCGCCCGCACCCCCCGGACTGACACACGCCCCGCACGCCCCGCAGGTGTTTCTGTCTCTCTCTCTTTCTCTTTCTCTCTCGTTCTCCCCGTTCCTGGTAGGAAAACAAAACAAAAAAAAAAAAAAAAAAGCTGGTTTGGATTCCCACCGCCGCCACTCGGAGTAGTTTGAGCTGAATTCCTTGGGAAAATGAAAAGAAAAAAAATTAATAATAATAATAACAACAAAAAACAACAAGTGGGGAGGAAGATTTGTCCCGGACGCCTCTGGAGTTTACAGTTTGTGAGAAGCCGGATCCCAAATCCTGCTCTGGGGCTCTCCAGGCTGTCCCCTCCTCCCGCTCCCACTGACTGTTCAATGGAATTTTGGATTTTTTTTTTTTTCATTTAGTATTTTTTTTTTTCCTTTATTTCTCAGTTTACATTCCTGGTTCTGACTCTTCATTTCAAGTATTTCGTGCTTTTTTTTCTATAGAAATCGATGGTTTAAAAAGCTAATCTGGTTAGTTTTTTTTTTTTATATTTATAATATGTCTTCTATTGGCTTAAAACCATAAAGCTTGTAAGTCCGCTGTGTTTAATTCTGCTTTTAAGGGATAACTTTTAGGGTGTGGGGTGGAGAGAGGGGGCCCTGCCAGCTGTATAATGTGAAACCAACGTTGTTTTGTTTTTTCTTTTATTTTTTTTTTTTTCTCTGTAAATAATTTTTTAAACGGCCAAAAAAAAAAAAAAAAAAAGGGGGGGTTTTTTTTTTTTTTTTTTTCTCTGTAAATAATTTTTTAAACGGCCAAAAAAAAAAAAAAAAAAAGACAAAAAAATGCGACAAATCCAACCAAACAAAAGCTGTAAGGTTTGAAAGGAATAAACGGTGACCCCTTCGGGGGAGAGCTCGAGTCCTCCTTGTCCCGGACGCCAGGCCGGGGGTGGCAGTTGCTGCTTTAGCCCGACAGCTGCTGCCTTTAATCAGCGCCCGCGTTAATTGACCGGCGGCAGATGCAGAGCCGGCCACAAAGGACTTTCCCAGCCCAGCCCATCGCTGCTCAGCTGCCTGCTCCGCTCCTCTTTTCCTCCCAATATTTTATTTTTTTTTCTCGGAAAAACCTTGGGGATTTGACTCGGGATGAGGCGAAATTCCCGATTTGAAGCTTGGTTCCTTTTAATTTTTTTTTTTATTATTATTACTGTTTCTTTTAATTTAATTATTTTATTTTTTTTTTAGAGGGGGATTAGCTCCTCTGGGTTGAAAGGAGCGCACAAAAGGCGAGGCTGGGAGCAAAGATTTCCTGAACAAAGGGGAAAAAAAAAAAGGAGGCGACAATGGAGCCTCTGTCCCTGCTGCTGTCACCTGCACCATCCCCGGAGCTGCTCCTGTCACCGGGACTGGGGTGGCTTTTCCACGGCAGTTTTTCCATGGCAGCTCTTCCATTTCATAGCCTTGCTCCCGATTTTCCCAGCCCTGCTCCTGTTTTGGTCGGAGAAAAGCAAAAAAAAAATTAAATTAAATTAAAATAACCCCCAAAGCGTTGTTTGCCCAACGCTGGCGAGGGTAGGGAGCTTCGAGGTGGGTGGGAATAGCCAAAAAATTCCGTGTTTTGTGCCAAAAAAAAAAAAAAAAAACAACAAAATCGGGGATTTACTTCCCAAATGGATTCGTTTGTTTCAGCAGAAGGGGGAAATAAATGGGTTTTTAAACCCAGTTTTGAAGGCAAGGTGGGATTTGGGAGCGTCCAGGCTCTTCCTCAAGGTAGGTGGGAATATCAAAAAATTCAGTGTTTTGTGCAAGGAACCAAAATCAGGGATCTGCTCCTCCAGGGAATTCATTTCTTTGAGCAGAAGTCTGAAATAAATGGATTTTTTACCCAATTTTGAAGGGAAACTGGGAGCATCCGGGCTCTTCCCAAGCCTCGAGGTAGGTGGGAATACCAAAAAAATTCAGTGTTTTATGCAAGGAAACCAAAATCAAAGATCTGCTTCCCAAATTAATTCATTTCTTGGAGCAGAGGGGTGAAATAAATGGGTTATTTAACCCAATTTTGAAGGCAAAGTGGGATTTGGGAGCATCCAGGCTCTTCCCAAGCTTCAGGGTAGGTGGGAATATCAAAAAATTCCATGTTTTATGCAAGGAAACCAAAATCAGAGATCTGCTTCCCAATGGGATTCATTTGTTTGAGCAGAAGTGTGAAATAAGTGGGTTTTTTACCCAATTTTGAAGGGAAATTTGGAACATCTGGGCTCGAGGTAGGTGGGAATATCCAAAAATTCAGTGTTTTATGCAAGGAACCAAAATCAGGGATCTGCTTCCCTAATTGATTAATTTTTGACCAGAAAGATGCAATAAATTGATTTTTTAAATCCAATTTTGAAGGCAAAGTGGGATTTGGGAGCATCCAGGCTTGAGGTAGGTGGGAAAACCAAAAAAATTCCATGTTTTGTGCAAGGAAACCAAAATCAAGGATCTGCTTCCCAAATGGATTAATTTCTTTGAGCAGAGGGGTGAAATAAATGGATTTTTTTACCCAATTTTGAAGGATTTGGGAGCAGCTGGGCTCCTCTCAAGCCTCAAGGTGGGTGGGGACATCCAAAAATTCCATGTTTTGTGCAAGGAAACCAAAATCAAGGATCTGCTTCCCCAAGGGATTCATTTCTTTGAGCAGAGGGGTGAAATAAATGGGTTTTTTTACCCAATTTTGCAGGATTTGGGAGCAGCTGGCCGAGCTGCAGCCTGGCAGCCATTTCAGGAATGCTGGAAAAGGGGAATTCAATGGAGATCCCATTGAAATTCCAGGGGTTTTGTTCCAAAAAGGGGAGGATTTCACGTGGGAGGGAGGATGGAGCTTCCTGGGCTGATTAAAGAAAGGAATTTTGTTCCTCTTGGATTCTGGGTGAAATCACTCAAATTCAGCCCAAAGATGAATTCAATCCCTCCCTTCCCATCATTTTATTATTCCCAAATTGCTCCACTCCAAGCACAAAACCAGCCAGGGGCAGGGATGAGGAGCCAGCTGGGATTTGGGAATAAAACACCCAAAAAACAAAAAAAATCCCCAAAAAAATCCCCATCATGTTTTGAGTTCCTTTTTCCAGACAGAGGGAGAATCTCAAAGGCTGTTTTGTAAAAAAAAAAAAACATAAAAAAAATCCCCAAACCCAAATAATTTACCAATGAAATAACAATTGACAAAAGAGATTCAAGCAGGTTTTCAGGTGGAGGATAAATAAATAAATGAAATGTTTTGGTGGATGGAATTAAAGCAACAATCCTCAAAGAAGGAGGGAATGAATGCCTTATTTTAATTCCCAAATCCTAATTCCACCTCTAATATTTTGTTGGGATCCAAGGACAGCTCTGAAATGAATGAATGAATGAAGCAGAAAGCAGAGGAGGCTCACACCAACCATAGAAATGGAGCAGTTTTATTACAAAGGTTCTGAAAATTCAAAATAAACGCATCTTTAAAAAACCACAATAGATTTTCCCCTCCCCTCCCGTCCCTCCCACATTCCCCAGACACAAAGTTACACTGATCTCTCTCTTGCTTCACATAAAAACACTGAAAATCAGAGTGAAAAACCTCACTCAGACCCCAAAGAGACTAAAAAACTCCACGGTGAGGGGCGGAGGGGAGAAAAAAAGGGGGGGAAAAAACCAAGGAATTTAAAAAAATAAACCTTTTGAAAAAGAAGCTGTGTGAAGTTTTAGCAGCATTATTGGAGTTGAAACCTCAGCAGTGCTCCCGTGGGAGGGTGCAGAACCTCTGGAATTCCAGAGGGATCCCCCTGAGAAAGGAGAGCAGCGAGTGGAAACTGCCTGAAAAAAACAAAAAAAAATTTAAAAAATCCGAATTTCACCCCCCAAAAGTTGGGTTTTTTTCACTTCCTCTCCAAAAAAGCTGTACAAAAGGAGAGGTGAAAGGTCACAAAGGAGATTTGAGCTGTGGAAATGCTCAGAGCCCCATCTGCTGTTCCCTCAGAAGGCAGCAGGATAAAAAGGTTGGGATTTACTGGCCTTGGGATGGGAATTCTGCTGGAAAACTTGGCTTCAAAATCAGGGAAAAATTGGGTTTTTTTTAAGGACACACATGAAGAAAAGCTGGCAGCCAGGCTCTGGGCTGGCCTTGAGGGGATTTCTGGGGTTTCAGGAGAAAAATGAAGCCAAAAGGGGAGGAATTTTTTCCCCAGCCAGAAAGGGGCATAAAAAACCAGGTTAAAAATCCCATCCCTTCCCTCCTGGAGGTGCAGCAAATGCTGCCACACTCCCTGGACCCAGGAGATCTTGGAAAACTGAAGCACCCCCTGAGGGTGATTTTCATTTTATATTTTCCAGATCTGGGCTCTGGGGCTGATTTATTTAAAAAAAAAAAAAAAAAAAAAAGGATTTTTCAGATTTTTTTTCAGCTGCTTCATCTCTTTCCCCAAGTTTGCTGCAGGGAGGAGCCAACTCTGTTCAAGAACTGCACAATTTTGACCCTGAGAAGTGGCACCAGCTGGCAGGTTTTTGTTTTTGTTTTGTTTTGTTTTTCCCTGGGCAGGAGCCAGGCTCACCCTTTGGGTTCTGCTGCTGCTGCTGCTGTTGCTGTTGCTGCTTTTTCCTCTTTTGCTTTTTCCTCTTCTTTCTCATCTGGAAAAATAAAATAAAAAATTCCAGACACAGAGCAGTGCAGGAGGAAGAATTCCAGGCAGGAGGTGCCAGCTGTGCTGCTCACCTTTCTTCTCCTCTTCCTCCTTCTCCTCCTCTGCCTTCACACGTTTGGCTTTCTTGAAGTTGGCGACGTTCTTGCGCCCTCCCTCCCCCTCGTCCTCGGAGTCGGAGAATTCCTCGTCACAGGAGATTCTCTTGTTGGAATTTCGGACTGGAAGGGGAGAGCACAGAGCTTGGCTGAGCAGATTTTCAACATCAGGAGGCTCCCAGGATGAATTCTCTGAGTGGAGCTCACAGAAATGAGGATTAGGCCATGATCAAATCACTTTTTGTGGTACCTGCTGCATGTTGAACTCATCCCTTCCCACTTGCTCCAGGATCATGGGGACATCTCAGATCAGGCACAGTGGGATGTCTGGACCTGAGAGCAGGTTTAGAACCAGCCTCCCACTGCCAGAACCCAAGGGCCAAGCTGGAGAGAAAACTCCATTTTTCACTGCTGGGATCACACCCAGGATTCTGCCAAGGATTCTGTCCCAGCACTCAGCTACTGCTGGAATTCTCCCTTGACAACCAAAGGTTTTCCCATTATGGAATTCACCTGACAGGAGAGATCCTGCAGTGCTCTGTCCCACACAAATCCTGCAGGGAGGTGGGAATGGACTCAGATCAGAGAGGTTAAAACAGGAGTGAAAACCCTGGGCAGAGCCTGAGTGAAGCTCCAGCTCCTCCTCGGGGTTTTTGGGGGATCCACAAAGCTCCAGCCCAAGGCTTTGACTCTGGGTGTCCCCACAAACCAAGGCGGCTAAATCCTGGAGTCAGAATTGGATTTAAACCCTACATCCTCCTCATGAAGAGCTGCTCATGGATCCTGCTCAGTTTTGGGCTTTTCCCAGCACCATTCCCAGCACAATTCCATTCCCAGCACATTTCCACCCCCAGCACCTACTGGAAATGCGTTTTTCAGGATCATCCTCCTCCTCATCCCCGAGTCTCGTAGGTCCAGCAGCGAGCCACGTTGCGGATCGTGTACCCCCCTCCTCCCAGCATCAGCATGGGCAGGTTAAAGCTCTTCACAAACTCCACACACTTGGCATGGCCTGCAGTGCAAAAACAAGGTCACACTCGTGGCATAAATGCCAGCTTTTCATGGGATCTCCTGCTGGGCCCGTGGCAGTTCAGTCCTACCTTTGATGGTGAGGTTGAAGCAGCCCAGCCTGTCCCCAGACAGGGAATCAGAGCCACACTGCAGGACAACAGCGCTGGGCTGGAACGTCTCCATCACCTTGGAGATCACCTAAACAACAAAGGCCCTGTCACCCCCTGCCCACAGGCCACTGTCACAGCAGCACAGTGACAGCCAGGCACGTGAAGCCATCCCTGGTGCTCCCACAGCTGCCCTGCCAACACTGGGGCTCTCACACCGAGGAGCTCCCGCACAGGCCCCGATTGTTCGGGGGGAACAGAGCCCTTGGTGAGTCTTGTCCCAGAAAAAACTCAATAAAATGCCCCAAATAATGGCCCTAAGGACAAAGTGGGAGCCACAGAGGATCCCTCAGCAGAGGAGGCTTCACTTACAGGCTTGAAAATGGCTTCGTAGGACTCGTCATCGATGCCGTCGCGCAGCGGGTAATTCACAGCGTAGTACTTCCCTTTGCCTGCCCCGATGTCCTGTGGGGTGAGAGAGCAGAACAGAGCTCACCAGAAACCCAAATCCTGCCCCAAACTGGGAAAGGAAGACTGGAACCCAGTCAAATCCAGAGATAAAGCCAGAGTGATTAATGTTGTTAAATATTAACGATTTGCAAAGCAGCGAGCTGGGCTGGGCTGAGCAGTCGCTCAATCTATTCAGTCACTGAATTCTATTTTGTAATAAAAATAAAATATTCTACACTGAAATATTATATATTTTAACATTTTTATCACTCTCACATCCAAGTGGTTTATTAAAAATAGTTATTCCATTAATGTTGCAGCACAAAGCTCTTGGCAAGGCTGAAAAAATACAAATCCTGAGTGAAAGATGAGAGGATTTAGATCCAAAAAACCCCAATTCCTGTAAAAATCCCATAAAAATAAGTAAAGAACCTTTCACCCGAGAACAGAAGTTCTGGCAATGTCACAAGTCACAGGTGACACCCTGAGTCACTGCAGGAAATGCCAATAAAAATCCACTCCCTCAGAAACCTTCACCAAGAGTTTGTGTCACCAGGCTGGAGCTGCAAAGTGACCAAAATGTCACCTTCAGGGTCATTTTTGTGAGCAAAACCCCACCAGAGAGCAAAGATCTGTGTTTAATCAATGATCATCCACCCCTCTGCCCTCAGAAAATGGGTGTCACCCAGGGACAGGCAGGAAAGCTGGGAAAAAACCCCAAATTTCCTGGGAATTTGGTGGCTCTCACCCTCAGGTCCCCAGTTCCTGGGAAATATTCTCCATATTTGTGGAAGGACACGGTCATGACCCTGTCTGTGGTGTAAAAAGCCTCCTCCACCCCGTCCCCGTGGTGGATGTCGATGTCAATGTACAGCACTCGCTGGTGGTACCTGGAAAAAATCAGAATATTGCAATTCTTCTGAGGAAAAGCTGCTCCAGAGCAGAGGAAACTGGGAGCAGAGCAGGGAATTCAGGGCAGGATTTCCAGGGGAAGGAGCTGCAGGGAAGGGACAGAAAATAAAGTGATTTTTGCTGCTGAGTTTGTTTCAGATTCAGCCAATAAAGTGCATTTTTTCTGCACATTTTTCTGCACATTTTTCTGCCCAAGCCTCCCACAGCGAGGTTTGCCTGGAGCTCTCACACAGCCAGGGGTGGGACAAAGATCAGCAGCAAAAAAATGAAACATCCAAAAAGCTGCAAAAATCCTCTGCCTCCTGCTGAGGGAAAGCCTGCACTGGTGGGATTGCAAATTCCCTGTCCCACCTTTGAGGGGGAGCCCTGAATCCAGGGAGGTCCCTGTGCCAGGAAGGTGGGGGACCCCACCCACTGCTGGAGGAAAAATAAATCCCAGAGGAGCTGGGATTGAGTTATAATCCCAACAATTAGAATTTAATTAATTTATAATAAAGAGAATATTATAATAGAATTTATAATAAATAGAAAATAATAGAATTTATATAATATCATAATATTATAAATGTTATATTGAAAATAATAGTATAAATCTTCTAATTATTTCTAATAAAGTATAGAATTATATTATAGAATTATCTATATTATAATTGTGTATCTTATATATTACATTATATATAATTCTAAACATCATGTTATGTTATATTATATTACATTACATTATATATTCTATATTATATATTTTATATTATATTTTATAAGTTGTTATATTTCCTATATTATATGGTAATTTATTATTATATCATATTATACTATATTATATTATGTATTAGATAGTATATGTATTATGTCATGTTATATTATGTTATATATTAATTATATATTTTATATGACATACTATATATGTTATGTTTATATATTATATTATATTATATCATATTATATCATATTATATTATATCATATTACATTACATTATTTACATTACATTCCATTATATCCCCAAAATCCCTTTTGCTATTTTTCCCCCCCAAAATCCCCTTTTGCGAGAGAGTGCAGCAGAGCCCAAAAATCCAAAAAAACCCCCAGAATAAATTAAAACTCCAGAGCAGAAGCAGCGAGGAAGAGGAGCAGAGGTGCTGCCCGTACTTGAGGAGCTCCAGGATGGCCAGCACGATGTCGTTGACGTAGCAGAACCCAGAAGCTTCTGATTTTTTGGCGTGGTGGAGACCTCCTGCCCAGTTCACCGCAATGTCTGTCTGCTGCTTGTTCAGCTTCACAGCACTGGCTGGGGGAGGAGAGAAACCCCAAAGGTTAAAGCAGGAGGGAGAAGCCTGGCACTGAGCCTGAGGTGAAGCTCCAGCTCCTCCCCGGGGTTTTTGGGGGATTCACAAACCCCCCGGGGTTTTTGGGGGGCTCCTGCTCCAGGGTTTGACTCTGCATGTCCCCACGAATCAAGGGAAAATGGGAAATGTTTCTCAGCCTTTCCCACTTTTGCCTCAGAGCAGGAAAATCCCCACGAACTCAGCACCCAGCTGGGGTCACACTGGAGACACTCTGGGTTCTCAGAGCCCTGAACAGAGCAAGGTTTTAGCTGAGGTATGCTGGGGTTATTGAGTGAAAATGCATCCAGGCAGAGGAAATTCTGCTCCCCCAGCCCCTTCCATCAACTCTGCACGTTCCGGGACCTCCCAGGATCCAAACAAATCAGGAATTCTGTGGAATTCTGCAGCCCTGGGAGCAGGGCTGGAAATTCATCCAGGCAGAGGAAGTTCTCCTCTCCCAATCTTTTCCATCAACTCCCTGGGACCTCCCAGGACCCAAACAAATCAGGAATTCTGTGGAATTCTGCAGCCCTGGGAGCAGAGAGAGCACAGAGCTGCTTCAAAACCTGCTGCAGTCAGTGCTGGGTGCTGCTGGCACAGGAAACACAGGCTGGAGGTGTCACTGTGGCAGCAGCAGCCACAAAGCTCTCGGGCTGTGCACACAAACAGCTCTGCTGTGAGTTATGAGAAAATAAAAAAACATTTCAATGTTCCATCTCTCAAACCTTTCAGTTTCTGCTTTGCCTTATGTCCAGAGTTGGTGGTTTTTTAAAAACAGCACCCTGGTCTTTCCTTCTCAGGTTGTGCCTGCTCAGAGTGAGACTTTTACAACTTTTATTTGAATGTAAAGCTCAGGTTTTTTTTTTTTTTTTTTTTCTTTTTTTTTTTATTCAACTGTGCTGTTGTGGTTTTGTTTTAACTCTTTTTTAACTCACTGGTGATGTTACAGAGCCTTCAGTGAGGTAAAAAATTAGTGATTAACAAATGGAAAGGGATTCAACAGGCAAAGCTTGGAGAAATCTGGATTTCATTATGAAATCAGCAATAGGTTCACAGAGACAGAATATAAAACACAATAAAAAATACACAGGATTTGTGATCTTACCAACAGAGCCTCCAGCAGAGAGCTGACAGAACTCAAAGAGCCCATCAAACACAGGGCAGTCCTCCCCAACATTAACTGGAAGAGAATGGAAAAGAGTCATTAAAATAAAAGCAGAAATAAAATCCAAATTTCACACCAACATTTGGATTTGTTAAGTGGCCAAAAGTGTTAAACAAAATGCTGTGATCAAATGATGCAATGGAAATGTGTGGCTGACACTTTGCACACTCCTTTAACTTCAAATCACACAGCTTTGGGTTCTCAGCACAACTGGAATTTTAGCCTCAATAAATTTTTGCTGTAATTAATTCCACTATTAAAAATAGTTACTCTTTACAAGAAATTAAACTTCAGGCCCTTTGATTTACTCTGCCCAAGTCTGGCATGCAAAAACGGAATTAGAAACTGTTCATTCCCCTTCCAGCAGGTTTTGTTGAAGTAAAGCTCTGTCCTTTGCATGATGAATTTTCACATTTTGGCTTTTTCAGGAATAAAAAGAGTGCAGAAAACACTGAGCACCAGAGAGAGCTGAGTGTTCATGAGCTGTGGCTGCTCCAGGGGTAAACAGGTCAGTTTGGGAAAAAAATCCATTTTGCTGGATGTCATTTGGTGGATTAAAGGATATCATGGACTGGGGGAGGCTTTCAGTGTGTATTAATCATCAACCTTGTGCAGAAATATCTGTCCCCTTCAGCTCTCAGGGGGTTTCCAAGAGTGAAATGTTGTTTAAACAAAGCTTGAGCTCTCCCCACTGGTTGTCTGGGCTTGTTAGAAATCTATTTTGCCATAAAAAACATCAGCTCAGAGCAGCTGAGATACCAAATCCAGGTTTTTTGTACCATTAGAGACTTTCCATGGATTGGAGGGGTTGGAACAAGACATCAGCTCATAATTAATCTACAAAATGACCAGAGTATCTCACTCTGTCCCATTTCCAAGCTGCCACTGCCCTGAAAATCCTTCAGATTTGGGGTAAATTGAGGATTTTGGTTTTAATTTGCTGGTTTAAATGCCCCAACTCTTCTGGTTGAAGATGAACACTAACACAAAATCCACACAGGTCAGAAATGGAGCAATTCTGTCACCTCCAAGCCAGGAAAGGAATTTAGGCAAAAAAAACCCAAAATACAACCAGGTCAAAGGATTTGAGCACTAACACAAAATCCACACAGGTCAGAAATGGAGCAATTCTGTCACCTCCAAGCCAGGAAAGGAATTTAGGCAAAAAAAACCCTAAATACAGCCAGGTCAAAGGATTTCCCTCATCTCCTTTAGCTTGAGAGTGGGACCTGGTTTTAAATTCTTTATTCACCAGAAAAATCCAAAAGCAGCAAAGTCAGAAGAACGCCAAGAGACAGAAATTTATCCCAAATTTCTGGAGCTGGGATTGCCAGGTTTTCAGCTGCAGCATCACTCACATCTTTGCATCTGCTTGCTGTACTCAGACATGTTGTCAGGGCGGATGGACCTCAGGAATTTGATGTAATCATCGCTGTGGTACTTGGTCATCTCCTCTGCATTGGCCTTGTGAGGACGCTGCAAGGACAGCAACACAGCAAGGGTTGCTCTGGGATTTATTCCCTCCCTAATTCCCATTTCCAGCCCCACATTTATCCCAGGAACTGTGGAAAGTATCAAAGCAGCAGTGCTAAGTAAGAAAAAGTGGGTTTGAAAGGCAAGAATGGCACTGTTGGGGAGTGTTACATAGGTAGACGTGGAAATAAATTTAATTTCAAGGATAAAAATCAGTTTTCCAGTTTCACTTTTCAGTCTCCAAAGCCTCTCTGAAGCCCAGAACCCCTCACTTCACCACTGAGAAAAAACCAGAAATACACCAACACAACTGACTGGGGTTTATTCCTTTCCTCTCAGAGAAAAGCTCCACAATTAAAGCCTGAAACATCAATTATGACATCCAATAATGAGCTTACATAGATCTCCATCTTCCTGTAGAGCCCATAGTTGAGCAGGAGGTTGTGGGTCATGCGGATCCTGTGGGGTTTCATGGGATGTCCTTGGCCATAATAATAATTCCCAACATCCCCTGGAAGCAGAAAGGAGTTTGTCAGCAATTCCTGCAGAGGGAATCATCAGCTCCTCTGGGATTCGTGTGGCTGGGATCCTGGCACAGGGATATCCATGGATTCAGGGTTCCCCCTCAAATCTCAGGCAGGGAATTTGGAATGCCACCAGTGCAAGGAGTCCCTGCCCATGTCAGGGATGTCTCCAAGGCTCCCCCTCAAATTTCAGGCAGGGAATTTGCAATGCCACCAGTGCAAGGAGTGCCTGCCCTTGGAAAGGGGCTGGAATTGCTGCTGGATCATCTCCCAACCCAACCCCTTCCATGGCTGTGGCAGTGCAGAGGACAAATCTCCAAGGTTTGGGGTCAGAGGAGCTCGGGTTGAGTGCCAGGGATGTCTCCCAGGCTCCAGGGAGGGCTGGGAGCAGGAGCCCTGGAGTTAATCCCAGCTCAGACAGTGACTCAGCCCAGGAACACCCGGCCTGAGCCTCACTTTCCTCCTGTTTACCCAAGGGAAATGGGATCCAGGGAACTCTGAACTCTGCAAACACCACCCAGCTCTGCTTTTACACCTCCACACTTCTCTTCACCCCTTTTTATTCCTTCAAATCCCCCAGAGGATCTCCAGGCCTTTCCAGCCACCCCCCTGGCATTATTTTATGGGACATGGGGAACAGAGTCACCTCCCCATGTGGATTTTCTGCTCCAAACTGAGCTCCCACCTCACTGATAAATGAGGTTTTTATTCCACCTCCTTTCCCAGGGGCACTCATTTCCCTGAAATTCACAGGGATTTCCCTTTCAGATTTCAGATTTGGCTGCAGGGAGCAGGAATCTCTCTCTCCCAAGCCTCATTTTCCTGGGAAACCAGACCAAGCTGCTCCTGCTCCTTTTGGGAAGCAGCAGATCCAATCCGGTCTGGCCAGTGACTCAGAGGGCAGAATTAATATTTCATCAGCACTCTCCACCTTCAGCAGAAGCAGTTTTTCCTCCTCTGGACATGGATCTATTTTCAGGCAGGAAAAGGAGATGCCAGAAGTGCAAATCCCACATCCAGGCAAGTCTGCTGCTGGAACTGACCTGTCTGTGGAGCTCTGGGGGAATGTTCTTTCAGTAAACAGAATTTTTTTTTCAGTGAAATACATTTTTTTCCCACTGAAAATAATTCTATTTTCTGAAATTTTGGCAATCCATCCTGCCAGTTTTAGGGATGTATTTTACTACCTCTAAATCAAGATTTGGGGAACTTGCAAGAGATGTTTGAGGCTCTGCCTAGAAAATACAAGCACAGAACTCAGTGAAGCTCTTAAAAAATGCCCTGGGCCAACCCTGAGCTCCTGTTCCCTGTGCTGAGCACATCCCAAGCCCCGTGGATCCCTGGCTGAGCTCAGCTGCTCCTGGACGTCAGAGCAGATTAAGGAGTGTGAACTTAGCAGGGGTTAAACAAATCCCTCCACGGGGAGCTCTGAGGGGAGAAATTCTACCCAAACCTTCCCCCAGCCCCTCAGGATTGCAGGAAGGACCCCAATTCCTTCAGCTCATGAAATTTAGGGAATTCCCAGCAGCAGGTTGAGCTGTTTCAACATCCCAGTGTGGAAAATAAAAAGCTCAAATGAACAAATTATTTATTTCCTCTCAGTAAAAGTAGCTTTTTACCCCTCAGCTGTGGATGTTCAAAAGCTGCTCAGAAAAGAACAGTGAAAAAGAAAAAAAAAAAAATAAAAAGGACTAAAACCTCACCACAAAGTATGGAACCCGAATTTGTGAAATTCTTGTGCAGCAAAGACCTGCAGGGCAGCAGCATTTCAAACAAAACAACTGTTAATTTCACATTTCAGATATAACTGAATGCCTTAAAAAATTATAACCCAGCAGAGCTGAAAACCTCTCATTTGAGGGGGAAAAAAAATCCCATTTTTAGAGGGAAAAAAAAATAGGACAGGATTTGGAAAAGCCTCCTGCACTGGGCACATCCTTAGAGGGGGGAAAAGCAGCAAGAAGAAAAAGTTTTTATTTGATTTCAGGTTAAAAACCCTGTTGGAACAGAGGTCTGTGACACAAGGTGAGCACAGAGCCAGTGAAAAACGAGCAGGGGAAGGGAGAGGGGCAGGACTGGGACTCCCCAGCCCCACAGGACACCCCGTGAGGCTTTGGGGTCTGCTCCTTCTGCTGCCCCACAGCCACGCAATCCCAAATCCCTTCTGTCCCCTCCTGAGCCCAAAACGCTGTCCCAGGAGTGGCTTGTCCTCCTCAGAGCCCGTCCAGCACCTCCCCAAATCCTTCTCCAACATCTCAGCACCCAAAGCCTCTCCTGGCCTCGAGCTCTTCTCACCAACCCGGACTCTTCCCTGCCTTTCCCAACTCCCAAATGGCCAGATCTCCAGACTTCCCCATCCCATTCCATCCCCGTGATCTTCCCCCAAATCCTCAGATCTCCATATTTCCCCATGCCCCTGATCTTCCCCCAGATCTCCACATTTCCCCATCCCACCCCTCTGATCTTCCCCCAAATCCCCACATTTCCCCATCCTACCTCTCTGATCTTCCCCCAAATCCTCAGATCTCCACATTTCCCCATGCCCCTGATCTTCCCCCAAATCTCCACATTTCCCCACCCCACCTCTGGACCCCAGGGCAGGGCTGGCCCATGTGGGGGCTCCCAGGGCTGGGGGGGGTTCAGGGGGGTCCCGGGGGTCCCAGGGGCTCCCCAGGGTGGGTTGGTGCGAGTGGGGTCCATGTGCCCCCAACTGGGGTCCGTGCGCCGTGAGCATCACCCCGCGTACCCCACCCTATGGCAACCCGGCCCTGCGAGGCCCCCGGCGCTGAAAATGCCTTTATTTCCCCAAAATGATTGCGGGGCGGGTCCTGCAAACGCCCTGAGGGGAGAAGGAGCGTCGTCCCACAGCCAAGGGGTGCCCCCCAAGCGCTGCTGAGGGGGCTGCAGCCATCCCCGGGCGGGTGAAGGGGGCACGGGCGGAGCGGGGTGAGGCGAGCCCTGAGGGGCTGGAGCCTGGATGTGCCCCCTGGGAAAGGCAGGGACAGCAGCCTGGGCACCCTCTGGGCACCCTGTGCCACCCCTCCAGCGTTTGGGGGTCTGCTCCGGCCGTCCAGCCCCTCCTGAAGGAGTCAAAGCTGCTGCTCCCGAGCTCTGGAGCGCTTCAAATCCTCACAGAGCGGCGGCCATGGAGTCTGTGGGGACGCCCAGCGCCCCGAGCCCTCAGGGCTGCCGCTGGAACTGGCCCTCGGTGGCGGTGAAAAAATCCTCGAGGACGCTCCTGAGGAAGCCAAAGGTGGGGCGTGTGGGGACCCCCAGCACCCCGAACGCTCAGGGCTGCTGCTGGTACTGGCCCTCGGTGGCGGTGAAGAAATCCTCGAGGACGCTCCTGAGGAAGTCGAAGGTGGGGCGCTCCTCGGGGCTCTCCTTCCAGCACTGCCTCATCAGCTCGTAGAGCTCCCCCGGGCACTGCTCGGGCTGCGGCATGCGGTAGCCACGCTCCAGGTTCTGGATCACCTCGGGGTTGGTCATGCCTGGAGGGAGGGCGGTGTGTGTGGGGATCAGGGTGGGTCACCCCCGTGGTGGGCCTGGGGGTGATCATCCCTGCCAGGACCCAGTTTGGGTCCACAGGAACCACCCCGAGGTTGGTCATCCCTGCCAGGACCCAGTTTGGGGCACAGGGACCACCCCAGGGTTGGTCATCCTGCCAAGACCCAGTTTGGGTCACAGGGACCACCCTGGGGGTGGTCATCCTGCCAGGACCCAGTTTGGGTCCACAGGAACCACCCCGAGGTTGGTCATCCCTGCCAGGACCCAGTTTGGGGCACAGGGACCACCCCAGGGTTGGTCATCCTGCCAAGACCCAGTTTGGGTCACAGAGACCACCCCGGGGTTGGTCATCCTGCCAGGATGCAGTTTGGGCCACAGGGACCACCCTGGGGGTGGTCATCCTGCCAGGACCCAGTTTGGGTCACAGGGACCACCCTGGGGGTGGTCATCCTGCCAGGACCCAGTTTGGGTCACAGGGACCACCTGGGGGTGGTCATCCCTGCCAGGACCCAGTTTGGGTCACAGAGACCACCCCAGGGTTGGTCATCCTACCAGGACCAAATTTGGGTCACCCCCATGGTGTAGGTGCCACCCTGGGGTTGGTCATGCTGCCAGGACCCAGTTTGGGTCACAGAGACCCCCCCTAAGATTGGTCACCCTTGCCAGGACAATGCCCAGGACTCATTTAGGGTCACCCCAGGTTTTAGGGACCACCTCAGGCTTGGTCACCCTTGCCAGGACAATGCCCAAGACTCAATTTTAGGTGGCAGGGAGCCCCGTAAGATTGGTCACCCCTGCCAGGACAACACCCAGAACCCACTTTGGGTCACAGGTACCACCCCACCCTCCCAAACCCCGCACGGGGGGGGACCTCCCACCCCTTTCCATCCCTTTCCACCCCCCGAACCCCTCCCCGCGTGTCTCTGGTGCTGCCGGGCGGGCAGGGAGCCAGGCTGGCAGCGGCGTGCGTGCGGCTCTGCATGCACACACACACACACAGACACACACACACACACACAGACACACACACACAAACCGAGGGCGGGCCAGCCCCGCAGCTGCCCCAAAATCCCGACCTGGATACGGGATCCGGCCGTAGGTGACGATCTCGGTGAGCAGGATGCCGAAGGACCACACGTCCGACTTGATGGTGAACGTGCCGTAGTTGATGGCCTCGGGCGCCGTCCACTTAATCGGGAATTTGGCCCCTGGGAGGGGAAGGGAGGGGATGAAGCGACCTTCCCAGCTGAGGCTGAGCTGCAATCACGCTTTAATCCCGTGTGACAGTCCCCAAGCCGGGCTCTGTCGCTGCCTGGCCACCGGCTGGCTTTGGTGGCTGAGCCCCCTGAGCCTGCGGTAGCACCCAAAGCCACCCCGCTCCGGCTGCGGTGAGATGGAAAAGGAAAAAAAACATCCTTGCACCCCTCTCCTGCAGCTCCCCGGGCTGGCTGCGGGTTCCTCTCCCGATGTCCCCAAGCCCGGTGACCCCCGGGCTGGGCGGGGCTCACCCTCCCGAGCCGTGTACTCGTTGTCCTCGATGAGCCGGGCCAGCCCAAAATCGGCGATTTTGCAGCACAAAGTGTCCGAGACCAGGATGTTGGCGGCCCTCAGGTCCCTGTGGATGTAATTCTTGGCCTCGATGAAAGCCATGCCTTCAGCGATCTGGGATTCGTAATTATTAATGAATTGCAGTTGTTAATTAACGGCTCCAGCCCTGCAGAGCTCTCCCAGCTCCATCCCCATCTCTCTGCTCCCCCCTCACCTGTGCTGCCATGTCCAGGAGTTTGTTGATGCTGAGCTTGACTCCTTCCGAGGTCTTGAGGAAGTCCACGAGGCTGCCTGAGATGAAAGCAGCAGTTCTCAACTCCTGGGGGGTCACAAGGGCACTGTCCCCCCCCCAAAAAAGCTCTGGGAATGTGGTCAGGAGAACATAAAAATCCTTTTTGCCCAAGCTGGAGGTAGGAGAACAAAGGCAAAGCTTCCCCAGGGCTGGAGGCAAAGGAATCTCTAAAATTAACAAATTTCCACATTGCCAATCTTTCATTTTGAGTGGTTTTGGAGCCTGCACTGGGAGGTGCTGTAGTCACATCCCTGGAGGAGTTTAAGGAATGACCTGCACAGAGCTCTGCCCCTGCCAGGAAAATGCCCAGGACACAGCCTGGGTCACTCCAGGTTTTAGAGACCAGCCTAGGGTTGGTCATTCCTACCAGGACAATGCCCAAGACTCAGTTTGGGTGGCAGGGAACACCCCAGGATTGGCCACCCTTGCCAGGACACTGCCCAGGACTCAACTGGGGTCACCCCAATGTCACAGAGACCACCCTGGGCTTGGTCATCCTGCCAGGACAATCCTTTTGGCACCCAATTTGTGCCATCCCCACCTTGCAGGGACCACCCCAGGCTTGGTCACCCCTGCCAGGACAACACCCAGGACCCAGTTTGGGTGGCTAAGATTGGTCACCCTTGCCAGGACAATGCCCAGGACTCATTTAGGGTCACCCCAGGTTTTGGGGACCAGCCTAGGCTTGGTCACCCTTGCCAGGACAATGCCAAGGACCCATTTTGGGTGGCAGGGACACCCCTAAGATTGGTCACCCTTGCCAGGACAATGCCCAGGACCCACTTTGGGTGTCAGGGATCACCCCAGATTCAGCCACTCTTGCCAGGACAATGCCCATGACCCAATTTGAGACACAGGGACCACGCCAGGCTTGGCCACCCTTGCTAGGACAATGCCCATGACCCAGCTCTCTGCCTGTTTAGGTAGGGATTTTTCACAGCTTGAACTTCATCCCAAAGATCTTTTCCATCCTTAAAACTCTGTGGCCACACCCCTGTGGCTGGGGCAGCACCTGGAGCCCCCGGGGCTCCTCACCCTTCTCCATGAACTCAGTGATGATGTAGATGGGCTCCTTGGTGACCACGGCGTAGAGCCGCACCAGCCGCGGGTGCTGCAGCTGCTTCATCAGGTTGGCCTCGGCCAGGAAGGCGCTGGGGGACATGCTGCCAGCCTTCAGGCTCTTCACTGCCACCTTCGTGTGCCCGTTGTAGAAGCCTTGGGGGAAAAACGGGGAAAAACGGGATCTGGACACCGGGCAGCAGTGGCAGCCAGGGAGGGCGGCTCCACGGAGCACCCCCAGCTGAGGAGGAGGTTCCAAAAGTTGGGTGGGAGGTGTAAAGGTTGGCTGGAGATGGAGTTTCAGGGCCCAAAACGCCGTTGTGGTGGGGCTGGAGGGCTTTTGGGGCAATCCCAGCTCAGTGGCGCTGGAGCCAGGCACTGATGGTTCCGTGTGTGGTGTTTAGGAGGAGAGCAGGGGGTGGGGAGCGGGGTTTGGGGTGTGAGGTGGGGCTGGAGGAGTGCTGGGAGCACTGGGGGCACTTGGTGGGACAGGCAGAAGCTGTGGGAGTGGAAGCTGAGACCTCCAGAGGGCTGTGGGGCAGGATGGAGGGGAACGGGGAGGGATGGAGGGAAAAGATGGAGGGAAAGGATGGAGAGAAGTGGGCTGGGACAGAGAGAAAGGATGGAGGGAAGGGATAAAGGGAAATGGGGAGGGATAGAGGGAATCAGAGAGGGATGGAGGGATGGAAGGAAAAGGATGGAGGGAAGTGGGCTGGGACAGAGAGAAAAGTTGGAGGGAAGGGATAAAGGGAAACGGGGAGGGATGGAGGGGAGCAGGGCAGCCCCGGTGGCTTCCCCACCGCAGCACTCCGGGAGCAGGAGGGGTTTTGTGGCTGGATCTCCCTCCAAGCCCCCGCAGCTGCTCCAGCATTCCAGGCACAAGGGACACTCCCAGGTGGGGACAAAGCCAGCAGCTCCATGATCCCACACATCCCCCTGTCTCCACCAGCAGAGCAGGGTTGCAGGGGTGGGAGAAAAGGGAAGTTTGGGCTGGGTTCTGCCTTCTTCCAGGACCCTCAAAGCCGCAGTCCCACACCGTGGGCTGTGCTGCTGCTCCGTGTGAGATCCCGGCTGGAGGATCCCGCTGCTCACTCTGGTGCCCCAGTTTCACCCTGACTCACCCATCCAGACCTCTCCGAACTGCCCCGCTCCCAGCTTCTCCACCAGCTTCAGCGACTCCCGCGGCACCTCCCACTCGTCCTGCCACCACGGCTTCTGCGGCTTCTGCGTCCGGCAGGGCTTGCCCAGGCGGCAGCAGAGCCCGTCGGAGCTGCCTGGGCCACAGGGAGGCAGAGCTGGGCCAGCGCGGGGCACCGGCACGGCCAGGGCTGGGCTGGGCCGCTGGGAGCAGCAGGTCCTGCTCATCCCACCCCACCCATCCCATCCCATCCCATCCCATCCCATCCCATTCAATTATGTCCCATCCCAGCCTGCCATATTCCTGTCCTATCCTCTCTGGTCCCATCCCATCCAGTCTCATCCCATCCAGTTCTGTCCCATAACACCCTGCCCTATTCCATCCTCTCCAGTCCCATCCCACCCTGTACCATCCCCTTTTATCCCTCCTATTCCCATTTCAGCTTGTCCCGTCCCATCCCATCCCATCCCATCCCATGGATCCCATCCCATTATCCCATCCCATCCCCATCTCTTCCCACCCCATTCCCATCCCATTTCTGCCCTGTTCCCATCCCTTTCCTGCCCCATTCCCATCCCATTCCCATCCCATCCCCATCCCATTCCTGCCCCATTCCCACCCCATTCCCATCCCATCCCATCCCATGGATCCTATCCCATCCCCACCCCATTCCTGCCCCGTTCCCGTTCCCATCCCTCACGTGTGTAGTGCTGCACCAGCTCCCTGAGGCTGCCGAAGGGCATGCGGGGGGAGATGTAGAAGCCGCCGCTGTCCAGGTTCCGGATCTTGTAGTGCTTCACCGTCTCTCCCTGGCTCTCGTCCAGGTCCCGCACGGACAGCGAGTACGAGCCTGGGGACAGGGACACCCGTGGGACCCCCGAGCCCGCCTGAGGCTCCCCCAGCCCCTGGGACCCGCGGGCAGCACCTTTGGAGGTCTCGCTCTCGCGGATGAGGAAGGAGCCGTGGGTGTTGCCCGAGGCCAGGAGCTGCCGCTCGGCGTCCTTGCGGCTGATGTTCCTGAAGAACCACCTGGGGAATGGGGCAGGCTTAGGGCAGAGGGGACACGGCCATTTTGTGGGATGCTCCAGGCTCCTTCCCAGAGCTCAGATCCTGCCAGGACACATCCATCCGTCCATCCATCCATGGATCCATCCTTCATCATCCAACTCTCCATGGATCCGTCCATCCATCATCCATCCATGTCCATCCATCCATCCATCCATCATCCATCCATTCATGGATCCCTCCATGGATCCATGGATCCATCCATCCATTCATGGATCCCTCCATGGATCCATCCATCCATCCATGGATCCATCCATCCATCCATCCCTCCATCCCACCTGGCCCATCCCCACTCACGGCTCGGGCTCCAGGCTGTTCACCAAGGCCACGAAGTTGTGGGGGATCAGCCCCTCCTGGCCCGTGGTGAGCGACTGCGCCTTCCACCACTCCCCGTTCCTGCAAGGACAGAGCTCAGTGAGACCCCCAGGCCCTGCCCCGGCCCCGGGGGCTCTGGGACACCTCCGGAATTCCTCACTCTTCCAGCACACGGAGCTTCTCCCCCTTCCGCAGCCCCAGGTCCCCATCGTGCTTGGGCTCGTAGTTGTACAGGGCCACCACCAGCTTGTCTGTGGGGACAAGAGGAGGGACAGGGTGGCAGTGACCAGTCTGGGGGTGGCACAGCCCCCCCAGGCCACAGCCATGCCTCACCTTGCATGGGGGAGCACGGGGGTGACGAGGACTCGTAGGACACCAGGGGGTCTCGGACCTCGGAGCCGTTGCGGATCGGCCTCTGCCGGGGACAGGAACCCCATGAGCCCCCAGCCTGTGGGATTTGGCCACCTCTGGGGGTGTTTGGCCACCGGGATTGGGGTCTGTCACCCCCTCCTCACCTGGTACTTGCTGTCGGGCTCGATGGGGTAATTGCAGTGCTCACAGATGTCGATGTTCTCGATCCAGTCCTCGTCGTAGTCCGAGCTGCAGCAGCAGCCCATGGTGGCTGTGGGGACAGAGGTGACACAGGGAGCCTTGGCACTGCCATCCCTGCCTCTGCTCATTCTCCACTGCATCCCCATCCATCCATCCATTCATGGATCCATCCATCCATCCCTCCCTCCATTCATCCATCATCCATCCATCCCTACATCCATGGATCCATCCATCCATCCATCCATCCATCCATCCATCCATCCATCCATCCCACACCACTGTCCCATCCCAGCTCCCCAGCTGAGGGCATTCCCTGACTCTGTCACCAGCCGTTATTTCCTCCTAATTTATCCTGCCTTCATTAATTACAACCACTGAAGGCAATTAGTGCCCAGCCTGAGGCTCCTCTGTGCCTCCTCTGTGCCTCCTGTGCCGCTCTGGGGCTGATCCCTCTGCTCTCCCTGCACATAACAACCTCCTCATTAACATCCCATTAGCAATTAACATATTCCTGCAGCTTGTCTTTAACGAGCTCTGGCTGGGCAAGAACCTCCCTGATCCTAAAATCATCTCACAGCTGGATGTGGGCACATCCAAACCCCTTTTCCTACAAATCTCCATCCTCTCTGCACACCCAGCCCCATTCCGGCTGCAGCCCAATCCCTGCAACACCCTCGAGGCTCAGCCACGGTGCCACTGGTGTCCCCACGGTGCCACCAGGGCATGGGCACCTTTGTCAGGAGCTCAGCATGGGCTCTGCAAATCCAGCGGGCACCTCTGGCCTTCCTGAGGGTTCTGAGTGTGGCACAAACCCCGTGGGCACCTTTGTCAGGAGCTCTGCAAAACCCGTGGGCACCTCTGGCCTTCCTGAGAGCCTGAGCATGGCACAAACCTGGGCACCTCTGGCCTTCCCAAAAATGCTGAGCATGGCACAAACCTGGGCACCTCTGGCCTTCCCAGGAATGCTGAGCATGGCACAAACCCGGGCACCTCTGGCCTTTCTGAGAGCTCTGAGTGTGGCACAAACCCTGAGGTGCTCTGAGTGGGCACCTCTGGCCTTCCTGGGAATGTTGAGCATGGCACAAACCCCATGGGCACCTCTGGCTTTCCCAGGAATGCTGAGCATGGCACAAACCCAGTAGATTTTATAATTTGGAGTTTGGACATATAATGCATTTGCAGAAGATACTTATCCAGGTGGTAAAGGATATTAGAATGTGTGAAGAGTTGTGTGGAAAAATCAGGATTACACTGTAATGTAAATAACTTTCAAGAATGCCTTAAAATGAAGCAAGAGGGATTTTCTTTACTGTTTGTTACTATGTGGTCAAGAATAATAGATATCCCCTAGAAGTCACTAGTAGGAGAGTGAGGCCAGCACTGAAGTTCAGAAACCTCTCTGTCTAGACACCTCCTCCAGAGGTGCTGGGCCTTCTTTGTGGTTACTCCAGCAGTAAATTATAAATGTCATCACTGTATTATAATGCTGTATTATAAATGCCATCACTGAAATTGCTCTTATCACACAGTTTTTTTTTTTCCAGCTGTGAAGGAGAGACAGGACAATGAACTGGTGGAGATTCCAGTTCTGTGGGCAAGTGGGGAATAAAGGGGATGAAGCAGATGAACAGAGTTATTTTGGAGGAGTGGCTTTCATGGAGCTGGTTCAGTGTGTTGAACTGCCCTTTCTGGGTCAGTAGGTGTATGGAGAGGACAGGCCAAGTGCCAGCTGCCACTCCAGACCCAAAGGATATACCTTCATTTTCCTTTCTGACTCTCACTTCTGATTATCCACATTTTTTAATGGCAGCAACTGAGGGGATGTTCTGTAGAGACATATTAATTCAGTTTGTAACCAATAAGGACTTAAAAAACATCAAGCCTTTGGCTCAGGACATGGAGAATGTTTTTGTGACGTGTAGCACTCTAAGATTCTTGTTGTTAAACAGCTGAACTCTGCCAAGTCGCCTTTGCTTGCTTCATTATGCAATTCAACACTGATTTCGGAGGGAAACAGGCAATGCTAATTAAAGACCAGTTAGTTTTCACATGTAAATATCTACTGGATTTAGATGAGAGTCATTAATATACTCTTCATGTATGCATTTTTTATACAGGCCCTGGTATATGTGAAGGTGTGAAGCAGGAAGCCATGAAATTTATGGAGGAGGCAGAGCAGCTCATCCTGGCCTCAAATGGGTCCCAGTTTGCCTTTGGAGAGAGCTTCCTGCTGGCAAAGGGGATACAGCTCACGGACAGGGAGCTCCTGCGCTCCGCTGGGCCCTACGGGCTGGGGGCAGCGATCTCCCAAAAGCTGCTGTCAGGCAGTGACTCTGCTCTCCAGCTGGCTGCATGGTCAGGTGGGTGGGAGGGAGAGGAGTTCATTCTGAGCATGAATTGAATGGAGTCACGCCCAGAATCTGTGCAAGAGCACTTGATGTCAAGTGCAACTTTGCTGAGAAGCAGGTGTGACTCAGCAGGTGTAATTAATCAGGGTCATTAAGCTGCCATGGCAAGAACTGATTTCAGTTGTCTCATATGCATGACACAATGCAAATATAAAATCTGGGCACTTACCAGCCTTTATGTACTTAAAACATGAAATATGATTCTACTCAAGCCAGGTCTCATAAGCTCTTGGAGATCTCTTTCACACCCAAGATAGCTCAGCTACCTTTGAAGGCATAAAATTAGCAGGATGGCTTCTGTGGCAGTGTTGGAAACAAAAAGGTTTTAATAAAAGGCAAAATAACAAACTCTTTACAGAGAAAAACCGATCCAGGTGCAAGAGGCCCTCCTGCCCTTGGTAAAACACCTCACAAAAGCCATTAGTTTCTTTGTTCTCTTCTTTTTCTAATAAATTGCCCAGGCAGGACTTTTTGGCTTCTGTCCAATTAACCACGCTTAAGTTTGAGGTGAAGTCCTATGAGGTGCCTTTTCCACCTAATCGAGGAAACTTCTGGGCTTATTTCCTTTTTAAGGGGACAAAGGATAGTTTTGTCACTCTGTCAGCAGGGGACACATTCCTATAAAAACATTTATTAATTTGTCTTCTGAAGTACGGAGAACATTCAGATTTTTGAAAATATGTGCATTTGATATATCCTGTATTGGGTACTAGAGCTTTCTTTTACTTCTCTTCTATAGCCCTGCACTTCTACTGGCAGAGTCACTTTACTTCAAAGAGTTCTGCTGGGGAAGCAGCACAGCTGGGATTTTTCCCTTACATCCCTCAGTGTGATGGCCTGGGAAACTGGGAGCCAACTCAGTGCTATGAGAGCACAGGTGAGCAATTCCTAACAAGACACTCTGGGCTGTCTAAACAAAAAACCAACCAAACAAAAAACCAACAACCCCAAAAAAACCAAAAACCCACTAAGAATTCTAATTAAAAGATCGAAAACCAGTAGTAGTCAGACTAGAGGAAGAAGATGTTGTCTATAAGATGTGTGTAAATTGGCTGGACTCAAGTGGAAGTTCATTTGGGCTCAAAAATCAGTAGATATTCAGTTGCTTGTTGCTAGTTGTGTTCCTTGGGGGTTGGTGCTGGGGCTGGTATTGCTTAATGCCTTCACTCATGACCAGGATGATGAGATGGATCACATCCTCAGCAAGTTTGTGGATGATGCCAAATTTCTGGGAGTAGGTGATAGGGCTGCAGTGGGGGAGTCTCACCAGAGCTGCTACATTTCCATTTGTATCACTGCTCTCAGGTGTGGTCTACTTACCCCTGGACAGCTGTGACTTGGATTTACTGGCCCCTTTCTATAGAGCTGCTGAGGGTGAAAATTTTCCTAGTATGCAACAAAGCACACAGCAACACCACATCTAAAATAAAGCTGCTTTTCTTCCCTGGCCAGGTCATTGCTGGTGTGTGGATGAGAGAGGTCGTTATGTCATGGATTCCTTGGTCTCACGCTCAGCAGAACTTCCCAAATGTCAGTTGGGTTTTCTTCCTAAATATTTGTCTTGACCTGTTCTTGAAAATTTTAATATTTGTTGGAAATTCTAATATGCATGAAGTAAGGCTTGCTTCTAACCATTCCAAGAAAAATAAAAAGAATTATATTTTTATTTTACTAATTCATTTAATTTCATTGTATGTGATTTTGGCTTGCATGATTTGAGGGTCGACCCTCTACTGTTGGTGGTCCTGCCTGAGATAGCAGCAGATGTGTGAGGGAGCTGGTGATGTAACTCTTTCTCTTGCATAGGTCTGAAACTTGATTTTATTTTAAAAATATTTTCCCTCTGACAGGCCAGACTTCATGTCAGCGATCTCGAGCCAATGCCCTAATTTCCAGCTGGAGACAGAGCGGTGCCAAGCTGGACACCTCTACAGCTGATCTGTTCATCCCCAGCTGCCTTGAGGTGATTTGACAAGACTGAGGGAGGAAGCAGTTTTGCTCACACCATGCCATAGTCAGGCACACTTTCTGTCCATGCTCCTTAAGCACCCCTTGTGCATTTCTATTAACCTGAAAGAAGAGGGTAAGACAAAACTAACAGCTGGTGTTGCCCTGTGAAGGCAGAATTTAAATTTAAATTTAAAGGCAGAATGGCTTTGAGATGGAGACTGGGGATAGGAAGCTCTGTGCCTGCCCACGCTTCCCTCCCACAGGCTGGCTCTGCCTGGTGCTCTTGCAGAGCTGTGCTAAAAAGACACACCTTAATTGACTGACATTTGGGGGCTCTTTCTTCCTGAGTTGTGACAGAATGACAATGTGAGGGGGAGCTGGGTGCAGATGTCCCAAAAAAAACAGGGTCTGTGATGCTCTCAAAATGTGGCAGTGAGCAGGAGAGAGATAGGCAAAGAATGGACACTTCATGTAATACAGTCATTATCATACAGAATCACATAATCATTTAGGTTGGAGAAGACTGCAAGTATCAAGTCCAACTATTGCCCCAGCATTGCTGAGTCCACCACTGAATCATATCTCAAAGCACCACATCTACACTTTTTTTGAAAATATTTCAAGCTAGGATTTTGTCAGAACTTTATCTCAGTGGACTTCTAGTCTACATCCTGCCTAATGGTTGGACTCAGTGATCTTAGAGGTCTTTTCCAACTTAAATGATTCTTGATTCTCTCAGGGACTGGTCTGTCTATTAAATTAGTTAGACTGCATTTTGTGTTTCTTTTCAATGTTTTAATAATGGACAAGTGTAAATATAATAAAGCATTTTAACCAATCTTTGGGGCATGGATTTCAGTGTGTCTATATTAATTAAGGTCCTTAATTCTTTGTAGACAGGGGAATACACGGTGCTGCAGAGATCTGACACAGATATTTGGTGTGTGGATCCTGCGTCAGGAAAAATATTCCAGCGTGGCAGCAAAGACTTGGATGGCAATCCTGAGTGTGAGTAATGCTTTGCCCCCTGCCTGTGATCCCTCATGCTTTGCAGCATATGTACTTTCCCTTTCAGAATGCTGCCTGTGAAACATGGGAGGCTCATAGTTTAATTCCTCAGTGATAGGGTACATACAAAGCACAGCAACATTGAAAGGGTATCTGAAAATTGTTACCCTTTACTTTCATAACACCAGAAATAAAACAGTCTAGATAAACTTATGAATGGACTTTTATGCATATTTTAGTCTTTGATTTCTTACTATTTAAAAAGGTAAATGATCATATTGTTACATTTAAAATTACCTTGATCAAAAACTTTTATGAAAAGCTAAACTTTTCGAACTTGATTTTTTTTTGTCTCCTGAGTAGGAGGTGCTAAATGACACATCATCACATTTGTAAATAAAAATAAATATATGAATGAAAAATAAATAACAGCATTTTAAAATTTTTTTTCTAAAACAGTACCACTTGCACTTCAATCTTTAGAAGAAAGTGTGTTTTTTTTCTAGTAGAACTAAATTCCCCATTCCTATAATCAAACAAATTATTTGTTTTCATGGTCACTCTTCTTTCTTCCTACCAACAAAACAGGCTGGAAGCACTGCTGGTAAAATCTTTAGGTCAATTTATTGTCTTCTATCCTGTATCTTGCAAAGAATCTCTCTCTTTGAAGGTCCCAGTTTCTGTAACATGCTGAAGTCCAAAGTGGTTTCAGGAGAAGCTGCCAGAGGAGACATCCCCCAGTGTGAAGGGGACGAGGGGAGTTTCTCCGCTGTGCAGTGCAGCCAGGACCAGGAGAGCTGCTGGTGTGTCTTTGGCAATGGAGAAGAGGTGCCAGGGACACGAGTAAACGGGGCAAGACCGGAATGTGCAAGTGAGTTCCTGCTTTGGGCATTTTACTTGTGAGCAAATCCAGGCCTGAAATTTAACCCAGATCCTATTTTTTTCCACTCCCTACTTGAATTTAATCTTATTTCTTCAGACCTTTAGAGATTTTTTTCTCAAGCAACATGCTTATCTTTGTGTTACAGCAGATTTCAGACCGACCAGGGCATGCTGTCTGGTTTTCTTCAGGTGCTTTGTGAGGGAAAAAGAAGAACAGAATGGATCCTTGACTTTTTGTAATTCATAAAATTGGTTGAATCAAACCATTTGAGCTATGAAATCCAGCTATAAGGCCATTCTGAAAAGCTTGCTGCAAACTTGAACCTGCTCCAGTCTGAGCTGGCTCTGGGATTAAAACCCATTCAGCTGACTAAAATAAAATTTGAAAAATGTATGCGTCTGCCATTCTGACTCTTGGCTTGTGACGAGAATTGTGAAAAAGATATGCCAACACATTGCATATTCACAGAGTATTTCCTGAATGACCAGAGTTGTGAAGCACTGGAATTCACTCATGGTTTCCAGTGAGACATCCAAATGGGAGACATTTGGATAAATTTAATTTGCAATGTTCTTTATGCATTTTCCCATCACTGAAGTGAAGCAAAAGTAATTAAACTTTCTACAAGGCTGTGCTCCAAAATGTAATGATTAGTGGGAAGTAGAGAAGTGAAAAGAAAACCTTCAACAGTTGTTTGCAGGCTACTGTTTTCAGTTTTTTTGTTGGTTTTTTTTTTTTGGTTTTTTTTTTTTTTTTTGGGGGGGAAGGGTTGAAAAAAAAATAAGGAAAAAAGAGCACAGAATTTGCTTCAGTTTTCTTTTGTGATTCTGCTGTGTAAAGATCAACACAGGCCTGTGCTCACAGACCAAATAGAAAATGTGACACTTGAGGACATGGTTTAGTGGTGGAGCTGACAGTGCTGGGTTAGTTGCTGGACTTAATGGTCATACAGGTAATTTCCAAATTTAATGATTCTACAATTCAATTGTAAAATGCCTGAATGTGTCAACCCAATTGCCTGCAAGGTTTTTATCAACTGGCTAACTGCTCAGCCAACTTGGAAATAATTTAATTTGTGCTCTCTTGTATTAATAGAGAGTTCTGAGGATGGGATTTTATGAGAAGCCAGAAGGAGACCCCCATGGCTGCATCTGCCCCATGCTTGTGGTGTTGTGTGAAGATGCCAACTGAGCTCTGAAAATGAGCTCCAAAGTAGGGTGGTGTAGTCACCTGAGCATAGCCATCCAAGGCAGGATTTTAGCTCTTCAGAGAAGCAGAGCTGACCACAAGTACAGTGCTGCTGCCATCCTGTACTTTTCCTAGAGAAAATAATGACTAATAGTGATTAATGACCTTTCTGTTTAAAATACTGAGCTGAGAAGGAGAACTGCTTTGAAAATATAACGGAAACCTGGTTTTACTAAAAACTGTTTGTTTTTTTCTGCATAAAGATTGAAATAATCTTTAATGGTTTCCCTGGATTTTGAAAGAGTGATGGAACTTTTCATGATACACAGCTTAGTTATTGTGTAAAAAAAAAAAAAAAAAAAAAAAAAAAATAAAAAGTTAGTTTTTCCCCCTGTCTCCCCACCCTTATCAGACAGCTGAGAACTCTTGGATTTCAAACAGTGATGGAAAAAATCCAGAGATCTGAATATGCAGCTATATCTGCAATCTCAGCTTCAGTTGGTGTGACCGTAACATAGCCTTATATTCATGTCAGTCTTTGACTCCTGCAAAGATTACCAGTCCTAATGCAGGAAGCATATATGAGGTAAGATAGCTGTGTCCAACTTAATCAACTAAGTACAGAAGTCTGTAGTGTCATCTTCCAGAGATGTGAAAGATACTTAAATATGTATAAATATGACTGGAATGGAAATGCAATTAATTGTGTGCAGAAGCATCTGATGTCTAGATTCCTCAAGAAAAAATACAACACTTTTTTACAAAAAAAAAAAAACCTAAAATTCAGCAATAAATTTATAACACTTTAATGACAGCATGGATGTTCCTTAGCATAGGTTTTAAGGCATTTATTTTATTTTAAAAATACATACAGAATAATGTCATTAAAATATTAAATAAGCACTTAGTAAAGTTTGTGGTACATGAGGCAAGAAGTCTTGCTGTTAATTTTTAGTTTTAAGAGTTAACTCAGATGTATCAGGACATGCATATTTTACATAGGTATCATTCAGGTTTTGATAAGCTGTCACTATAAGAATAGTGCAGGTATTGAGGACTTCACAAGTTCAGAAGACTGCAAGTCTAGAAGTGTACTGTGTTGTCACATAGCTGGAATTTTGAACAGAATAATACCATGCAAACAGGTATAAAATGTGGAGGCCTCATTAAGCTTTAAAGTAGCACCTGGCCAAGATAAAAAGAGAAAAATTTGTCCCGAAGGTAAACATTATTTAAACATCAATAAAAGGAAATAGCCTGAAGCCAGGAACTTGCTATTCAACATGCAAGCAGAATAGTTACGTAATTAAGAAAATATTTGCCAGCTATGATTTGAGGTAGGAATTAGCAGTGAAAATGAAAGAATTACAATGTTTTGCTTATGGGAGGCATACAGTCCCAACCATAAATAACATGCTTTTTCTTGCTAAAATTAAAATTTTTTCTCAATAAGATTTAGGGGCTATGGGAAATTTATTATACCTATTTCAGTTAACCATATAATTTGTGTTCCCAAATATTGCCTTTTCATTCCTTGCCTTAATCAAAATCTGAATATGGCAGTCTAAGCACAGAAAAATCAAAGTGGCTGGAGAGAAATAAACATCAATTGTTTCCAGCCCTGAAAGAATATTCTTTCTTAGCTGTAATTGTGTCACAAATAGCTGTAGCTGAGTTAGTTTCAGCTTAGGTAAGGATAAGCAGCCGTACAATAGGTAGAATTGCTTTCAGCCATCCTAGTTCACCAATTTTGGACTAATTACCGGCAAATACGGAAAATAGAAAATGGGGTTAGAACCATAGCAAATGGCTTCAGCATCCAGCTGCATTGTCCTGCCAGTGTCTCTCACAGATCTAAACTGGAGCCAAAGCTGCATTCTTTCCCCACAATCTCCTCAGCTGTCTTGGCTGTGCCTGTGATAAGTGGGCTGAGCTGGTTGGACACTGAAGATGGAAAGGAGGACAGCAGTTAGCACTGGGTCCTCTTTGTGTGCCTGTTGGTGGAAAATGATGAGTCCACAATAAAAAAAAAAAAACGACTTTTTATTTTTTGTAAAAAAAAAAAAAAAAAAAAAAAAAAAATCAAAAGTTAGTTTTCTCCTCTGTCTACCCAGCCTTATGCCTCTAGTCCTGAGAATTACTAAAAATTGTTCAGGAAAAAGGCGTACTATACTGCTACTCTGGAGATCTTGTCTCTCAGCAAAATAAGCTGTTGTGGTAGGAAAATATGATAAAGTTCTCCTCCAGCATCAGAACAGACAGCTGTGAACAGAAAGTAATAACTCAGAGTGCCCAGTACATGCCAGGAGGTTTTCATTAGTTTAATCACTTCCATCAGAGGTAGAATCCAGCTCCTTCTATCTGGCATGCACTGGAGAGATGATGCCAAGTACCCCAGCAGTCCTCATGCATCTCCCATCCTCATGCCCACTTCCCATAACTCTGAGCAGAGACAGAGGAGAGAGGTTTCCAGAGAAGGTCCTGGAGATGTTAATTCCCTTGTGAAAATCTTTGGAAACACCTATGAAAGAAGTGTCAGTATTCAGCTGGATTCTGATTCACTCCTACAGGGCCAAAAAACAGGACAATGACAAAATGGTGCAGGCTTAGTAAATAGTAAATGAAGTGGAATCTCTAGAGGGATAAATGAGCAAGTTACTGATGGTGAATTGAAACCTCTGAACCACACCAGGAAACCATTGATCACTTCTGTTTTGGAGGCTGGGAATTTCCTTGGTTCACACACCAAATCTCAATGGAACAGGCAGTAAGAGATTGTAGCACCATGCAGCTGAGACTGGATACTACTTGCTGGATATAGAAACATGTTAGAGCAATTAAGAAACCACAGACTGATTTTTACATACTCTGTATAAAGATTATATTATTGTAATTTAACAGCCAGGATAAGTATTACTATCTCTTTTACAGAGATGCCTTCTGGTCCTAAAACCTTGGGAGATTTATTAGAAGTTTGTTAAGCAAGGATTCCAGGTTTCCACCTTTACTGGGAAAGAGTCTGGCTACAGTCAATGAGTGAAGAGAAGGAATGTAGTGGCCCCATTTACAGAGTTATTGCAAAAAAGTTGCTATAAAGGAGACTTGGATAAAAATATGCATTTGGCAATTCAGAGAGGCAGATATGAAAGCTTTTTTTGTTGGCATTGAAATGCTCAGAGTTGGAAAACAAAGATGTACTGCACACACTGGATCCCAGATTGATCATGCAATGTTTTAATACTTTAGCTGGAAGTTTAATACAAGGTTTTTAATACTTTAAATGAAGTGGCTGCTTAGTTATGGAATTAATCTCCATCAGAAGGGGAGAGGGAGGGTGTTCAGATCTGAACCAACATCAATGTTTGCCTCCCCTTCAATGATCAGGAAGTTTAGGACTGATCTGAGCATTGTAATTTGGGAAATTATCTTATATATTATTATATATACAGCAAGCAAGTGAATTGTATAATATGGTAACATCTTTTTCTTTGTATTTATATATAAGTGAGGAAGTTGGGGGTTTTTCCTCTATTTTTGTAGCTCTGTAACTAATAATGGTATAGCTATTACTGAATATATTTAGTAATTGAGTTGGGATTTGGCTAATTGAATGAAGCAGGGGCTAGCAGGGTTTCAGTGACTGCACTTATACAGAGTGGGTGGTTAGGGAAAACTGTGCTCCAACTCTAGAGCTGTATACTACTGCTTATATATATATATATACACATATATACTGCTTATATATATGTTATATTTTATATATATGTGTGTGTGATATATATATATGTATATAATGTATATTCTGCCCTACTGGTCACTACAAACACCTTGGTGCTGCTGAAGACACCGCAGTCATGAATTCCTGATCTCAAACCTTTCAAACTTCAGTCTAAGGGGAACTGAGGTTTATTTGGCCCTGCGTGCTTCCACTAGATATGTTCTGTAAAGGTTCGTTCTGCTGTTGCTTAGAAATCTCCTTCTCATTTCCTGCTGAAATTTATTCATGGCTGTTCAGAATGTATCTGTTCCTAGAAACCACGCACATCCCTTTCTGGGCCTGATACCCATCAATATGTGTCTTTCCATCAGCTTCAGTAAACTGAACCAAGCTGACCTCAAACCAGATCAAAGTTGATGATGGGAAGGGCACAGGGTGCTGTCTAGATTTGAATCTGTGGATGTGAGGGCTTTATGGACTTTGTCCTAGAAGTCATTACAGCCCCTGACACATGTCCCCTTTCTCCCGTGCCTGCAGGTCCGCAGTGTGCTCTGCCATTTGGTGCCTCAGCAGTTGCCAATGGGGCTGTACTTTGTGAAAACATCCCTGGACAAGATCCAAGCATCCAGCAGTGCCAGCTCGTGTGTCGCCAGGGCTTCCACAGCGCCACCCCCAGCACCTCATCCCAGTGTGATGCGCGGCAGCGGCGCTGGGTCTCGGCTGCCCCTCTGCTCCAGGCCTGCCAGAGTATGTCTGCTCTGCTCTGCTTTGCTCTGATCTCATCTGATCACATCTGCCAGGGCCTGGGGAGGGCTCAGAGCAGTGCAAACAGTGCAAAAATCAGGTTTTATCACACAACTACTGCATGAATAACAACCTTAAGTTCTAGGGGAGTTGCTAAGGTGAGGTGCAGAAGATGTGTTCTGTCTTCTGCCATCTTCACCTCTGGCTCTTGGCTGGCCCCTGTGCCAGAAACTGTCCCTCTTGTCTGTAATAATAGAGCTATAAATAGCTATTCAATCTATATGCAGATTTTTCTTGTTAGTTAAAAGATGCTGGCACCATAAGTGATTCTGATGGAACCACTTAGCCCTGGAAGAACAGATGAGTGCCAGATGTTTGAATTTGGCAGAACTTGACTGTTTATTTGCATAATCAAGTCACTGTTACTTCTGCATCTTTTTTGCAGCAGTGTGTTCTTAAGGATTATTGTTGTATTTTTTGGCTGACTTCTGGTATTTTTCAAAACATTTTGCTTTCAAGAAAAAAATAGCACTTTAAATCTTGGAAGACTTGGATGTCCATTCAGAGCTTATGTAATTGGATATTAGTGTTGACTTTTTCAATTATTTTGAAAAGACATACATTCTGATTGAAATGGCAATTTGTAGCAGTGCTGAACTTTGAGAAATGCAGGTCTTCCTGCCAAATTTGCAGCTACTTCTCACTTCCAGAATAGGTTACACCCATTAATCAGTCTTCAGAATGGGTTAAACTCTTCTATTCCAAATGCAAATATTTTTAATCTTTCAATTTCAGATTGAAACTTTTGTCTGTTTGTGATTGTGTTTGTGAGGTTTCTGTAGCATGTTATGAAATAACTTCCATGTTTGCCTGATGGCAGTGGGATAACTTTGTAGGGACAGAGGGGAGTGTGTGGCAATCTGCTATAAAGTTTACGGTAAGCCAAGGACTTCCCCCAGTAATTTGTGTTTGGAACAGAGTGTAGTTTAAAGGAGAAAGAAAAAAATCCCAACACATTAGAAGGTGATTGAACAAACTTCACAAAAATGGAGAATTCACCAAAACACTTAGTAATTTGTTCCAATGGATAATTACCCTCACTCTCAAAAATCGTGTTTCCTGTTCTTTATGTATAAATCTAGAGACTGTGGTTAAATCAGCTCTTTAAATACTTTCCAAGAAACTAAGCAGAGAGAGGGCTTTTGTGCCTTGCAGGAAGAAGCAGGGATTTGTATCCTCTGGTCCCATCTGCCATTCTCCTTGGAAGCTCTCCAGGCTTTCTCATGCTTGTTTTTGGGGTGAGGGATGAGGAATTGTGCTCCAGTGGTGACACCTGTATGTGATGCAGGGAGAGCCTGCAGAGGAGCTGAATGAGGGAGAGCTCTGCCGCTTGTCCAGCCTGGTGGGATAAGAGCCAGCTCCACGTGGAGGTGGAATGACAGCATGACTCTTGTGCTGAGCCTGAGATAACAAACCCTCCATGGGGCCTGGGATCAGTGGTACTGCAGGGGAGACAAGGAATTTGTGGTTTTTTCTTGCTAAAAACTGATTAAATAGATTTTGATTTTCTGACTGATGAGCTCACAGATTTGTCATCAGTTTGTGTGATTAGCATCACTTGAGTTTGCTATCAAAAATTCTGAAAGGTCTTGTAGACGTCCATGGCAACGGCATTATTCTGCAAATTTATTCCCTCCTAAAACTTAGTTCCAGTTAGTTTGACAAGCTGGGTTTCCAGAAGCCAGTTTACATTAGTATTAATTGCTTTCATCATTTAATTCCTTTTTTAATTGAAGTGTTTTCATGATTGCATGTAAGAGAAGTGAAAATTGACAGGTCAATAATTCTTGTCTTTCGGTTTCTTTTCTAAGTATTGGCATAATGTCAGCTTTCATGTGGTTCTCTAGAACTTCCTATTTGCTAAGGCCTAAGAAAAATTATCAGTTATGATCCAGATTGTCCTTATCCTTCTGTGAGCTAGTGCTCCAGTTTAAAATAGCTCTTCATTATTATCTAAGTGTATCACTTGTTTTTTTTCTCTAATGCACAACATTTATATTTATCAAGCTTGTGTCTTGTTGTTTGTTATTTACTACTGACAGCTCTACTGCTTTCATCTAAAAGTGGGGAGATGTTTTTGATGCAACATGAGAATGTCAAATCAATGTCTTTTCTCAAAGTAACTCTGAAGGTCAGGTTCCTCATTAGTGAGGTTACTAAATGCCCTCTCTACTTCATTTTTAGAGCTCCAGTTATTTCAGATGGTCCAAGCTCAAACACACTTTCAACTACGCCTGCCTCCTGAGAAGACGTGTAGTTCTGACTACTCTGGATTACTCCAGGCATTCCAGATATTTATTTTAGATGAATTGAAGGCCCGTGGCTTATGTCATCTCCAGGTAATTTAAATTCCTGTTGGTGGATTTTGTTTGGTTTGTTTTTGTTTTCTTTGGTTGGGTTTTGTGTTGTATTAAAAATAATAATAATAATAAAAAAAGTGAAACACAACATAGACCTTTGCCTGTTTGAGAAATGTGGAAGAATGGAACATGCCATGAAATCTGTCAGGATTGGCAGCACTCTCGTATAGATGAGTGGGAAAATAAGTTTAGTCTCATACCACGTCATCAGATCAGTTTAGTTCCATCCATAAAAGTCATATCACACCAGCCCAATATTTGTTAAAAAATTGTTTCAATGGAAGAGAATATTTTGACTATTCTTGCTGTGAGTATATGGCTTGCTAAAATTATATTTTCTTCCTTCTGTTTTTTATAGCCCCTTTTGACAGCGTTACTTTGAGTGTAGTGCAGTGCAAATGAATAGGGCAAGGCAAGAATAAGAAAATTCTCAGGTTGTCTAACTGTGATTTCACTTAATTCTGAATTCAAGGTAAATGCATTTGGAAAAACCGGCTCAGTTTCCATGTGTGATGATTCCACTGTCTATGTCGAGTGCCTGAGTGTGGATCGCCTGGGAGTGAACATCACGTGGAGGACTCAGCTGGAAAACATCCCCACAGCTTCTCTCCCTGACTTACATGATATTGGTAATTTTTCTTTCTCTTATTTTTCTGTGGATTAAACCTGATTTACTTTTAATCATTTTGCTTCCCTGTGTTTATAACACTGGTGTTGTGTTTTTGAGCTTTCAGTGTTGATATATTTCCCTTCCCAGGCTGTGACCATACAGTGGAAAGAAGCTGTAATTGAATGTTTCTTTCAGATAGGACTGCAGCTGCCTTAACTAGGATTGCAATTACTTTATCGGGCATGAGCTGAACTGTCCCAGATGTTAATTTCCTTCAGACAAGTCCTTAGTGGTGGAAAAGTGTTTATATTCATTGTATTCAGAGAAACACAATTCACACATTGTCAAAAACTCAACTAATTTCTTCCAAGTTATTTTTTTCTTTTTTTTTTTTCCCTTTTCCCTCTTTTTCTGTTAGTTGCATTACCATTGACACTAAAGAATAATCCTTCCTTCTGATGTCCTAGAGCAACTATACAGAGACCACTGACTGGCAGATGTTTGCTGTGGTTTCCATGAGAGTTAAGGGTGGTGTAAGGAACTTCTTTCAAAGCAGTCAGTATTTTCCTTCAATATAAAATATATTAAAAATATATCCCAAGTTCAAATCACTCTGTGGACATATCAAGGATAGTGGCCTGTACCAAGAATAATGTGGCCAGCAGGCCCAGGGCAGTGATTGACCCCCATACTTAGCACTGATGAAGCCACACCTTGAATCCTGTGTTCATTTTTGGACCCCTCACTTCAAAAAGGATGTTGAGGTTCTAGAGCATGTCCAGAGATGGGCAATGGAGCTGGAGAAGGGTCTGAAGTTCAAGTCTGATGTGGAGCAGTTGAGGGAGCTGGGGCTGTTTAACCTGAAGAAAAGGGGAGATCTTATTGCTCTCTACAGCTGCCTGAAAGGAGGTGGGGGTCATTCTCTTCTCCCAGGTCTCAAGTGACAGGACAAGAAGAAATGGGCTCAGGCAGTCCCAGGGGAGGTTCAGATTAGATATTAGAATTTTTTTCATTGAGAGAATGGCCAGGCTTTAGAATAAGCTGGCCAGGCAGGTGGTGGAGTCACCGTCTCTGGCAATGCTCAAGGGGCACCTGGATGTGTCCCTTGAGGATGTTATTTAGAGGTGATTATGGTGCTGCTGGGCTGGTGGTTGGACTAGATTATCTTGAAGGACTCTCCCAACCTTGGTGATTCTGAGTGACCTTTTCTCCAGTTTTACTGCTTTGGAATGGTGTTCCCAGCACAAAAAATAAATAGCTCTGTCTGCATGTGTTCTTCCTTCTAACTTTGGGGCTTGGAGATAGGTATCCTACAGCAATTTTGCTTGACCAGAACTGAATTCAAAATCCTTCAAGACACAGATGGCAGCTGCAGTGGTCCTGTAGCTCCTGGCTCTACAGTTTGACATTGTTTGCATCCATCAAGTTGTTCCATGTTCTAAGGGAAACACAAAACACAGAATGATAGAATAGCTTGGCTTGGAAGGGACCTTTAAAGGTCATCTAGTCCAACACCTCTGCCATGGGCAGGGACATCTTCAACTCAGTCAGGTTCCTCAGAGTCCCTTCCAATCTGACCTTGAACATTTCCAGGGGTGAGGCAACTTGGTCAAGTGTTTCACCACCATCATTGTAAAAAACTTCTTCCTTATGTCTAATCTAAATTATATCTAATCTCAATTATATTTTATCTAATGCTCCATTGCCCCTGGGAATATTCAAGCAGTTTGCAGAAAATGAATCAAAGTATAAATGTGTTGTGTTTTATATTCAACTTTTCTTTTGAAAGTGTTCCTCTTTGAGGGAATTACCTTTTTGACCCTCTCCACACTAAAAATTCCCCGTAGTACAAAAGTAGTTTTTTGAGGGAATGATTGTATGGTTTCAGAAGAGACAGAGCAGAACCTGCTCTCTTTGTATGGTCATGGCACCAACATGTCCCATTAAGTTCCAACTTCCATCATCTGCTAAGGCAGCTTTGGGGCCTTCTGTTTGAGGTGGTTTTGGGTTATTTAAGCAGAGTAAAGTAAGACTGTAATTTTATAGATGCTGTACAGATTAGTTAGGGTCTGCTGTTTGTTGACATGCTTGTATTTCTGCATCTGCCTCTGTTTTTAACTTCAAACCATCAGTTTCTGTGTGGTTATCCATTTCTGTATTACAAAAATGTCTTTCATGCTATTTTGTTGTATTTTTTTTTTCCTTCTTTAGAAAATGCAATTGTTGGGGAAAATCTCATTGGAGCATTTATAAAAGAGATTAAGGATGGTGTTTTTCTGCTGCATTTGGATTCCAAGCAGTTCCTAGCAGATTCTGTCATTGATTTTCCCCGGGATGAAGAGTTTGATCTGTCTCCCCGTGTGCAGCTTGGATGTAGAAGTGGGTTTAGAAGAATTTCATCTTCTGGGAAAGCAGGCCCTAATTCACAAGGATGTGGTAGGTCTCATTTTTAGTTTTCCATTCTTAGATGTTGTCAGGAATCAGTATAAAGCTGAAATTAGAAAGCCATCAGTGAACTTGTGTTTAAAGTTCATATTTGAAAGTTGTGAGGCACCACTGTGAATGAGAGAGATGGGATTTAGTGCTTTGCTTACTGTTCATTCTATGTGTTGAACCAAAGATTTGGAAATAGGCATCATGGCACTGACATTGTATAGAAAGTTTTGTAAACATTTTTGAGATTTTTGTAACATTTTAGATCTGTCTGGTAAAAGAAGGTCATTCTGTAATGCACATGATCCTTAATAAGAGGATTTCACAAAGATAATATAGCCAGAGCTTCAGATAATGATCCATTACCTGGAATAGAAACCTAGATGCAGAAGTGCCAAAAGTCCTGAGACTGTGGATTCCTGGGCCAAGTCCAGCCAGCTCAGATGGAAGCTTTTTTTGATGCTGGCCAACACCCAGACCTAACTGCACTTCTACCCTCTTTTCTTCTTCTTTCCTTCTGTTTAGTCTGCTTCCTTGGAACAGGCTGCCTTTCTGCCAGCATCCTGCTTAGGGCTGCCACACCTGCCTTTTCCACAACTCCCCGTGGCTGTGCCAGCCTGTCCTTGGTACCAGGTCATGCTGCCAAAGTGCCTTTGCCTTACCACTGTTGTTTCTATCAACACCAACCTTCCTTCAGATCCTGGTTGTTCTTGGTGGCCAATTGTCCTCAATGAGTCCGTGTCTCATTTATGCCAGTTTGGGATGTATCCACTATATTTAGCCATTTTAAATCTAGGGAACAGAGGAGAGATGTACGACTTGTAGGTATAACATAAGAGAGGCAGGTTTTGGATAAGTTTTCTAATGGGAATATTTTCAAATATTCCTCACTTCATTGCTATGAAGCACATCAGAATATGTGAAAAAAACTTATCTCCCTGCTTGGGTGTGCTGTTTCTGTTTAAGTTCGGAGAGTATCTTAATGCTTGGATAATGCTTTTGAACTGCTGCAGTTTCCAGCCTGGACCTTTAAGGGTAAATTGTCTGCAAGTTCAGTTCCTCTCCACAGTCTGAAACACTTCAGATCTGGGTTATTTAAACACATGCAGAAAAAAAATATTAATTCCTGCTGAGTCCAGAGTCCATAGCAACTTGCAGCTACCTAACAAGATATAGTGTTGTATTGCTTAAAGGTATCATTATTTTTTAAGTAGAATCCATCACCTAGAGCAAAACTTAAAAAGAATTGCATCTTTCTGCCAAGTTTTGCCTGCCAGGCATAAAGGCCTCTAGGAGGCAGAATTAACTTGCCTTGCATATATATTTGAACCAGCTAGCTGTGGAAAATGTCACTTAGTAAAACAGACATCATAGACATGTGGAAAGGAGACAGTTTCTGCTCCAGCCTTTGACAGAGATTTCCTACTCTAGGCTGTCATAGTATACTGCTGCTGGACACTGGTTGGTTTTGCAGGACTGCATATTTTATTCTGAGCAGGGAACTTAGGAATTCAGGTTCTGGTTCTTCTAATATATATATAAATATATATGGATATATCCTGCTCATTCATCCTGTCTGTGTCTGTTTCCCCACTAATAATAATGACAATTAGTAAGAAGAACCACCTGTGACTACAGAAAACAAAATATTGTGAAGGTGGCAGAGATTCTTTATTCTCTTCTCTTTCCTGTTCTGGCTTGATCTTGAAACAGAAATGGTGTTTTCAGATCCTGATCCTTTTGATTTGTTTGGTTTTATTTCATTGTCAATGTTGTTGCTTTTCCTTCAGGAAGCTCAGTAGCAGCAGGTTTCTGGTGTTCTCAATCAGCTTAATATATTCTTTTATGAACATGCAACTTACATGGATCTGCCTCTTTGTCCCTTGTATTTTCCTTACAGTCACCTGTTTATTTGCATCTATTGTTGTGTTGTTTCACATTTTCCCACCTCTAAAATGGGTAACATTTATCATATGTTAGTTTTTGTTATATGACTTTTTTTCTTAGTCTCAGCCTTACCCAGTTATGTTATGTCAGAGGTATCTATGAATACAATTCCTTAAGAGTTAGGGGTGATAATATAATTTGATTTAAATTTTAATAGTGGAAAAGGCACTTTATTTTGCTAATATATGAGTTAAAATTTAGAGAGTGAGAAACTGTCCAAGGAGACTTTAGGAACATAAACCTTCTCCTCCATTTATTTCAGGATAATACCGAAAGGCTGTTTCTAAATTAGCTTTGTCTTATTATAAATTTTTGTGCTGGTTCTTTTTATTTAAAATGCTTGATGATTCTATTAAAATTGCTTTAAACATAATATAACCCAAATGAAAGGGCTAGATTTATAGCTGATTGACTGCTCAAAATTTATTTCTAATAATCTATATCAAGAATCTGATATCCCAAAGTTTTCCAGTATCCCTGGAGGGAAGCAGGAGCACGGCAAGCATTGGGCAAAGATCAGCTGGGACAGTTTTTGAACTGGCTCAGTGAAGTGAGATCTGAGGCTTATGTGAAGGGCAGTATCCCTGTGGAATCACTTCAGTGAGCTGCTCCTGGATTTTGCAGCTTGTTCCCCTGGTACACAGAAGTCCAAGCCCAGTTAGAAGTGAGACCAGGTTCCAAATTTCATGTGCGGGAGCAAGGGGTTAAATTTATTTGTTTGTTTTTTTTTTTCCTTATATTTAAATATTTTTTCCTGTGTTAGGGTTACACAGTTTGTTCCCACTGGTAACACTTAGCTGTGAGATTTTGGTTGAAAGTTGTTCTCCAGTTTCTTATGGTGCTAAAATGTATTAATGTTAATACTTGAAAGAAGTACAGTATAGTGGCTTGTCTCATTCGTAGGGTCAAACTGAACCTACATGTGATTGTGTCAGCATGGCCTGTAGCTGAGCTGAGAGGTCCCTCCAAGAGTTAAAGAGTCTAGAAAACATGATTCTGCACCAACATTTTTTACTTTCCTTTGTACCCTTTTGTCAATCCAACACGTGAAATGAAAGGCAATTTTTCCTGCTCAAAATGTGATAGGAGACACAGATGTTTCTTTCACATTGTGACTAAAGCTAAAAAAAAAAAAAGGAGAATGCTTTGAAAAGCTTAATTTGTTTATTTTTAAACTTTAATTGCTTAATTAGCCTCTTCATTCATTGCATTTTGTCTTCAATTTAGGTGTGGATTTCTCATTTCACTTTAGTTTCTGCTGTTTTTCAATGAGTATTATGCTTTTCGCATGTGTTGGAAATTCTTTAAAACATATCAGACACTTGTGCATTAGATGATGGATTTTGAAAGGAGAATCCTGACTGATCCAGGTTTTTTTTTAAATTCTGTAATTGATTTTAGATATGTGTTTTACTCAGAGTAATTGCCTGATGCATAATAAGAGGAAAATTTCAGTCTCACAATTTTATGCTCCCAGACCTTCCCACTGGACTATTTACAGATTATGAAGAAAGATATGATAATTTTCCTACTAGCTGTGTTTTTAGTCTCTTATAATTTAGGTGGTCCCATGAGTTAAATTCATTTACATTCTGGCGTGTTGGCCAGCACAGCAATTCATCATATGGGTTTTAGTGAGAATGGCCAATATTCCATTGCTGTTTCTCTCTCTTGGAAGATTAAACTTCTGTCAGGATGCAGGGCAAGAACAGAAATAAAGTTTTGCACCTTGTCAAAGTCCCGAAATATACATTTGATAGTGTTTTGAAGGAAATCTACATCTGGGAAGCAGCTGTGAAATAACAAGCAGGGGTATTGTCCTGCAAATATGTCTGTGACTCTTCTGCTTTAATGTTCATTTGAATGCTCTGGAGGGAAAGACAGTATTCCATGATATCCCAGAAGACAAAGAATTTTCCCTGTAATATGCAACAGGTCAGCTGGAAATATTGCTCCTGATTGTTTTGAAAATGATATAGAAACAGACTAAGAACATCACTGAGAACACCTTTTTTGTTTTGTGTTTGAGTTGTCATGTACACAGCTAGTGGCTTTTAATCCAGCCCTTACTGTTTAGTTTGGAAGTGCTTAACAAAAATTTCTTTACCAGGAATTCTGAATAAAAGTGTTACCATATGGTGGATTTCTGTATGATGATTTTGGAGTTTCTGCTCCTCAGAACCTTCCTGTTTCTGTTTGTAGTGTTAAAAGTTACTCTTTTTGTAACTTATCTTCCTTTGTTTTCTTTCACAACTCATCCACCTGCATTATCTTATTACAAATGGATTTGACAGTTGGAAACCAGGCCTGGATTTGGCATTTCCAAAGAGCTTCATGTGCTCTAATTCAAGAAGAGATTTTGGGTGATCTGAGAAAACATACCACAGCCTATATTGCTATCACTGATGAGATTAATGATCAATTAAAGAGTGTTTACTTTGTTGTACCACTTAGAAATACATATATGAAGAGCTTGAAGCCTATGGCAAATCTATCAGCATTATAAACATATATATATATGTATATTTATGTACATTATGTATTTATATTTATATGTATAATTATATGTATATTTATATTTATAGGTATATTTTAATATATTTTATATATTTATATTTATATATCTATTTTTATATATACCCACACATGTGTGCAAATACCAGAAGTGGTTGAATTCCAAAGGAGTAATAAGGTGATTGTTCTCTTTGCAGTTGTTTGTCCTCCAGGCAGTTATTTCCAGGACGATGAATGCATTCCCTGCCCTCTTGGCTACTATCAGTATCAGACAGGACATTCCTTCTGTATCAAGTGTCCTGTGGGCAAAACTACCTACTCCTATGGGGCAATCAGTGCTGATCACTGTAAGTTGGACTCATTTTTTCCATATCCTTTATTTTCTGGCTTCAGATATCTAATGATTTTTTTAAATTCTTCTCTAAGTTTTTTTTTAAAAATTAATCCTCCCTGTGGGGGTTTTTGGAGGGATGTGATCCCTTCTGCATACATTCAGAAGCATTTTACAAAGTACAAACTGTCTGGTTTTTTGACCAAAAATGCATGAGAACCAAGTGGTCAGTCTTATCCAGGATGTTGTGGTTCCTCTAGACATGTTCATTGTCCTCAGGAATGATATCTGGGTGTTCAGTATCAGTAATAAACTTCTTATGAAGTTAATTTATTGTCACTTTCATGAAGACTAAAGTAGTTTTGTTTTGTGCAGCTCTTTCCCCTGCAAATACAAACAATTCTCACAAATTAACTATTGAAATGTTCACTAAAGCTGATGAATTCAGCTTAAATTATTTGTTTTTATTCATGCAGTTCTATACAGAAAATCAGTTATTAGGTCCAAATTCAGTTTTGTCTACAGAATTACCTTATATAAAATAAGATATAAATAAGAGTAACAATAATAGGCTTCTTGGGAAATGTCATTAAGTATATGGTCTACTTTGTTCTCTTTCAACCTATTTGTTCTCAGGTGGGATAAACCTCCCATTTTTATTGTAATGTACCCCAACATCAATTAGCTTTTGCCTATGGTTGTCATTCTTCTTTTGAATGTGTGTTCCTTGGGTAGGTATTGGGCTTGTGTCCTTAAGACTTTGTTCCTTAGGGTTTAAAAACTTGCACTTGCAATTTTTTTTACTAAGCCTCTTCCCTGCTTGGTTTCCACTTGAGCTTTGTGCTGCACCTAAATTCCAGCCCTCTCCAAAGTGCCAGGCTACACATAATCCTCCTCCTTTCTTTCAGTCCCTGCTGTCTCCCTGCAGAGTCTGAGGAGTTCTTCTGAATTAATTGGAGTGATAACTCTTCTCATTGCTCACAGCATGCCACAGATCCACTGCAGCAGTCACTGAACAAACCTGTATGAAAGTACAGCTCCTTCTCTACACTTTGCTTTACAGCACTGGAAATACAGCAACAGAGATTTGATGCATGACAGAGAATCCAAAAAATGTTTAAAACACAAATTGGGTTAGCAACAAAGCAGTGAGACTACCATGCTTCAGAGTGTGCAAATACTGTGCAAATCTTAGCTGAATTTTCAGTGAAGTCTCTGCTGTGCTCAGGAGGCTTTTGTCCCACAGCACTGAAACATTGTCCTGCTGCATTGACAGGACCAGTGGCTGCACAGGAGGCTCTCTCTGAACATCAGAAAATGTTTTTTTCTGTGGGGACAACCAAGCACTGGCCCAGGTTGCTCAGGGAGGCTGTGGAGTCCTTGGAGATGGGTGACAGCCATCTGGAGAGGGTCCGGCACAGCCAGCTCTAGGTGGCCCTGCCTGAGCAGGGAGCTCTGACCTTACAACCTCCAGAGGTCCTGTCCAGCCTCTGAATTCTGTGAAACTCAGTGTCAGCATTATCAAAGAGCCTTTCTCCCTTCCCCTGCCCCCTTGTCCAGGTGTCACCCCCTGCCAGAGCAGTGAGCAGGGCCTGCAGTGTGATGAAGATGGCCAGTACAGACCTTCCCAGCAAGACCCTGCCACCAAGAAATCCCTCTGTGTCGACAGCTTTGGGGCAGCCCTGGACTGGACTGAAACAGAGGATCTCCTGACAGATGAGCAGTGCTTGGGTAAGTGGCAGAAGGATGTTTTGGATATGCTTTGAGCCCACATAGGTGAAAGTTCCTTATGAAGAGACTAAGCACTCCACAGCTTATAGGTCTTCACTGTCCCATAGTTATTCACTTTCCCATACTTGTAGCCTCTGCCTTAAGCCACATTCCTCCTTAGTTTTGAATTTCTTGACTACACTGGGGAAGTTACTTCTGGTAAGGGAAGAGAGAGAAGCAGGTTTCCTGCACTCTCAGATGGCTGCCAGCTTTTGATGTGTACTGACCTTGTGCTCTCTCTGCTTGGAAACTCAAAATAATAATGAGAGGAATAATGTGAAAGAAGCAGAATTATTAATTTCCTTGTAAAATTATCCCTCATGTGTGTATTCATGGGAAATAGAATATTTTCAGCAATGACCTCACAGCAACAACATAACATCACTCTCTGGGCTCCTGCTGTAAGGTATCTGACTTGAGGAACACATGTTGGAGGAGGTTACTTCTGCTTGAATACAGCTGCAAAATGATAGTTTTCAAGGATGAAAAACTTGAAAAAACAAAGAAAGTCATCTATCGAACAGTCCCCAGACTGCCTGCAGTAAGGTCTAATTGCACCTCTCAGTCTCAAAGCTTTTGCTTTTTCCCAGAAGTTTTTATATGCTCATCATATGATTGGTATTGAATTTAATGGAATATTCTGTTTAGAAACTGATGTCATGGTGTGCTTTGAATTAGACAATGTCTTATGGCAAATGTGATCAGTGGAAGGAGTGTGAAAAGTAAAGTCCTCAGCTGTGAAGAGTTTGCAAAACTCTCTTCAATTAAAATAACCTTTTTTCCTCTGAGTATACTCAGAGACTGATCACAGTTATGAGCATAAGGTGAAAGCCTCTGTTGCTCTCAATCACGAGGTTGTTGGGATGTTTCTCTGCAGAGAGGACTCAGGATTTTAATTCTCCTGTTACCATGAGCCTTTCTGCTTGGGCATTTCTGACTCTGTGCAGGATGGAGCAGTTGTAGATATTTGTGCTTGGTTTTGTGGGTCATGCTAGAAGATGTCACTACAAATATTTATGACTGTTGAAAATTCATTTATTACTTTATAAGTACAGCAACAATGTGTCATGGAATCACAGAATGGCTTGGGTTGGAAGGGATCTTAGAGATCCTCTACTTCCAACCCCCTGCCATGAGCAGGGGTAATGTGCTGTGCTCACTTAAATGTAGTGGTGCATCACCCTGTGGGCACACTGTGCCCAGCCTCCTGGTAACACAGGTGGTGGCCTCCTCAGAAGGTTGGTGGTGGCACTGTGTGTCCTCTCACCAGGCTGTAATCCTCTGCAGGGCACAGACAGGGAAAACCCTCTGGAGCCTGGATTACATTCCTCACCCCATTTAGTGACCCTTGGGGTTTGCATCTCTAGACCCCAGGAGCTTTTCCCAGTGTGTGAACAGTGCTGCTTGGCAGACTCCTCACACAGGCAGGTCCAGTGCAGAGGGAGCAGATGAAAGGGTTTGGTCAGAAAAGTGACAGTCAGGTCTGAAAAGTGGAATGGAGGAGTAATAAAGCAGGATGTTGGACATACTACCTTGGATATAGCCTTGGGGCTGGAGTCAGTGGATGTGTTGGGAAGTTTTTTCTTTTCACAAATGGAGCAGAACTGCTGGAATACATTCCTTGAGCATTAATTGCAGCATCAGCTTCATTACATGATTGAGACAATAAAAAGATGACAAAGCTCACCTACTGCTAGCAACAGCTAAAGATTTCTTTGTTACAGAACATTTTAAAAACTTTCTAGCCAATAGCATATTGCTAATGCTTACAGACAGTTGTTCTAGCCAATCACTAAAAGCACATGTACACCTGCTTCACACAATGCTTGCTTGTCTTCTTTCTATTAACAATACACAATATTTCATTATTAAGCTTAAAACCTTCTGCTGTCTTGCTAAGCATATTTTTCTGCAGTCTTACTGTCTATCTTAGCCAAGCCTAAAACTCAAGCTATTGTCTCATGTCCTTGCTTGCTATACTATTGTTACTTTTTCTACTTTCAAACTTTGCAGCTGCAGCTAGTTCTAATTTCTCTGCTCTTTCTGTTTCTAAGGCCTGCTTTTCCCAGCTTTCTGAAAATCTTCATACCTTTACTATTTCCCACAGTGCAGAGCAGGCTGTTGTGTTTCTGGATTTCCTGTCTAACCAAGTGCTGCTGGAGCTGGCTCTTGTTTCTGTGACTGATTTGGAGACAGTTGGTTCCCCCTTTGACTCAATAATTGGTTCAATGCCATGAACAAGTAATGAGAGATGGCAGGTCTGCTGCTGCAAGAGGAGCCTCACTGGAAAGTAAAATCCCGGCCCACTCCTGGCTAACTGGTTTTTAGACATCTTGTGACACTTTTTATTTCAAAGCAGAAATTCTACCCTCACAGCAGCTGTCTCCTGCATTATCTGTGAGGTTATGGTACATCATTTAATGAGCAAAGCTCTTCTCCCACAGAATTCTTCAAGCTTAATTTCTACCTAAATTCTTTGTTTGCGGCATGGGCACTGATAATACTACTTGGTTGGGGTTTTTTGTTGTCTTTGTTTTAGTGCTCAGAAAATTTGAAAGAGTTCCTGCCTCCAACCTGATTTATGGGTCAGAAGAAGCTCAAATTCTTCAGTCTCAGTCATTTGGGGGAGACCTGCAAAACACGTATTTGCAGTGCATTTCAGGTGAGAAAACTGAGAAAAGCTGTAGAGGCAACTCTAATAATTGTGGAAAATAATATTTTCATGTGAGCTTATAGTTAAGTTCCTGGATGAAATATATGTTCTGCATTTTCTCACCAAATCACTGCAAGATATTTACAACTTTTGGTGACCTTGATTCAGGGAAGAGATGGATGTTTCTTTCAGAAAGAAGTCTTCTGACTTTACATATTACTTCAGACAAGTCATCTAACTTTAAAGCCAGTTGATGTAGTTTGCAGTACGAATGAGAACTGAGATTTAAACCAGGAGACATTCATCACACTGTTCAGATGTGCAGATAAAAGAAGAATTAGGTGTTCAGAACATAGGAAAAGCCAGCTTTTATTTCTTGACAAATTGCCTGATTGGCACATAAAATAGGAATAATCATCCTTACTTACATCAGAAGGGCATTATAAGGAGTTCAGAGATACTCCTCTGCCAAGATAAACCTCTTGCGGTTTATATACTATATTGCATCTGGTTTCAGTTGGTTCAGAATCACCTAGAACCCAGAGGAGTCACCACACTGCTTTCAGGGTGCTTTGAGTCAGTCTCACCTTGTGTCTCCTAAAGCTCAGGCTGTGAAAGGAGGCAGAGGGATCTGTAGTAACAGAGATGTCCAAAATTCTGACAAATCAGTGGCTTTGTGTCATGTGCCACGGTCTAGTTGAAGCAATCACGTCTCATGCTAAGAGCTGAATAAGTGAATTTGTTAGTAGAATGATTTTCCTGCACGAGCTCATCCTGGCTGTATAATGTAAGAGTTCTTGCACCTTCCCCTAAAAATGGAGATGTTCAAAAGCAAGACACTGAACTGAGAGAGCCTGAGAACAAACCTGGGGAGCAAATCCTGCCCCTTTGCCAACCAATCTGGTTCCATCTCTCTCATAGCTGTGTTTCCTTTATAAGTTATGTAAATAAATAGTAGCACAACTACAAAATACTACTGTGAAGTTCTCATTGAGGGATGAGGGTTAATCTTTCCCTCCCTAAGTCCCTGTAAGGTCAGATAGCTCAGCTTTCATTTCAGCTTATGTTTTGATCTAAGTTGGTTGATTTTATACTAAAGATTTGGAAAGTGTTTCACCTAGGCTAGGAGCAGAGCTATGGGAGTAAGCTAATGGTGAATGTGTAAGGGCAGAAGGATCTTCCCCTATATCTGGAAGGGATTGCTCTTTCTCCCTTACAGTGGCCAGGGGGTTGCTGCAGGGGCAGCCAGCATGATTGAAGAATTTGAAATTTGGTGTTTCCCTCCTTCCTATCACTCTGATATTTGTCACAACCTCCTTGCCATGGGGTTACCGTATCAGGCAAATGTGATGTGCTGGCAGAATGGTTCATGAGAGTCCTGCCTCAGGCAAAATTATCCAGCAGACTTTAAATATTTGGGTGTGTGGTCTGACCTGTCTCAGCTGTTTATATCATCAGGTGATGAACAACATTCTGCATTAATTTAATTCAATTTAAAATCCTTAACTCTCTACTAAAATAGTTGAGTACTAAAGTTTATTTGGCTAACTAAATTCATGTCTGATAGACATATGGAAATCTAAATAAGTGGCAGTAAGCAGTGGAATTCGTAGCAACCATTTTGCATGTGAAGTGCTAGGAAACCTAACATTTCCTTCGTTTTTCAGGCTGTGAGAGGGAAGATGCCTGTGGCTTTGCAACAGTAGCTCCTGCTGGTACTGAAGTGCTCTGTGAATTATACAGTGCTGCTGAAGCCAACTTCAACTGCACCACCTCTGGATTGGTAAGAGTGATCATATTTACAAATATATGTTTATCACAGTGCTGTGTGTTCAATGTAAGTAGACAAAATCACAGAAGAAAGGCAGGCTGTCACCTGAGTCCTTGGACATTGCTCTTCCCTATGGCAGTGATAAATCCCTGCAAGCTGGTAAAGGGGCTGCACCCAGATGTTTCAAACAATGACATCTGAATACCTCAGTGTTTGATACATCACGCAGCACTGCTGTCCCTAAAATGTGCTGAGCACCTGCAGATAGGATATCAGGTTGGTTTTAAAAGAGTGTTATTCTGGATAGTCCAAACTAGAAGTGGCCAGGTTGGTAATCAGGTCATCTGAAACAATCCTATTTTCTGAGTCACTTCCTCTAGCCCAGGGTTTGAACTGTGGGCTCTTTATGACTGTACTATTTTCCTATTCACTACTTTAAACAGCAATGTGGCATTGAGGAGCTGAGATCTCAGTTTGATAGTGTAAAAATTGTCTGTATGAGAAAGAATAAAAAATGTCCACATGGAGTTCTACTGTGATAACCTTTGTGTTGCTCATTGCTCCCCATGAGTTTCTTAATAAAGAAAATGTAATTTAGGAGAGGAAATTCATTAGGTTGTATTTATTTTGCTTGCCTGTTTTCTGTCTCAGGTGCAAGGTGTCTTGGGGAACCCTTCAGCCACTGGCATCAGTGGCCTCAGCTGCTTGCTGCGTGTCAGGAACCCAGGGGGAGATGCGCTGATGGTCTTTTTGAAGAGAGGTACCAGATGTGAATCCCTCACCTAAATCTGACTCTGTGTCCAAGCTGGTAGTTACTTCTGTAGAGGATCATGACTAAATTTGGGAGCATCTTTGTTTAAGAAGACACAATACTTTAAAGAGCTCAACATTTAGTGACAGTCCAGAAGCTTCAGCAAATCTTTCTTTCATATCTTGTTCCCTAGAAATTAGGAATACTTTTGTAAGTCATATTGATGATTTTTTGCCAGCAAGTAGTCCCATAAAAACTCAAAATCTATCCAGTGCATTTTCCTATTCTGTTCTGTTATGATTTCTCTTAACTAAGCAGTTTGTTATTTGAATATGTAAAGCATTATTAATGATCAGCCTGTACATAATTTAAGTTCACTTTACTTTTGATTGTGAATTGTTCTAGTAATATACCAGCCAAGAAGTAAACTGCTCTCCATGAATCCCAAAATATTTCAGCTGAACTAATGAATGCATGAGACAAACTTTATTTATTTACTTATTTATTTATGGCCCGAGTGTGGTTGATAACACCACATCCATTGTGTGTCCAGCTTTAAGTGTCATGCCAAACTGGAAACAAGATAACCAAATGCTGCAGGGTTTGATTCAAAACTCTCTGGTTTTACCGTGTTCTTTGTCCTTCTATCCAATCCTATGAGACACTATTTATTAATATTAATAAAAATAAAAGTTCTAAGTCTTACCTGAAAATAAATCCAGTCCCCTGAGCTTGTTGTGATTGGTATAATATTTTAAAGAGCAGATCTATTCTAGTTTTCTAGATCCAAAATTCTATGAATCATGCCCTCCTAGTTAGCAGAAGTCCTAATTGTAGGACTCATTTGTCCATGCAGTTTTGCTGGACAAATGACACATTTTACTTTTTAAATGAGATAAATCAGTTTAATTTTTATCTGGGAGTTACTAACAGTGTTACTGAGTGCTTGAAGGTGGAATATTACCAACCTTACTGCATAGAGCATAGATCAGTTTAGGAGCTCTTTGGTGGCAGTGCATTACAACCAGCTACTCAGGAATGATGGCACCACGTCATTTGATGATCTTATCTTGCTTCTGAAACTCAAAATCCAGATGGACTTTTAAAACTGAGTTTTGATCATAAAACTTTCAACCAGCTCCAGTCTGCAGGCAATTCAGAAACATTCATTGAGCTCCCCTTGATCTCCCTTCCCTTTGTGTCTCCCCAGGACAGGAATTCAGCTCCTCTGGACTGAAGGCCTTTGAGAGGACTGGCTTCCAGAACGTTCTGTCCGGCGTGTACCGCTCCCTGGTGCTCCCAGCAGCCGGCGCATCCCAGACTGATGCTGGGCTGCTCTGCAGGCAGGAGTGCAGCCGGGACTCCTGCTGTGATGGCTTCATCCTGAGCCAGCTCCTGCTGGATGCAGGTACTGCCTGCCTGCTCAGGACAGAGTCCTGCAGCAGGAAACCAATGCTGAATGGGAACAAGTCGTTGTTGGACACAGTACACCCACCTATGCATCATACCTGTGTGAGCAGCCTGTCTCCACATCCCTGACTTTCCTTTGGTGTTGTGAAGGTTTGAGTAATGCCCAGGACCTGAGGTTGCAATCTGCTCTTGGAACAAAATGGGCATTTTGAAGGGAAAAGCCTGGCAGAGTTCCAGCAGTGTTTGGGCAATGGTCTTGGGAACATGGTGTGGCTGTGCAGGATCAGGAATTGGACTCAGGGATCCTTGTGGGTCTCTTCCAACTCAACCTGTTCTCTGAGTGTGTGACATCTCCATCTGGATGAGATAAATTGCTCTGAAAACACCTCTCTCCATACATAGCACAGTTTGGTTGCCAGAAGTTGGTTCCTTTAAGCTGATGCAGGAACTAAGATGGTGCCTCCAGACAGTTTGTGGTGCAAATGAAAATCAGCTTCCTTTTAAGAGCAGGAAAAAAGGATGCTTAGCAGAATTATGTTAGATTATTGCATGGAGAAATGCTAAAGTCTTCCAGGTCTGGATGTCTGTCTTGGAGAGCAAGTGGTAGTGGGATGGATGGAGTCTGGCAGAGGTGGGACTTTGGCACAACCAGATTTTTGCTAACAAGTTCAAGCACTTTATGCCAGTGCTTACTTTTTGCAGCTTAGTTTCAAGCTCATAGAGTATTGACTTTCCTTCTGGAGATGCATTTCCTGTAGGAAATGTGAAGTTTTAAATGACATTCCTCAAGGATTTAAAGACAAGCTCTATCAACAGCCAGGAGTTAGACTTGATGATTCTTGTGGGTCTCTTCCAACTCAGGATATTCTATGATTCTGTGAAATCCAGGCATGTGCTGGTGGCTGATATGTGACAAGCACTTTGCCAGTTTGGAGTTGAAACTGATCCTAGATTTAAGAAAATTTGTGAAAATCTGTCACAAATTATCTGTGAAAGTTTTCAAGAAAATATTTCCAGAAAATTATTCTCTGTTTTGGCATCTCTTTTTTTTCTTTCTTTTTCTTTTTTTGCATCACAGTATTCTAGATGATCTTGTAAAGTCCATGCCTCTATACATTTACAATCACATTTTGGGTTCTCTCTTCTTGTGAGTGTAGAAGGTGAATATCTCTTTGGTTGGGGTGGCTATTCAGATCAGTTCTACAGGTAAACACATTACTTGGACTGGTATTTTGCTTAAAAAATAAAGAAAAAAAGAAGGAAAAGGCAACATAGTCGATATCTCATGTACCCAGTCCATAAGAACAAACTAAGGAGGGCATTGTAAAACCTTAGAAATGTCTGAGCTGTGACACCAAGTGCAAAGCAAGAGCTGAGTATTGTCTAGAAGTTATAGTAACAGATTGATGCCAGAACATGTGGCCTTAAGCACTCTGGTCCCCCAGCTCACATCACAGTGCTGGGGAGACTCAGGCCTGGGATGACTGAAATCAGGCACCAGTTCAGGAAACCATTGCAGTAAAAGTATAAGTGTTTTTTTTTTTTTTGGTTTTTTTTGTTCAGAACCTGAAATTTTAAGACCATCAAAGGATTGGATATGTCTCTGTGGTGCTATGAAATGCTGAGAACATTGTTGGGTATTATCAGATAATAGTAATATTTTATAAGGTTATAATAGTATGTGCCTGAAATCCCTGAAAAACAGGCTACAAATGTTTAGTTTGGGTATGAATAGCTAACCTTAGCACTTAAATTTGAACATATGAATCTAATTTGCTTATTTAGTTTAGGTTTGGGGTTTTTTTGGCAGCAATACTGAAGGGTGTCCTCTCAGTGATATGGATTCAGTTGGAACTTAGAGAAAGTATTGGGGGCCTTGGGTAGGTGCAAAGCCTTAGTGCAGTGATGCAGCTGTGTCTTCTCCTGCCCCCAGGTACCATTCTGTGCAGTTTGCTGAGCTCCCCAGACGTGCTGATCTGCAATGCCAAAGGCTGGAGTCCAACACCAACCTCAGCCATGGGGGAGATGTGCAAAGGTGTGAGCTATGATGAGAAGGAGAAGAGGTTTTCCTTCACCATAGGAGGGCAAGTGTTCAGTGGAAGTAAGTGAATTACCTCAATTAACATCAGTTCTCCTTAACTGTTGTATAGACACTGTCTTATTCACCAGCCTGCCCTTGTACTCCAATGCTTTTTTCAATTAAATCCATATCACAAGAGAATAAGAATGCTCTGTCTGGATGTATGGCTGGAGAGATGGACCTCTCACATTTTGCCACATGAATATTAATGAAGTTGAGACTGTGTTTAATATGTCACTCTGTAATACCTACAACATTTAATTCAGGCAGATTAAAGCCAATAATCTGAAAGAAAGGTTAAGTCTGGAGCAAAGATAAAAAGGGAGATGCCCAGACCTACATGGTAAAAGCAACGATAGGAAATTGAGTAAAGTTTGGCACCCTGGACCTGGACTAGCCCCATGACACCTGGGACCCTCTTCCTTAAACTTTTGTTTTGTAATGAAGGTGATGCATAGTTTAGTGATGTGTTTTCTATGCAATTTCTGAGCATTGAAAAAGCATTGTTAATTTAAACAGTTGTTCTAACAAAATTTTTTCTTTATTAGCTTCTCAGTTGATGGAAGAGGCGGAAAGAAATTTCACTAGCTTTCAGGAAATTTACCTGTGGAGAGGTAAGTTATCTCACAGAATGTCTTACAAAAATTTATGATGAACTGTAGGGTGTGGCAGATGTCTATTCTGTAATGGAAATGTCATTGTCATTTCATTTCATGCTGTCCAAATTAGGACACAACTCAGAAGCCTATTGGCAGGGATGTGTGATTTGGAGTAATTCTTCTACTGCCAGTTTCATGAAATTTGGATGTTGAAATTCTTGTGTCTAAGAATATAATTTATAACTTTTAATACCCTTGGAAATGATATCATGAAGACAGCTGCCTTTGTCCCATCAGTCTCCAAGTACCATAATAATTTGGCAGTTTATGCCTAATTACATGGGTTATGTTTACTAGCAGAATAAATGTATGTTTTTCTGTATGAACCTCACCATGTATATGGCAGGACTTGCACAAATTATTGTAATAATAATTTGTGCTTTATAAGTACACAAAGCCTTCAGAGAGCTGAATGCAGAATGACTGTGGATATGGCATTTACTTTTGTCATCCAAACAATGCATCTTGGTTTAGGTGTTCCCCAGAGCTGTACAGAAATGGTTTTATTAATTCATGATTCAGCGTTTGGAGGAACTACCAAAGGAATTTTCCTAAGTGGTTCACTTTATATATTTGTTCAGTTTTGGGAACTGAGGATTATTTTGTCTTGTGAAAGAAAGATAAAGGGAATTACTCTGCTCTTTGATTCCTTTTTCATTCCAGACTCTGATATGGCCACCCGGATGAAAACCTCTTTGTGTGAGGCTGCTGCTTTGGAGACAAAGGATGATCTGGTGTTATCAGGTATTAGAGCAATAGCAGACAGAGCAGGCAACAGAAGAGAGCAGGAAGAGGGCACAGAATTTATCTAGAAAATATAATATATTGCTATATATATGTTCATTATGGCTTAGGTATTGTAAAGTCCAGAGGATTTCCCTGAAGCAGGATGCCTGGCACAGGTTTTGAGAAAGATGTTTTATGGCTTTATGATTCTTACCTTGCCAGGACAGGCTGGAAATTAAGGTGTTAAAGTGTTCAGTGTGAGACCTGATCTTTCAGACTTACTGAGCTGAAGAGGCACAGGAAATATTATTCAACTGAGAAAAAAATTTCACATAAGCCCCAGAAATAAATCCTTGGCCTGGGTACCTGGGCATCTTTACTGCTACTGACAGTATGATTGTAAATACAGGGCATAGAGAAACCCAGGATGAAATGCAATCACAAGTGTTTCTTCCCTGCCTGGTAACAGTGAGGGACCTGTGGACTTCTCTTAGTTCCTTTGTTGTTCCAGGGTTTGCTCTTTGTTATATGAAGTCATATATAGGTCCAAAATAATTTGTAGGAAGTTACTGGAGTTCATTTGGGCCTTCAGCATCACAATCCTAAGAGAAAATGAGCAGTGGAGTTTGCTGAAAGCACCTTGATTCATTTTTAATGAATTGTAATTTTTTCTGAGGAGTCTTGAATGTCTGTGCACATTAATATGTGCAAAAATCCTAAAAGGAAGTGAATTGCTTATGGTACTTGAAGGGAAAGTAAGCTAAACGAATTGAAAACCTAAAAATGCCCATTTACCTAGCAGACCTCCCATACAGTTATAGGTATTTTAAACTCTAGACTTAAAAAGAGAGAGAAAAAATGCACTTACTATGGTGGTTGAAATTATCTTGCATTTACCTGCCAAGGCATGAGTGCAGCCCTCAGGGTTCTTAATTTACCTTGCTGGGGATGATGATATCATTAAAACCTGCAGTTATGCAAGGAATGCAGTTTTTACCTCCATCCCTAAATCTTAGTCTTGGCACCACCTGTTCAAGAGAAACTGAGGGTTGAAGTTATGACTTGAGAGGTAACAGGAATTATGGTTACCTTTTTTAGGAAGTCATGAATACATCTGGGAAAGTGTCTACAGAGCTATTATCACTTGATAATAATTTGTAAAACACAGGGTAACATATCTTTTCTAGTTTCTGATAGAAAAGTCAAAGCTATATTTTCAGCATGTCAGTAGTTGCTTCAGCACTTCGACAGAATCATCAGCATGTCTTTATTCTCCTTGTTTTTATTATGGTCTGGTTATTTCACTGCATGTAATATTAAGTAATACAATGTCTCACAATGTTGGAACTGGGGATGAGACCTGCTGATGACATTTGATAATTAAGAAAGTGTTTATGAAGAAATTTGTACGAGTGAAGAGTGTCCATTTCTTTTACTACTGGACCCTTATTTAAGGGGATGAATTTGGGAACAAGAAAATAGCTGTGATTGATTGTTTCAGAGGGAACTCAGGAGATATATATCACTGCATACATGTCTAAAGGTCACAGGCAGATGACAGAAATGAGTTATTTAATGTGGTCTGTGGGAGCATAAATTCAGAGAAATGAGCTTAAATTACTGAAATAGGTATTAAGCTTGTCAAGAAAACTTTTAAGACTGAGAGGTGTAAAAGCCTCTCAAGGCAATATAAGGAAGCTGCTCTATTTTGAATTAACAAAACTACATCAATTAAAGAATTACAAACATCCTTTGAATCCTCATACTTACATCTTCTAAATCCTCATGCTTCACTATTAGGATATTGTGTCACATGACAGAGTAGAGCAAACTCTCTAATTTCTAGGACCAGGAATTTTCATCTAATTTTTGGGTGTTGGAAATAGTCTGGCAGTGCTATTTTGTGCAGTGCAGCTCAGTGAGGAGGCCCTGCCTACAGGAGAGTCACTGTGGGTGGACAATTCTGTTATTAAAAGCAGGCTTTGGTGTATTCTAGTCCTACAAAATTATTGCAGCTGTTTCACTGAGAAAGGCAGAATTTTATATATAAATAAATTTAATTCATTCCAGAGCATAGTTAATTTCTTGTGGGTTTCTTTGTTTGTTTGTATCTCAGATTCCACAAACGATCTTTTCTACCTAATGGACAACAGCCAGATACAAAGTGACCAGAACTACTCTCTCCCTTACCAGCAGTACTGGGTCTTCAGGCAGAAGTACTCAGCTGAGGAAGCTCTGCTTTGGTGTCTCACACGTAAGGCATTGTGGAGACTGTTATTCTGTAGGGGATAATAACTAACTAAAATCTTTTAACAGCTCTTATAATAATGATGAGTAAAAACTTTAGACTTTGAGATTTTTTTTGTAGACAGCTCCTAAAATTGGCATGGAAATTGCCAATGGAACCACCTGTTTATTCCTTACAGTCTTTGCCTGCCATGGCAGAAAGGGTGCCCATAATTCACCATCAGGGTGCCCCGTCATGGGCAAGAGGATTCAAAGGTACAGCTTGGATAATGCCCTGCTGTTCTTGAAGTGTACCACTCCAAATAGGGAGGTGGAATAGTGGTAAAAGAAGGTAAAATGCAGATAATTTGAGTTAGTGATAAATTATATTTTGATGCAGTAAATGGAGAAGAATTTCTAGCTCTACCAGGAAGTCAGAACTGAGAGTACTAAACAGTGCACAAACATCACTGTAAGAGGTCAGTAGAGCTATTCCTGTTTAAAATTAAGCATTGACACACATGTTTACAGGAACTATTGATTGGTAATTAAGAAATGGGTTTGACATCTTTGGTTCTTTTATGAAGGTATGCTGTTACCCTGGGAAAAACTTCAGAACAAATTGCTATGAGCAAATGTCTTGAATAGTTGATTCTAGGAAAGTTATGTTTAATTTTGTGTGATGTTTGAATGCTTCAGAAATATTTTTTTGTGAAAACTTATTAAGACATTGTAGACATTATTGTCCTTCTTATTGGCTGATGCAGAGTTCTCTTATCATTATGCAATTTGTATGTCAGATTTACTAAAAAAGAAAGATCTTTTTGAATTAAAATATTAAAGAGAGACCAATACACTGGAGTAATTCTTGTCACAGCTGGGGAATTTATCTTCCCAATTAGCTGTGCTGGAGTTCCTTTACTCTGCTCTCCAGGTAAACCTGCTCTTAAGTGCCACTGGGGCCAGAATGTGTCCCTCTTTCTCTTGCTCTTTAAATTAATTAAATTAATGAATTTGCAGATTGGTAGGATAATATTGAAATTCTCACTTTTAGTTGTTTGCTGATGGATAGCTTTGCTCTGAAAACATGAAGGGGAGCAGAGAGAGAAAGGAGCCCTCGTGTGTGTAACTGTTCATGACTTTGCTTCCTAGGCTGTGCCCAAGAGGAAGAGTTCTGTCGAATGGCAGATCTGCAAAGTGCCACAGACCAATACTTTGTGTGTACCCTCTACCCAGAGACACAGATTTGTGACAGCAGCATCAACCAAATACCAGGAAACTGTGCAACTGTTCTACCCTGGCAACCACAGACACTGTACCATAAAATAGGCAAGTTTTGGTATTTGGATGTATAATGTCTGCTCTAACCCTGGCAATGCAAGCCAGTGTTTTGGCTCTTGGTTCTGAGATAAAAAGTCTGCACGTATAAATGAGTCTTGGGATGTGATGGTGCAAGGGAAGGTCAGGCTGGCTGGGATATGATTTTTCATTTTCAGTTCAGAATGGAAAGAATTAACCATGAATTTTACTGTCCACCTCAGCCGTTCCCAAGTCAGAGAGGCCAAGTGGATCTCAAATTTGTATATCAGTTTTTAGCCCTTTTTATAATATGGGTGAAATAAGAATCTCATTGGAATGTCACAATATACCATTAAAATTTCTACGGTAGCTAAATAATGCAAAAATTGAAATTATACTGAGTATAATTTTTATTTTGCTTTAAGTATTTTTTAGCAATTGCAGAGCTATATATGTGAATTTTAACCTTTGCTCTTTGGATACTTGGGAAGTTCAATGTTTTTCTCACAGGGCACATGAAAGGAAGCTGGACAAACAAGCCTGTTTTCACTGTACAGGAACATGTAATTTTGCTGTGACAAATGTAAAGGTCCACTGAACTGAGCTATTTAATCATGTCATTTTGGGGAGCCCAAAGGGCAGCATGGGCTGGATAATGCATGAGCACACTGGAATCTTCCAGTCTGGAGCTGTATCCCAGTTTAAAGCCTTGCGGAAGAAGTAGCATCAATACAGGTCTCAAAAACAAAAGTCCTGGCTGGAAGTCTTTCCTTGGTGATATAATTTGCTAAGCTTCCAGAGCCTTCACTTGGTGAATTTTTATTCACCTTCAGGTTTAGCAATCAAAATTTGCTGTGATAGCACAAAACTATCTTTTAATCAACCAGAGCTCAGCGTAAAAGCACAGACTGGACCCCTACCATTTCTTTATTTGGCCAGTATTTGTATATGACAAAGTTAAACAGATAATTCCAATTTTGTTTTTCTTTTTCCTTCCAGTCACTCTTAAAAGTTCTGTGAAGAGCTTCTACACACGTGTACCATTCCAGAAAGTAACAGAAATCTCAGTGAGGAATAAGACTGACATGAGCAGAAAAGCTGTTTCAGACGGGTAGGACATGACTGTTCCTCTGTTCTCCTTGGAATTTTAACTGTGTCTGGAATTCCAAGGCTGTGTTATGCAGATAAAGGGAATCAGAAATATTGATCCAAGAATTGCATTGTTTGAGAGTATTTAATGAAGAAAAGATAATATGTGGCTTAAAGGCAATTTATAATTGAGCCATAAATAATAATCTATATAATTATTAATTATAGACATGAAAATTGTTACTTATAATGCTACTATTTACTAGTTTGCCTGTTAAATCTCTTAGCAATGATACACTAAATCAATTTAGACTGATATTTTTAGGGCAGATATCAAAATAATCATCTAAATTACTAGATGTAGGAGTATACTAACCAAGCATAATTTCATCTACATATGGAAAATGTATGGAAGTGTGTGTGTATACTGGTTCTTCATCCTTATTGTGAAAGGCATCTCTACAGGTTCTCAGTGTCTAATGATGCCATGGATAATGTTTTCCCTTTCCCAGGTTTTTTGAGTGTGAGCGTTGGTGTGATGCTGACCCCTGTTGCACAGGATTTGGCTTTTTTAATGACTCTCAGCTGTCAGGTATTTCCCCCCTGTTTTTCGTTCTAAAGTCACTTCAGTCTTTCTTCATTATCCAAATTTTACCCTTCTTTTGCTCTGAAGTGCACTTTAAAAGCCTTTTCAGATCTCACGCACCTCTCTTCAGCACCTTTTAGAGTTACCATAACCATTTCTAGTTCAGCCCAATGACACATTCCACATTTCAGAAATTATTAAGAAAACTTCCTGAGAATGAGTCCTCAACAGGCTGCAATTCCAACAGCATAAAATTCAAACTGATAAAACTCCAGTTTTTTCTCATTCATCAACCTCTCTTCAAAAGTGTTGCTTGATTTCTTTTAGCGATTTTTCCCCTTTTATGTTGTTTCAGTTTTTAGAGACTAAAGGACTCTGAAACCTAAATATTACTGAAATTAGGTGTATGCAAGCACATAATGTCTGTGGATATACTGGGGCAGTTTAGCCTTTTGGCTTTCTTGATTGTCTGACCTCCTCTGCTCTCAAATTTTAGTCTTTTGCTTGAGGAAGAAAGTCTTCAGCTGGTGTCTGGAAATGGATACCATCCAGCTCTAAGTCAAGGAAATAGATTTTAATATATTATTACAGATTCAGATTTAGGCCACTGAAATGTGTAACTTTGTTTTTGGTGGAGTCATGTGCTAACTCTCCTTCAGGTCACTAAATGTGCTGTTTTTATAATGCCTTTTTGGAATTTGAAACACTCCAGAAATACATACCTTTAATTTCGTTTTTTTGTTGACCAGACAAAATTTTCACTTGGTCAAAAGTGAGTGGCTTAGAAAATTAATCCAGTGTGTTTAGGTAAGAATTAATGTGCAAATAAAAAATAGTTGATAGTTTTCATGCCTCCTTATGATCTTATGAAATTTGAAGTCTTAACTGAATATGACTTTGAGTTTATTTGAATACTTCTAAAATAAATAAAAAAATTTAAGGCACCCAACATGCAAAATGGACCCATTTTTAGTTTATCTGATTAATATTTAATATCTAGGACATTTCAGAACTCCAGTCTTGGCACTCATATAGTCAAGAGACCTTTCAGTAGTGATTTTAACATGAGCTGAAATCTTCAATGAAACTGTGTTTCAAAACCTCCTTAGTTTTCAGGAACAAAATTATTCACACTAGGGCTTTGAAAGAATTTTTATTTTGATGTAAGTAGGAGACATGTTTCAACACACAAGCAGATTTTTAAGTACATGAACATGAAAGGGCTCCTTGCTTAAAGAGTCGTGACCTTTGGTCAGTGAAATTCTCTGTGATTTGGATTATAATGGATTTTAATGCTGGTACCCACCTTCCCTCACAATGAATTCAATGGGATTTTTCAGCACTGGTTTCAATCACTTGGCTCATTTCAGGTATTTCCTTCCTTTGATTTCTAAGTCAGTTGAATTTCACTTAACACTCAGTGGAACCATGCTGTGTTCTTTTTCCTCACAACACTATTTAGACAAGGAAAATTTTCCTCCTTATTTCTATAACCATGTGCATCCTTGGCAGGTGGGAAGATCGTGTGTGTGACTCTGAACAGCCTTGGAATCCAGACGTGTGCTGAGGAAGCAAGAAGTGCTTGGCACATTTCAAATTGCACTTCACCAGATGCTGAAGTCAAAATACACCCATTTGGCTGGTATCAAAAGCCTGGTAAGTGATGCAGGACACATGACCTTTCTAATGGATTTCTGCACATTGAAGTTTATTATTTAGCTTCAGTGTGTAAAAATTCCAGCTTCCAGCTGTAGGACCCATTTGCAAAGACCACAATTAGGCAAGGCAAACAAGTATGTGCAAAGGAAAGAAAGGTGCAATTTAATGTCCATTTTAATAAAAAATGAATAGCAATACCTCAAGGATGCATAATTTAATTTATTATATTCTATCAGAAACTTGTGGCCAATGTCAGAATTTAAATATATTTTGCCTCACTGTGCAGTCCTGGTCAGGAGATCATTCTTTGTTTCTCATTCCTGGGCTTATGGTTTTACCATCCATGTGGATGCATAACCTTAAAAGGTTTGGATTTGCTACAGAATTTAAAATTCACTTCTGGTTGTTTTGGTAAAGAAATTCAGACCAAATAAAGACCAAATTCCAAAGCAGACCTGTGTTTTTCAAGCAGCAAGAAGCCATCAGGTGTTTAAACAGAAGAGCAGTTATGAGATGTTGCCTTGTTTTCTTGTGAGGAATCAAAACCACTCCTAGTCAAGATGGACTATTTATTTTATGTGGAGAAACAAAAGCTTCATTGCTTTGTTGAAAACTTTAAATGGGTTTCCCATATGTCACACTCCTTTTGGGTAGGTCTAGTGCTACTTTGTTAAGCTCTGATTTCACATAACTGAAAGGATAAGGAAAACAATGGCCCACCCACCTGAGTTTGTCTCCCTTTATGGAAGGACAGCCTACTTCTTGGTCACACAGACACAACTCCAGAGAGCTTCCATGGGGGCAAGTCTGGTTATGTTGACAGAATCAGGGAAAATTTTTGAATAAGGAATACTTTTTTCTCCTTTTATGCTGGATTATACCCTTAGTTCTTGCAGAGTAGAGAAGGGCTGATAGCTGAGAGGAGTGGGGCACAAAGCATGGATATATATTGTCCAGAAAATGTGATAGAAAGATAATCCAGTTAAAGCTGTGTAGAGATGGATCAGATATTGTGGCAATACCTTGTATTTTACAGTGTTAATAAATAAAACCTTCATTCACACCCTAAGTGTCTGAAATATGAACTCAATGTTGAGCTTTTCAAGCCTTGCACTGTCCTTATGCCCACAGAACCATCCACATCCTCTTGTAGGACAGCCCTTGTTAAAGGGAAGAGACAGAATGGAAACATTTTGGAAGCTGGGAAGAGGTGGGCTGAGGGTCTGGCACTGAGAGGAAGGGAACAACACCCTGATAAAGCAATGGTAGCATCCTGATGGCAGGGGGAGTTGAGATGCAGACAGGGGTAAGAGTGAAGAAAAGAAAGGTGGAGCGAAGAGGGGACAGCAGAGGTTTAGATACACTTCTATTTCTTGGAATTGTTTTCCCCTTGTTGGCAAAGAACCAACAAAAAATAAAGGCTGTTTCTCACGTGCCAGACAGAGGGATGATGAAGAGGAGCCCTGGTGTATGCAAAGTAGGGAATGTTAAGAGAGACAGACACATTTCCTTATGCGCTGAGGGAGCTACAGATGTGTTTCCACCATAACACACAGCAGGGCACAGATGTTTATGCAAATGGAGATATTTACAGACAAAAATTTGTATCGGTTCTGCTGGTGTGTTGAAGGTCTGAGAACCGGGAAAAGGAACAAAAAGGTTCTGAGGCTAAAAAGGAAAATGAGTAAAATCTGAAGGAGAGATTTACTGTGGGCAGTGGGATATTAGCACGACACAAGGTCTGTGGCTGTATTCCACAGTTTGGTTTGAGGAAGGTACTTCTGTCTTTGTGTTTCATAACAGGCTAAGCTGATGTGTGATCTCTCTGCTGCACAGCTCTGCTCATGAGCTCTTTGATTTTGTACAGTCAGAGCTGCAGCTCAGTCAAAAAGGAACATAGAGCAGCATTTCAGACTTTTGGATAGGCCCAATCCTCCACTGTTGTGAATGGGAAAACCTCTGAGTTTTTAGAAGCATCTATTGGTTACATGCAAGGGAAATACATACTAGAAGAAGTAAACAGAAGATCTGATCTGCCTTCATCTTCTGTGGGGTGGTCATTTATTATGTCCTAGTGGAGAATTTTTTACTGGTTTTACTAGCCAAAATGGTCTACAAAATATGAATGCACAGGGAAAACTGCATTTTTATTATTTATGATTACTAAATATTTATGGGAAGTATTAGCAAATAAGAAGTTTTTTGTATGAAAATGAATATGAAGTTTTTTGTATGATGAATTCTTATTTGAACTTCAATTTGTTGTGCTGGAAACTGCCTTGTTTCTAATTCACTTCTCTGAGAAATTCCTGTTTGCTGGAAGCAGAGAGAATCTTCTCTCTCTCCTGGTGCAGAAACCCAAACACACAGAGTGGCATAGGAAAAACCACAGAAATACTGGAATGAGTTGCTAATAACTTCATCTCAAAAAGTGTTTGTAGAAATGTTTATAAGTACAGAAATTGAGGGAAATCTGGTTTCATGTACGAGCTCGAAAGGATTAGATAGCAAAGCAGCCTTGCATCCTTACTCTTAGTGTTAGTGGGGAGAAGATGCAACATCCAGATCCAAGAAGCAATGCTGGAACTATTGAGTATCAATTGCATTTTAAACCTTGAAGTATTGTTGTTTTCAATTGTGTTGTTGTTTTTCTGCTTTTAGCTGACTTGAAGAGTACCATTCCCAACCTGTGTCCATCTGTTAATTTACCTTTCAGGCCAGAAAGTGGTAAGTGTATTTATGAATTGAACAGAAACAAAACCAAACACCTCCTCTCCACTTCCCCCACCAAAAAAAAACCCCAAAAAAAACAACCACTAAAAATCCCTCCATCCTCTATTTTGTGCATGTTGCTGAAAAATCGCACTGTAATGAAAGTGTTCCCCATGAGGTCACTCATTTAGGTGTTTACTCTTTTTCATTAATTGTGTATCTTTTAAAAGAAAGAACTGTCACATCCACAATGCTGACCTAATTTCTCACACTTGCTGCCGCATGAGACAAAATATTTGGCAGGACTGATGAAAAAATTTATTTATGAGTGTGGATGTTGCATCACTTTCCAGATACAATGAATCTTGTGGTACTCACATGAGTTATTTTAGAAGTGGGTGGATCTTCTTAGTAAATGAAACTTAGCTGCTCTCTTTCAGGGCTTTGTGTCTACTGACCCCTAAAAATGCATGCAAATTGTCAGCAGCTACAGGCTTCCCTGAAATACACTGCATAGCTACAAAATGCTGTGTGTAACAGAAAGGAAGGGAATGGACTGCTAATTAGAAAACTCAATTTAACCCTCCAGTTATACTGAAATTCAGAAGTCACTTCCATCTCTGCCTTTGATTTTCTATTTGATCTCAACAAATATTTAATCTGATTGAATCTGTCTTTCAAGCATGCAGGAGACTTGATATTTGCAAAGAATTTTCAATACTCAGTTCAGAATTTATTATGATGTCTTATATCCCACAACCATGAGTCACGATAAAATTTGGGCTATTTTTTAGTAGAATTTGTCCTTTTTAAATGGTCATTTTAATGCAATAGAAGGAAAACTCCTATCTTTGTATATAGGGAGAAATAATTTTTGTGTGAAACACTTTGAGGAGGTGGTGGGGTAGGCCTGACATGTAGGTTGGGCAATTCAACTCCTTTGCAAACTGCTTTTCCTATGGGATGTGGAAAACAGCTTCACTAAAGCTTTCTTTCTCCCAGAGTGAAGCTTGGTAGTAATTTTGTCATTTTTCTTTTATGTTTTTCTTGCTTGCTTAAATCTAGGAAAACAGTGCCCTAAGCAGCACTTAAGTAAATCAGGAAATTGGGTTTTTCTGCTGTTTGCTTTTGACTCTAAAGCTGCCCAGAACAGCAACCCCAGCAAGTGAGGTACTCATCCTTTGTAAAAACCCTGATCTATCACACCCATTTCCAGATCATCTTTCCAAATGCAGAGCAACTCAGGATATCACTGGTTTGAGAGACCTGGTTAAGCAGCCCAAGCCAGCAGAGCTTCCCACAAGGATCCAGGAATGCAGAGGGGGCTGGTTAATGTCATTCTGAGCCCACTCTCAAATACCTTTGAAGGTGATGGGGGAGATATTTATTTCCCTTCTGTTCCCTGGTCTGGGATTTTGAGGAAGTTCCTCGGCAGTAATCACTATAAAATGTCTAGACCTTTGAATCTACAATGACAAAAATTATTTTCAGGAGCAACTTCTTTTCATGTCTTGTCCTGGAGCAGCCTGCAGCCACTAGGGAGATGCAGGAAAAGACCCTTCCCTATGTAAGGCCAATCCTGGGAGAGACACAGCTAAAGGAGAGGGTCAGGGTTCTTCCTGTTCTTTGCCTTGTACCAGAATGTTCATCCAGCAGTCCATTGCAGCCCTGTGATTTCTCTCAAAAGCCTGAGGCTCCAGTGGGCTTTTCCCAAATTATTTCCCCTACAAACAACACTGCTGTGTGTTTCTAGTACTCACTAGATACCCCATTAGCCTGTGAAAAAGAGGAAATTAGTGCTCTGTAGTGCCTGTAGCCCACTACTCTGTAGCAGGAGGGAGGTGAACTGCACAATGGCTTTCACCTGAATTCTCACTGATTTGTTGTTGCCTCAGCAAGTTTTGCCTACTTGCAAAAGCCTTTCTGCTACAAGACTGAAGTCTCCAAGTCATGTCATCACTCACTAGATACTCCATTAGCCTGTGAAAAGGAAGAATTAGTGCTCTGTAGTGCCTGTAGCCCACTACTCTGTAGCAGGAGGGAGGTGAACTGCACAATGGCTTTCACCTGAATTCTCACTGATTTGTTGTTGCCTCAGCAAGTTTTGCCTACTTGCAAAAGCCTTTCTGCTACAAGACTGAAGTCTCCAAGTCATCTCATCTCCAGGCTGTAGTGTGTTTAACTCAATGTATGGTTTTCAACTTTAACTGAATGAACACTTCCATTTACTTCTGTGCAACTGTTGCATGGAGCAGAGCAGGCTCCTGCTGGTCTGTCGTGATTTCCACAAAGCTTCTGTGATCTCAGAAGTGGTGCTTGAAAAATTGATAGCCTGAACTGACTGGGAAAGTCAGAAAAAAAAACTGACTTGTTACGTTTGGAGCATTTTTTCCCCTGTTAATGTGCTGTGATGACACTGAGTATGGAACCATCTGTGAGGAGTTTCAGGTACAATCTGTGACCTTTGACAATGGGAGAACAGTTGTTATTTTAAGGCTGCCCATACTGAAAATGCTCATATGTCATCCTGCAGTCTTGGTTTACTTAGGCTGGTATTTAAACAACTCGGCTCAGTTGTGTGAACATCTTGGAGTGTCTTATAAAGAGAAAAGAGCCAAGTCTCATAATTGGTTTGAGATGGAACTTCCTGCAGCCAGCTGTAAGCTAGGGGAGATGAGAAAATGGGTTTTTTAGTTATATATTTTGTTGTTATTTTCTAAATATGCAATGCTGTTATTCAAGCAGTTTATGCACAAGGGTTTGAGTTTTGGAAATGTTTATGCCTTTGCAAACTAGTCTGAAAGAAGCAAAACAATCCATGAGCCATATTACCTGAATTTCTAGAAGGAATACTTGTGCACATACTAAGGAATACTTAGATCACACTGGAGAGCCTGAAAGCACTCTTGTGTATGTGGGAGGAACAGCCTTGGTGACTTTTGACTTTGTTACGAGATTTATTAATTGTATACAGTAATTATCTAAACTTAAATGTATATTTTTATCTTCAGTTCTAACTAAAGCATGTCTATCTATCTTAGATTTGGCAGCTGTTAGGAGGCAGTGGCCCTTACAGGGTGACTCCTGCATGGCCCTGTGGGATACACACAGATCATGTGGGCTCTCTTCCCACTCCATGCAAATCAAGTAATTAATTGAGAAAGCACCCAGGCATGTGGATGTAATGATCTTAGGCCTTTCCTGTTCCTGCTTCCTATGATCCCCAAGTGATTTATAGTCATACCCTTGAGGCAGGACTGAGCAGAGCAGTGGCTACAGGATATTCCAACATGGGAATAAATTTCCCATCGGGCTGTGTCTGCCCATGGGGTATTTCCATTCTCAAGAGAGATGCTGATGGTAGTACAAATGCTGATGTAGCTGATTTTGGTGATTAATAGTATCATTTATCTTCCTGTTTTCCCACAATGTTGAGTATTTATCAGAAACATCCTTAGTGTGAAACAAAACCTTATTTTATCCATTTTTGGGAACTGATTTACCATGCTCCCACACAGCAAATTTGATCTCTGACATGGAATTACTCTATCTTCAGCCTTAAGTCTGATTTTTATTGTTTGTAAATATGCAGATTTTAGCCTTCTGAGAACAGCTTATTTTAAACCTGGATAAATACCTAGTACATTTTTAATATCCCCTTACTATATCATTTGCTATAATTGGCACCCCTAAAGGAGACAGAGAGCTTATATTTAACAGGAACATAGAGAGATTGCTCCCTGCTAAAGGCCATAAATACACAATTGTTATTTTTGACACTTGTCTGGGGTGTGATTACAGTTATTATGCGGCAGTTTAAAGAAAATAATTCATTTTGAATTATACAAATCTCAACGGATCAACAAAAACAAGTAGTTCTATTTTAGGAAGAGTATATTTTCTGCAGGTCCACTCTGACTTGATGATTTGCTGGCTTTGAAGATTGTTGGTATGCAGACAGGTTAGCAGGCTGTTGTAAAAAACCTCTGAAAACTAGGAATATAAAGCACTGAGCTCAGTCTGTAAGCATGTTTTGGGATTGAGTCAGGGGTATTGAATATGGTTCACAAATTTCAGAGTTAAGACCAGAATTTGTCTTTCAAACATAAATCAGGCATACTGAACCCAGAGGTCTGATTTTGTACCTCCTTAACCTCACATTGACCTCCTCAGCTTCACAAGTTTTCTTTTAAATTTAACTTGTTATTTTGATTTGTTATTTTTACTTCTGTATCACTGTCTCCTTAGATCAAGTGTTAAATTTTGCAGCAAACTCAAAATTGATGCCTCTTTTCTTCCACTGAAGTCAGTGATGAAACTTTAGTTGACTTTATGACAAGGATTTTATAACCACTTTGCCAGGAAATATATTCCAGTCTTGTGATCTTGTGACTGCAGTGGGAGCAGAGTAAGGCCAGTGTGAGTCTTTTTGCAAATCCAGTCTTAAACCTTCCCTACCCAAACAAGAACATCTGGAAGAGAGAGGCTCTCTGTATGGGACATATATAATTTTGAAATAAGAGTTACAGGGATGGCTGGATTCAGAGGGCTGTAATTATCCAATGAAAGCCTTTGCCAAAATGTGGTTGGAAGGACAGCTCTTAACCTATATATAAATCAGAAATGTTTTCCAGCCCATCAGGTGCACTGTGCTTTGCCAGGAGCACAGGCCCAGTCTGCAGCTCTGCTTTGTGAGAGCAGTTTCTACGTGAGGCAACTTGAGATCAGCCATGGAAAGTTGTCTTTTGCTCACAGAATGAAGTGGGTGTGCATGGCTGTGGCTGTTGCTGGATCTGCTTTCAGGAGGAGGGAAGAACCAATACTCAAAATCTCTTTAGCAGCTTGCTCCTGGCTGTTAGTGTCCACAGTGCCATGCACGGCTCTGGGTTAAAGAGCTTTGCTCTGTTGTTAAAATAAGCATTAATGTTTCTGTGTTTCTCTGTATCTGGAGTCAGCTGGGCAGAATAAGGGAAAAAATAAAAAGCTCTGAGTGCCACCATTTAAATCTGACCTGAGATCATGAATGCACTGCCCAGGATGGAGGATGAAAAAAATCCCAAAACAATCTAAACCCCAACCCAACCCAAAGAACCTCCCATGTGGGAGGTGGCAAGGGTGACTTCTGTGAGATTTGGGGCAATGAATAATCAGTTTAGATAGGAATGTGTGAGCTGTGGATGTTCGCATCATGAGTGGTCACTCTTCCATGCCTAGCATGGGCTGCAAAGTGCCCAGTGTGCCTCATTTGTGTATAAAAGATATGCTCCTCACTTGACTCTATCCCACATAAAGGGATAAAAGAAATTTCTAATGTAGAAGTAGAAAGTTTAGCTTGTGAAATTAGGTATAGGAGACAAAATTCAAGTGTCAGAGGTGTAAATCCAAAAGGTTTATTTTGTTTTCATGGATTCATTTTGAATTTCCTTCCTGAGAGAGCAAGGACCCCTCTGAATGTTTGAACTGTGGGAAATGGAGGCAAATGAGGATGGTGAGACTTGCCCCAGGTCACTTGGTCAATCAGAGAAGCTGTGCAGACAGTCTGGGGAAATCTCTTCCAAAACCACTGGAGCACCCAGACTTTTTGTGTTACAGTGGAAGCCAGACAAGGCTCTCTTTTGGAAGAACCACAGCTGGTAATTTGAAGCTTTGTGTTTGAACCTAGAGAGATTTTGCTTGTTCCAGTAGTAGGACCTCAGCTGCTGGTACTGTAGACAGCACAGGATGGCAACATTGCTCTTAGGTAAAAACAAACTTTGAGTCATATTGATAAAAGAAATATTTTCTTGTTCCTCAGAAAAAACATAATATGTTAACATAACAGAATGCAACACCACATTAACCTTCATTTCATGTTGAGTGCTGTGGTCAAACTGTCTTTCTGAGAGGGGGAGAAAGGAAACTTTGGCCATCTTTGCCAGTCACTGATTTCTCAGTAAAATTAAAGAAATGACAGGTCATGACTTTTGCATCTGTGTGGGTGAATGAACTCAAGGGCAAGACCTGCTCACTAGGAATAGCAAAGGAGCAGCTGACTCTGCTCTGTCCTCACCCTACAATTACATGGAGGGAGCAACACCAACCTGCTGTTTAGGACTCAGTGGCCACAGCAGGACCTCTTGCTTTTAAAACATATTGAACTTCTGAAAGGAACTAAAATAATTAAAGGCTCATTCTGTCCCAAACCTTCTGTTTTGTCTTCTGTGTGCAAAATTGAGAATTTTCAGATATTTTTATCTGTTTGTGTATGAGAAAAGAATGTTTGTGGTATTTTTTAAAGTATAGTTTAAGACAGAAGGACAGTCCTTGAGGAACACCAGAGTTAGTACATATGTGTATATGCATGCTCACACAAGTGCATGGATGTTAAATGTATATATCAGAATATAGATATATGTAATACACATGATTATATTTACACATATGCACATATTTGTGTATATATGCCTATGAAATCAAGTAAAATCTTAATTATGTAGAAGTTACATGACATCAAAACTGTTCATACAATTTAATATAAATCTATCTTCCAAATCAAATTAAAATGACCAAATTAACCTCCATTTGCTTTCCAAGAAGTTAGTGGCTATACCTGTTCAGGAACTTGTGTGCAAGCATTTGAATCCATGCCCTTTAATGTAATTAGGGCTGTTCAGAAACCTTTTATTTAAATCAGTTGGATTTACCTTCAAACCTGGATAAAGCTGCTCTGGATTTGCCTATTTCTTTGCTAAACACCTTTGTAAACAAATTAATATCTACTTCTGAACATGAGATTGGACCTTCAAGTCAATTAAAGGTCTTTGGATATTTAATTTATTCTCAGTTGATGCAAAGGAAGATGACACTTGTTCATTGAGGAACTCCCCGATGCTTTTAACTCTTTATTAGGTTCCTCTGAAATTTTTACTGCTCCTTCTAGTAATATTATTTTCTATGGTTCATTTTACAGAGTATATGGATGCTTGGCAACCCTTAAATGTGTCATCTGTTCTCCTGGATTCATCCATCTCACACTTTGAAGTTGTGCATATTAGCAGAGATATATCTAATGACTTCTCCACTGCCAGAGATTTTTGCCTATCTGGTAAGAAATGGTCATTCACAGCTTTACAGAAAATTCTGACTTGTGAGCCTGAAAACCAAGAACAGCTTTCCCACTTCTGACATAGATACACTGATTTTACTTGTCTTTAATGACTATCCCAGTTTTTCCTAGTCTGAGAGAGGGGATCTAAAGTTGTTTAGAGAGAGATGCAATAGATATAAAATGCTGTAATATAACACAGTAATTAGGTAATTTTGACACCTCTTGGGCACAGAGATCTCTTACTTCTCCAGGCATTGTACAGCTGGGAGAATATTATAGTAAATGATTAAAGCAATGATGTCTTGTTTTCCTAAAGAACCACTGCCCTTTGCTAAACCCACCTGCCAACACCTAAAGCAACCTGTGGCAGTGGTGTGTGAGGGAGGGTTGAATGAGAGCTAGGAGCAAGCAGGGATTGAGCTGTAGTGACAGCAAAGAGAATTGCTTTAATCTACAGCCTGACCAGACAGAAGAGTCCTTTAATTTCACATGACTGGGAAATCCTCAATGCCACAGAGTGGTAGAAATAAGGGAAAGTTCCCACTTATTCACTGGGGACTGTTAGAATTCAGATGAGGTTATCAGCAGTTTACTAGTTGATGTTTTTCTCCTTCTAAAACCTGTGATAATAGTTCTTTTGCTGCATTATTCCTTTTTAAAGCCAATGTAAGCTTCTGTTCTCTGGCTATTTTGGAGAATGCTATGGGCATTTGGGGACATTTATGTCCCATTACTCTGAATTACATGATATCCTTGCTGCTTCACCTGTTGTAAAACCTTTCTTTTAAGAACAGTGTAACACAGTCACGCAAAATGTGAGAACACATTTTTTACCTGCTCTTTTTCTTCATGCTTCACTTCACAGCTTGTTCAAAGAACCAGTCATGTTCAGTGGTCACACTGGAAATCCAGCCTTCAGCCATAAGGTGCATTTTCTACCCTGATACACAGATGTGTGCACATGGCCTGCAAGGGCACAGCTGCTGGGTTTTGCTGAAAGAACCTGCTACCTATATCTATAGGAGACAAGGTAAGAACAGGTCAAAGCTGTGGAGGAAGGACCTCAAATGTGGTGCTGAATTCTAGTGAATGGAGGACTGAGGAATTCCTCACCTCATAAAGCAACATGGATGTCTCCTAGACATTTCTCCATGGCTGTTTCAGAGGAGTTACAGCCAAGAGGATGGGAAAAATGTCCCCAAATACTGTTTTTAAAATGCATGAAATCGTAGTGTTACCCTCTGGTGGTGAAGCAGGCATGACAGAGGAAGTCTAGTTTATGAAAGATGTTTTGAAAGTGCGAGTAGTGAAACCAAACAAGAGAATGCAAGTCCAGCTCTTAGCTTTTGACCTGCAGAAGATGCTTTGATATGCTCTGCCTTTTAAGCTTGGAGAATAACTCTAGGAGTGTTGAAAAGTCACTGTCAATTGAAAGTATTAAGGGCAATCTCTAGAGAAAACAAACAAACAAACAAAAAACCCCAGATATCCCTGCTCCCTAAACAGGATGAAAGAATATTTTAAATGAGTGAAAAATATTTAAGAGAGAAAAAGAAGTTGTATAGACAATGTAGATAATTAAAAATTCTGTTGTTTGGTTACATACTTATTTGAAAGTGTAGGTTTTTTGGGGTTTATTCTTCTTGATTCTTAAAGAGACTGCTTTCTTTTTATGTACTACTGGTTATTTTATTTATTAAAAGTAATTAGAACCCAGGTTAGAATAAGGGGTAAGGGAAGAAATTTTTCCTTTTCACTGAAATTCTGTGAAGTCAATGTGAGCCTTTTAGGTTGAAACTCAATGAGAGAAAATGCAGTTTGTCATTGCCAAGTAAAAAAAAAAAATAAATCACAAACTGAAACATAAAAGTAGACTTGTGTTTATTGTTTGTTACAGGTGTGGTTTTAGTCCCATGACTTTGAATTTTGTTCCTGCCTATCCAATGCATTGTTTTAGGAGAAAAATAGCAGGAGGTGTCACTTTACTGTCTTTTAATGAACTGCTTTATAGGAAAACATTAACAGTAAACAGTAAATTTATCTGTGTTACATTTAAAGAAATGGACACTTAACAGTTTAAAACTATGGGAAATGGGACTAATTTTCATTTCTGAAATGCTCCTAACTTGAAAAAACAAATTATTTTTCCTCTGCTTGCCCTCTGATAGATTTACTCCTGCCCATTTCTGAGTCGGATTCAACCCCAAGAGTGTACATCCCGTCCCACGGATACCTGATGGGCAAATCCCAGGTGATCCAGGTGGGCTCAGGATGGAGGAACATCAGCCAGTTCCTGGGCATCCCTTACGCTGCCCCTCCCCTGGGCGAGAGGCGCTTCAGTGCCCCAGAGCCGTTGGCTTGGCGGGAGAGCTGGGACGCCACGGAGCCTCGGTGAGGAACCCCTGGTCACCTGCAGGAGTGCTGGGCCAGCCAGGGCTGGGAAAGCTGCTGGAGAGATGACAGCAATATTCATGTCCTTTCATGCAAAGCAACCCACAGAATAGGTTGATAGATAGATACAAGTCTGAGTCTTTGATTAGCAAAGAGAATAATTTCTCCATCTTTGTGTTAAAGCATGCAAGCGCCTCAAGAGAAAAGGCAAATTCTTGTACACTGTTGAATCCCTGCATAACTCCCCACCAACTGTCTGCTGTCATTCCATTTTCATTCTGAATAAGATCTATACAGGTATTTATTATATCCGTACGAATAGTTTTGCTCCTGCTGAGCCATACATTTATTCCAAGCAGGGAACCTCAACACTGATGTAAGCAGAAGCTGTGGGCCTCATATAGAAATTCTCTGCCTGGTAGTGTCCAAGAGATCAGACTGAGAGGCCCAGAAAATCAATCTCTTCTGTCCAAAACCTATTAAAAGGCAAATACTTGGGGAGTTTAAAATGTATTTGTCCTTTGGTTATCCTGTCCTTCAGGATGCTCCTGAGCTGTGGAGGTGTGAAGCCACAGCCTCGAGTACACTGCAGGGATCTGGTGGGATGTGACTTTTTGTTTCCCAAGATGTTCAGTGGTGTTATTTTAGCACACACAGCACCAGCTGTTGGTGTCTGAGCCACAGTCTGGGTTTAGTTAGAACCACCTGCCTTTGTGATCTCCCCTTGAAGACCTGGGGCTTCAATGAGCAGCCTGGCTGAGATTTTCAAAACAATTTGGGGACTTTGTCTGTCTGTTTCTGTCTTTTGAATCCACAGTGCTTGCTTAGTCCAATGAAGAATTTAGCCATTAACTTCTATTTTTCATTTAAGATTAAAATTGTTTGAGTTGTTGTTTGAGTTTACTCTTGGGGAATTGGAGAGACCTCACTTTATGTATAGAAACTGTTAATTTTTTTTTAGTATTATATATATTCCATATTGAATGCTAAATATTTATCTACAAGAAATTCACATTAGCACAGTGCCATTACTGATGGAAGAGATATATTTATTTATCAGCTTGGACTTGATAAAAGATTAAAAAGCTTTAAAAACCCAACCTAAACCAACCCAACCCAACCAAAACCACCAGCCTGCTATTGGAGTCTCCAGCTCCTGTGCTTCAGCAGGTGGCAGCCTTTCTCCTGGGAGCTGGAGAAAAGAAGCTGTGATCACAGGTGATGATCCCTGCTGCCCTGTGGAAAGCTGTGTGATTAATAATGTAATACTTACTGTCCTGGCAGGTTTCCTACCTGGGAATTTGTATTTTTTCTGCCAAAAGTGGCTTCAGCAGTTCTTTTGTTTTGGAAATGACGTGCTTCACCATGTCAGTGTGAAAGCTGTTGAGTGACGTCACCATCCTAGATGAATCTTTCCCTTATGGAAAAAAAAAATTGTAGAATTCCATTAAATCTGGTCCTTTTCCTTGTAGTTTTCCAATAACTTCTTTACAACTTTAAGACAAAATTTTAGAAGGGTGTTAAAAATGATAATTTAGAAATAATTTTCTGAGCTAATAAATTGTGATTTTTTTTCCATAATTTATTGTGTGGTATGAATAAAGCTTGAAATAGAGGGACTGGCTTCAAAGTAGGTTATCACTGAACAGCAAAAATCATCCACTTGATTCAAGCTTGATATGCTTGAGCAGAAGAATCTCATTCAGATGATGGCCAGAAAATAATTTTCTCTATGTGGCTGGCTACTGAATTCTTATTGAAAGGGTACTTTTAACATTAACTGACACTGTTAATGGTCTGCTGTGATGCTTAGAACGAAGAGATTTTTAAAATGCCTTAAAATTTTGAAGTTACCACATTTTCCCACAGACCACTGGAAATTAAATTAAACACAATGAAATGTAGCCCACAGACCACTGGGAAATAAATCAAAATGTACATAGCCCACAGATTATTAGAAATTAAATAAATAGCCAGCATTTCAGCAAAAGAGTGGATTTTGTAGGTGTGCAGGGAAGACTGCCTGTGAGCCTCAGCCTGCTCTCTTTACAGCTGGTGGTAATTTTGTGCAGTTTATGTAAAGTGTGGGCTTTTTGAAAGCACATTTTAAGTTTTTTAAAATGAGGCAGGTTTCTGAGGAGGGGTTCTGGGCACACAAATGCAATGCATTATGTGCGTGTATACAAACCCACATTGTTAACAAAGCTGTTGTTAACTTACAGGTGGGCACAGTTTTAAATGAGATCAAGATTTACAGATTTAAAGGTTTTATTAATTATTGCATCAAAATATAAGGAAGTAGCAGCAGTGTAAGAAGAGTAAAAGCCTTTTTTATTGTGACTTTCTCAATCTGTGTCTCCAGGGCAGCATGTTGGCAGCCAGGAGATGGAGAGGCTCCACCACAGTCTGTCAGTGAAGACTGTCTGTATCTGCACATCTTTGTTCCTGACACCACTGTAAGTGTGGGATGTAATCAAAATTAAATTTTTTTGTAGCTGAGGATTGTCTCTTTCCAAAGTGCTTTTAATTGGCATGAATGGCTGTTTTGCCACAATGGCCTGTGTTGTCCGCAAAGGCTGCAAAGTTAAATAAGGCACTCTGGTGTCTTTACTGGTGCATGAGTATTCCCTACAGGCTTTGTGTGAGCTGTGTTGGGTGACTAGAAGGACAGCACACTAAAAGGTTAGAAATAAGAGAGAGACAGAGAGGGAAACAAAACACCAGAAGAAGGTGACAGCCAGAGGAGAAATTAAGGACAGAGAGTGTTCCTGCAAGCAGACCATCTGTCCAGGAGACAAGAATGCAACACAATATATCAACATTTACCAGCAGACAGGGGGCTGCTGATGGTTTTTTTCATCCTTCTCTTCACTGTTCCCCCATTGACATCTGTGGGAGTCTGCTGGGAAATGAGAGTGGCAAGCAATGCTAGATTTGTGGCCAGCTCACAGAGCTTAAAAATAGATGTTTCCAAAAATGGCTGAGCCACTGGTACAGTGTGAGGAATTGTCATTTGAAAGTTCTTGATTTTCTCATTCTAAACAGATATAAAAGAAAGCTGCAAGTTAAAGCCAAGCTAAAATGATTGGCCAACCCCTGGGGGACTGGGGATGAAGATGCTGAATAACATGTGAATCCCATTGAGGAGTGGGCCCAGAGACAGGAACTTTTTCTTTCCACAGTACTGGCAATTTTCAGAAGGCGATGGTAGTTGTAATAGGAATTTATGAATCTGTCATACGTACACGTCTGGAAAGAGCTGGGTAGCAATCTGACAGCAGCACAGAGAGTCCCTTGCAGGCCCATTTTAATCATCAAGAGAGACCAGCAGTCTGTCTTCTCCCTGCAGCATGAGGCTGTCATTTTGCCTTGAGTGCAGTCACCACTTATTGAAAACATCAGGTCACTGTCCCAGGCAGTTTGCCATCTATGCTTAAAAGCTGCTTTCAAAATACTTTATTTTAAAACATTGTATTTTCCACCAGACTAAACAGGCTTGTCTATTCTCCTTCTCAATCCTGTGAACAGAATCTCTCCTGTCTTTTGTAAAATTGTAAGGTAGAAATAGGTCCAATCAAGAAAATCAGTTTCACATTCATAAGTCTCGTCCAGGAGAGAACTAAAATTTCTGGTTTTGCAGAAGTAGCTGGGAACAGAAGGCATTGAATTTTCCTTCTCTTTTTGTGGCAAGCTCTATTTTTTACTCATGCAGATAGATAGTTATATCTTTTCAGCCTGTGAAAAGTTAAATTAGCTAGTAAATATGGAATATAAAATCTCCCAGAGAGCAGTGAATGCAGAGGTCATTCAGGAGCAATTTGAGCCTCAAAAAGAGCACACTGCAGGGACTGCTGCCTGTCACCAGAGGACTCTCAAAGTGTCAAGCACTGAAGAAGGTGAATGACATCATTTTGCTTCCATAGCTACATGTACCAAGTTAAACTGGCACTTCTGACTTTTTTCCACCTATAATTATCACCACCTGTCACACTAGCTCAGCAAAGCTGTGTTTTGCCTTTATTTAGAAAGGGTTTAATTGTAAGATCAAGACTTAAAAATCTTCATTAATTAGGAATAGAAACCCTCTCTCTTCTTTCTCCATTTCCTGCACATTCCCATCCTTATTGTGTCATCCCCATTGCACTCAATTCTTTACAGAGCAATAGTGTACAGTAGTAAAAGCACTGAATGTTTCCTGTCTTGGTGGAGTTTAAATCTGTCCCTATCAAGTAGCTCATCAAGTGTTTTACACAAGGATGAGCAGGGAGGTTGGACCAGATGGCCCCTGCATTGTTCCCTTCCAAGGTTAACCATTCTGTCATTCTGTGATGGAGAAGATGCATGTGAATATTATCAAGTTTCTCAGGCTTCCAGCTGACTTGCAGCATCCTGGTGGCTGCTGAACTTCATTACCCCATTAGGGTTTGCACGTGGGACTTAAGCCCCTGCTCAGAGTCCCCATGAGACCATGATGGAGCTGCTGGGCTTCCCATTGCTTGGTGCAGAAAAAGAAATGGGAATGCTGCATGCAGACAGTTGGCTCTGTGCACAGTCCAAGTGCTAAATCTTCCCCTGAATTACTCCATATCTGTTGCAGCTGTTTTAAACGGCTTTAGTTTGCCATTTCCAAATTTTACTGCCCATCTTTGCCCTTTGTAAGTTTTTTATTGTGTAAAGTCACTCAGAATAATGTAATATGCAATTTACAGGGCAGCTGGAGGTCATGGTGCTATGGAGACTGTGGACTTGTGGGAAATGCTTAGTATGAGCCTCAGGCTTAACCATGCTGAGCTGAGGGGATGGAGCAGGCTCAATATAACTGTTAATACCATTTTAGCTGACACAACTTGATGTGGTTGTATTTCAGAATGAATTTCCTTGTGAAAACAGATGATTTCATTTATTTCTTCACCCCCATCTCTCTCTGTGTTGCATGCAGTGCAGAAATGGGAAGCAGGGACAAGGCACTGCAAGTTAGGCAGTTTCAGCTGAAGAGAAGTTAATGAGAAAAAAACAACTGTCTCAGTGCTTGTAATGTCTTGTGTTTTCTTGGCAACATTGTTATGTTCACAAGAAGCTCCTGAACTGATTCATCAGAGAGATGAGTGAGAAGTGCACATAGATATCTAATTTTGCAGGATGCTGCAGCCATCTCTGCTCCGCTGCTTCTCCCATACAGCCATTTGTGTTTTTGCTGGAGACATTCTTTGCCAGAACAGATGGGACTGCTGTGTTTAGCTAAGCTCCATCCAGAAAATAACAGCAACAGAGCCCATTGCCCTCTAGGTGCAGGGAAAACCAGACCCAGATGTACTTTGATGCTGCTACAGGAAAGGGAAAAACCAAACCAACCTCCCTGCTTATGTTCACTGTGGGATGTTTCTCTTGAGTGTCTGTAACCTGCTGGTAAGTGCTGAGGTGTCCTGGGGCTGTTCTGCCTTTTTCCTGTTGATGCAGCAGCAGCCCTGCTGTGTGTGCAGGGAGGGTCCATACCTGGTGTTGCTTTGGGAAAAAGCTTCTGTTTCTGTGCAAAATCAGGTGCCTCTGCCAGGACTGTTAACATGGGTGCAGACTGGGACTCCTTGCAATCCCAGGAATCCTGCTGGGCTCTTTTGAGGCAGAGTCCATCTGTACTTTGTGAGATGTGGGTCTCTCCTCTGCAGAGACAAAGTCCTCTCTGCAGGATCCCTCTGGTGGGAGAAAATTTCCATAGGCACTGAAGGAGCATGGAGTGTTATCAATATCAAGTGACATTTTTGAGACTAGGCAGTGTTTGAGTGCTGAAGACTTGAGAGCAGGAAGCAGCTGTGCACAACTGTGAGTAAATCTTACTCAAGATGGAGCAACCCAACAGGCCTTTTCCTTCTCCTGTTTCCCACTTGTATGAACTTTTCCTTCATGTTTGTGTAAAGCAGATGTGCTCAAGCAAAGACAAACACACCACGTGCTCAGTGGCCAAGGCAGCAGGAGCTGGCCAGAGGAGATTTTGGCTGGTGGAATACTGTGGTACTGTTAGATCTGCTTTATACTGGAGATAGTGCCTTCTTTGTGATACACAGGTCCCTGCAAACAATTTGTGGACAATTGTGGACAACACTCGTTAAATTCCAGACAGATAGGCAGATATTCCCTCTTTATGGTCACTCTTAAAAAGCTATGAATGGCTTAGATAATGTTCATGAGGAAGCTGCTTGTGTTATGTTATCGCTGTTATCATCAGTGACCTGCCAAAGCAGTGTGCAACAGGAATATTAATCTGGTCATTGTCGTGGCAGGTCAAAAACATGTCAGTGTTGCTGTTCTTCCACAATGGAGGGAGTTACAGTGCTGAAGAGGGAAAGACAACCCTGGATGGGTCATACCTGGCTGCGATTGGCAACGTCATCGTCGTGATGGCAAACTACCGGGTCGGTGTCTTTGGCTTCCTGAGCACTGGTAAGTCATGGGTTTCCAGGGCAAACACAATTATGCATTCTGTAACTCTTCTGTTTCTGATTTTTATTTTTTCAAGTAATTTTTTAAACTCAAGTAACCTATATCTTTCACAGATTTTTTTTCTGAATTATTGTGGGAAAAAAATGGCCAAGAAGTAGTGGAGACTTGATCTGAAGAGAAAGGGGAGAGGCTGGGGTAACAGGGACAGCAACAAACCAAACCCAATATCTATATCAAAGCAATGACTTGTGTTTGCAGATGAGATTCTGGATATTGAGTTTTGCAGACACATGTGAAGATAAGTTAGAATTAAAATTCTTGCTAATTCCAGTGGCCTGTCGTTGTGGGTAGAGTTTTCAATGATTCCAACTTCCAACCTGTTCCATCCATGAAATGTTGCTGATGCTCTCTTGTGCCCATGTCAGACTGGGGAAGAGGTAGAGGCAGATAACTGCAGGTTCATGATAAGAAGGATGTGAGAGGATGGAAAGTATGGCACAAAGGTAGTTGGTTTGTTCCTTAACAATTCAGCCTGACCCCTCTGAAGGACTTGCCACATTTAATCTGAATCTGTACTGGCCTGGATGTGACTGAACATTTGCATGTTCTGTGTTGCAACCCTTCCCCGTGTTCCAGTGTAAAGGATTTTTTGCTCTCCTAATGCCAATTGTCATTAAAAATTATACAAATTCCCATTACAAAAAGGATTTTGTCTTGTATAAAGAGGTATGAAAACACACATTCAATCTCCCTAAATCTTTGGGGTAGTGCCATCAGGTCTTGGGGATTGTTTTTTTCATTTTGCCTTTTTTTAGCCTTGCCTTTTCAAGCAAGTAGGAAACATCTTTCTACCATCTTTCATTTCTGCCTGGGGCAGGGGAACTTGAGATAGAGAGCCACTGAAAGAAAATGCAACAGCTGCAAGTGGAGCTCTGTCTCAGTCTGGTGACAATCCTTGGTCTCTTTAGTGTGCATTTTAATACACTTATAACTTTTAGGATGTCATATTTGCCATGTTTGTAAGTATCTGACCTACATATTTGGCCTCATGATCCTTTTGAGTGTTCACTGCTAGTGATGTTGGGTAGATTTTACCTGGTTTGAGAATATGGCTGTAGTTGATGGTTGTTTTTTCCCTTCTCTGTTTACTGTTTTGTTGAAAGCTCACTCACAGCAAAGTCTCTTTCATTCTGTAAATAGAGAGCTGTCACTACAAGCTCCTTATTTAGATAAGAATTTGGTCATGGGTATATCTGGAAAAGAAAAAAAAATCACTGTTTACAACAGTGCAAACCCAGTGTTTGTGAAAGCGATGCAATAATTTCATTTTGTCTAGAGCCAAATGCAGTGGGCATATGAGCTGTGGGAGCTTCCAGTACACAGCACTGCCCACACCACCCTCCTTCAGCCCTGTGAACCTCACCTAGGTTTCCTCCTGAGGTGGAAAATGCTTCTTGGACTGAATATGGTACAGCAGTATTTATATGATGATGCATAATTTAGGAAAATTATTTGGTCTCTGTTTCACAGGGTTCTGCCTGCATGTCCCAAAATGTCAGTATATGGGCTTGGTGTGCATGGTTGTCATTCCTGCAAAACTTCAGACAGAGGTGGCTCATTACATGACTTTTTGGGGACCTTCTCCTGCTCTCTGTCCTGTGGAGCTGTGGTCAGGGAAAAGTTCAGTCTTTCCTGGCCTCTTCCTCTTTGGGAAGTCTATGGTGTGGATTTGGGAAAATCGTACAGTCCTAGAATCACAAAATATCTGAACTTGAGCAGGATTCACAAGAATCATTGAAGTCCAGTTATTGGCCCTGCACAGGACACCCCAGGAATCCCACCATACACCTGAGAATGTTGTCCAAACACACCTTGAATTCTGTCAGGCTTGGTTCTGTGACAACAAATGGGAGATTATTTAAGTCATTAACCATTAACATTCCAGTCTCCTGTACCTGGTCCTTTGGAACTTTTGCCATTGGTTTCAAAGGGAGCAGGAGCTCACCCTTAGGGCTTCACAGCAGGGCTGTTGGAAGGCCCTACAGTTAGAAATAAAAGTTATGAACTTGTGAGTAACATTAGTTTGATTGTCCAACTAAGCAAAGTCGTGAATCCTCTCAAGTTGATTTGTTGTAAATTGCAAAACTAGAAAGGAAGGAGTTAATGGATTTTTAGGGAATTGAAGGGTAGTGAAAACAGAAGATTTCATTTTGTGTGGATGGAGTTTTTGTTAGTTCTGTAGTTCTGGTCTCTCAGTGGCAGGGCTTTTGCAAAAAGTGAAAGATCTTTTTTTCTTCTAAACACAAAATATATTTAATTAAATTTGCTATCACCTATTAATGTTGCAAAAAGTGATGCATATTCTTACTAACGCCTTCACTTCTTCCTTTGTGTCCAGAAAAATTAAGGTGAATTGTCAGTGATATGGATGGCAAGAGTTTGGAGAAGACAGTCATGTTTTTAGGTTTTATTCTTTTAAGATTCCATGAAGTCATATAAACCAGAACGATTTTCATGCTTTAATTTAGCACTATTGTTCTTCTTCTGTTTAGAAGGAAGCACATGAGGACTCTGGTTTCTTTTCAGCTTCCTGTGGTTCTCAGGAATGTGATCTTTTCCTGTAAAAAGGCAGTGGAAAAGATTCCTGGCAGACATGTTTCTTTCAGTCTAACTCCTATGAAGGTCCATGCATGCATCTGTTCTCCAGTGTGGTACATTTCACAACCCACTTGTGGTTTTTGCCAGGGAGAAAGGAACTGGTTATATTTCCCTCTTTGGTCTTTTTGTTTAGTATAGTGAAAGCAAGGCAGATTGTGTGGCTAAAATATTTACATGGATCTGCACATAAAAATTTCTTCACCAAAGAGATTGTAAAACATTGGAACAGGCTGCCCAGGGCAGTGGTTGAGTCACTATCCCTGGAAATATTTAAAAATATGTAGATGTGGCACCTGGGGACATGGTTCAGTGGTGAACTTAACAGTGCTGGGTTAACAGTTGGGCTCAATGATCTCAGGGTCCCTTCCAACCTGACTGATTCCATGATTTCACTTCCTTTGGAGTGGTCTCAATGGGGATGGAGCAAGTCCTTAAAACGAGATTTCCTTTTTAAAGAGTGGGTTTATTGCTGGATTGAGAGCTCTGGGAACTGGTCATGGTATGCAGGACAAACTAAAAAAACCCCAAGAAAATAAATCACAAAACTAAAAAACTAAGTAAGGAAAATATTTCCTCCATTGCTTCACTGGTGTGGCTTGGACTGATCATCTGAAACAATGGCTACAGGTCATAGTTTTTTTGGGCCTTTCACTTTTTGGCTGCCCTGCTGAAAGGCTGTTCCTAGCAATGGCTGCTGTAGTGTGGGCAGCTCTAAGATCTGCAAGGTGACCATTAATCTGTTCTCCTCTCTATTACTCTGCTGTGTAAACTGGTGCATTTGCTACCTCAGGAATTCACTACAGCAGTGTAAAGGATGTACACTTAAACTGCTCTTTGCCCAAGACTGTCCACAAAGCAGTTCCACTCTGTTAATTTTAATTCACTAGTTTATGAACCTACCTTTATTTTAAACTTGTACTACTTGGTCTTGGCAATAGAAGAAACAAATTGTTTCAGCTGTGTTTCTATTCACAGCTTTTCTGTTTTATCCTGTGGGGTTTTGGTTTTTTCCAAGTTTTAAATGTGAAGAATTTTAAACCTTTGAAAATGAATGGCTCATTGTGAATTAAAAAGAAGCAGACAGTGAATAATCATTTTCTACTCCTTTTTTTACAAACCGTGGAGGAATTACTTATTTCTGCTTTTGTTGATATAAAATCAAGCTTACCTACATTCTTGCAACATTAGATACTTTCAGCATTAGTTGCTTTTAAGAAAAGTATCAGGTTACCACTTTCTGGTGTTGAAAAGGACGTGGTCATATTTAGGTATGAGAAGCACATGATTAATTATTTGTTTGTTTTTATGTTTACCAAAAAAAAAAAAATATATATATATATATATCAGATTTCTATTGGATAGACATAGGACAATCTCAAAGAATATAGACAGAAATATTATAATTTTTAAAATAATATCTGGAAGAGTATAAAGAAATTCAAGATGTGATTTATGATTGGTCAGGCAGGGCAGTTGTAAGAGGTGTGTAGGAAGGAAACATGCAATCAACTGTACTCCAGGAAAACAGTAATTCTTATAGATCCCTTCCAACTTGTGAACTTGGCAAACACACACATTTCATTTGTCTGTTTTTAATTCATTTTAAGGTTGAGCTACTTATGTAGAAAAATAATCTTATGGCTAAATTTATGGATACTTGAGCCTGGATTAGTCTCCTGCCATGATGTGTCCTAATGAAGCTGAGAAGTTCATGTGTTATTTTTCTGAAAAAATATTTCATGTGAAATTTTTCTGAATCCAGCACCCCAAGGGCTGCCCTGTGGAGTGGTAAAAACTGAAACGGAGTCACTGCGTAAAGTGATTACATTGGAAGAGACCACCTCAGACTTTTAAACTCTGGTATCAGTTTTGTCAAGTTTCAGCAGCAAGAGCTGCAAAAAATGTAGCATTTACTGCAAACTTCAATGTTTACAGTTTTCAGCCGTGTTTTGTTTCCTCCACCAGGCTCTGCTGAGGCGAGAGGGAACGCTGGTCTTTGGGACCAGCTGGCAGCTCTGAGGTGGGTGCAGCAGAACATCGCCAGCTTCGGGGGCGACGCCGGCCGCGTTTCCCTGGGAGCCGCGCGCGGCGGGGCCGATGTCGCCAGCGCTCACCTGCTCACAGACACAGCGGGCACAGGCCTCTTCAGGAGGCTGCTCTTGATGGTAAGTTCCATTCACCTGCCCTGTGAAAGGATGTTGCTACAGAGATGAGGATGCTGCAGTGTGTGGGTGCTGGTTTTATTTCATACATACCTTGGCAGGGCTGTTATTGCTGTAGTTATTTTTCATCTCACCTGTGACTGTTATCTCCAGGAACTGGATGCTTCACCAGCACGTACCAGAGACGCACTTTAGTGTTTGATTTACTCATAGTAAGAATCCAGCTTTCGTCACTGTGGTTTTTTGGGTGTTATATAAATAACCTTGTTTCATAGCCTGGAGGTACAAGAGCTTAGTTTCCATTCCATAAATTTGATGTTGGTCAGCAGCTTTTAGACCCTGAAACTGATGAGCCAAACTCCCACATGTTAAAGTATCCAGTCTTTTTTTCAGATCTTAAGACAAATTTCATTTAAAAGAAAAAACAGGTTTCAGAGAGTAAAAGTCAGTTTACAGATGGGCTTGTTTCCTATCAGCTTAGAACATTTTCTCAGTCACTCCAGGTGATCCATATCCTTACAGTCTTTCCTGTGTTGAGTCTTAGGACTCTGATATCAGTTTTGCCAGCATCAATACTGCCATTTATCTTGACAGCCTCAGTGTGCTCTGAAATGAGGCTTAATCACCAGAGGAAGTTTATATATTCAGCAGAAATGGTACTTGGACAAAATGAGCTCTACTAGCAGTGCTGCCTTGGAACAGTGAGCAGTGGAATAGAATTCTTGGTTCAGGAAGCCGAGGGCCCAATTAAATAAAATGCTGCCTTGAATATAATGACATCTTAATTCAGTACCTAATTGTTCTTCACTGTGCCCTTGCTTCAGGAAACATAACTTGCTTTTGCATCTCTGTGGCTCAATAAGTTTATTTTCATTGCATTGCTCTAGTGGGGAAGACAAGGGAAGTTTTTGAAAATTGCTGCTCATTAATTGCTTTTTTGTGTCATTGTCAGATAATTCCTGACACAGTTCCTAGATTTTCAGTCAGCTCTTGACATAGAATTTAATTTGCTAGAAGACCCAGAGTAGTTTTTCTGTTTCCTCCTATTCTGAAGTCACAAACCCTTTACTGACATGGCTGAGGATGGGGCTCTGTGAAAACTGTGCCGGACACAGTGCAATTTAACAGCTGAACCACTTAGTGAAGGGAAATGCAAGGACCTCTTTGCTTACAGTTGCTTCTGGAGAGTAGTTATGTATTTTCTTTTATAAAAGAAGTTTAAACTCATTCTTTCTCCTACAGCAGAACACTGGTAGAGAACAGTGGCAAGTGCAATGAGCAGACAGGTGCACCAATTCTTCCCACTTTTCTGGTGTTTATGTAATTTTTTTTTTTTTTTTGGGACTGTGCAAACCACTGTCTTGGCAAAGGCAGCATCTCCACTGAGTTCAGAGTAGTGTTAATTATTTATCCTGACAGCCTCACACTGGATTTAATTTTCTTGTGAAATACACTGACAATATAAAAGCAAGCAACAATAGAAGTAGCTTGTAGCTTAAAAGTATACTTGATCCATCTTTTTTTTTTTTAAGTGGTGCCAAAGCTGTTTTTTCACTTACGTCTCCTGTAAAGGGATGCGTCTTGTTTTTGTTCAAAGACACCAAAATCATTGAGTACTTTTAATTTTACTGTAAAAAAGGAGGTGCACACAGACTAACACAATGAAACTGAGAATATACTGAGGCATATACCAGATATACCTTTCCTGAGGGAAAATCCCTCAATAAAGCTCTTCTGCACAAGTCAGCTTTGTGCTCCTTGTTTCTGTATTTGTTATGCATGATAAAACCATACTGTTCCTGAGCATGCAGAGAGGAGTGGTGCATGAAACTTTCTTTACTAGAAAATGTGCACCCAAAATAGCAAAATGCTTTTGAGTTTCCCGTGTCTATCCTATAATAGGTTTTGTTTAGAACAATCTGAAAACAGATTGAACAAAATCAGTGCAAAGCTATCACAGGGACTTTTTAGAATTTTTTTCATCTTTCAGTGGTATGATTAGAAATAAGTGTTATCAGTGATTATGGCCTTATTGTAAATGGTTTAAGAGCATTAGCCTGGCATTTGACTTCATTTTTTGATCACTCAATGAATTTACCAATGCAATGTTGATGTAGATGACTGAATCAATAGTGTGGATTGCAGGGGCTGCAGAGGGCAGCTGTGATGGGTGTCCTCTCAAAGCATTCCTGGTGGATGTCAAGGGCAGCTTCCAACCTTCTTCCACCCAGTGCAAGGGAAGACACCAGGTCCCTCCTGGCCATGGAAGCAGATCAGACAATGGAAAGAGAAGGAAAGAGAAGGTTTATTGCTCTTTGACTGCAGTCAGGTAGAGGGCTCTTTGACATGGACCCTAAATATCCCTGATCCTGGTAATTAGGTACTCTGTAGATCCCCTTCCCTCTTTTCCCATCTCCTTTTTCCCTCCCTTTACCAGTCTCATTCCCTCTCAAACAAACCAACCACCTCTCCTGGTTACTTTTTTTCATTATGCCATTTCATAGGTAGTGTCAGATTTGTTTAAAATCACTTGGGGACTGTCATCCCTTGCAAGCTTGTGTTTCCCAAAAGGTCCCCAATAAAGTCTTCCAGTTAACTGTTAAAATGTCCAGACCTCACAGATTGTCCCCATAACCATCTGTGAAATCCAGCCTATAGCACATTAATTAGTTTTTAAATGTCCTATTGGACATTTAATTAGTTTTTGTCACTTCATCATGTCATTACTGTGAGGATGACAGAGTGTCTGCATAGGATGCCCAGGGAGGTTGTGGAGTCTCCATCTCTGGAGGTATTCCAAAGCCATCTGGACATGGTCCTGGGCAAATGGCTCAAGGTGGCCCTGGTGAAACAGGGAGGGGTTGGATCAGAGGATGCCTGGGGGTCCTTTCCACGCTGACCTGGTCCATGATTGTTGAACCTGTCAATGTCAGAATGTTTTATCCCCTTCTCATAGAGTGTGTCTGAGTGCTGCCAATTGTGTGGGCTCCGGGATTCTTTTGTCACCTTCCATCCAAGATACTTTCTGGCACTGGCATTGCAAGGCTGGCTGATTGTACTAGTTGCACATAGGTTTCCCATTTTCTAAAAGCAGCACAAACTACTGAATATTATTTTAATGAATAAATACAAGTCATGACTTAGAAATCTGAAATACTTCCCAAATACATTTCATGGATAAAATGCAGTCACCATAACGTATTGATTATCAGTAACAGTAATTAGATTGTACAAATGCCTAGAGTTCCTGAGTGTGTTTTGCTTTTTGGAGTTCAATGTTTACCAACCAAATTACATTAATCCTTTAAATCCTGAAATATGTTTAAACAGGCTGTGAAATATTTTGATCTCTGAACCTTTCTTGCTAGTGCAAATAACCCGATACAAGATCTAAAGAGCACATAGATTTGTCCTAAGAGCTGTTTAGAGATTAAATATATATATGTATGTATACATATATATAACTTCTCCAATTCTCTATTTCTTCAAACCTTCATTATTCAAATCTGTCCAAAAAGGTACAAGAGAATATTGGATTGAAACTATCTTAGCTTGACAGCATAGGTTGCAGCATTTTACACACTCAAACAAGAGTGATTCCTTGGTTTAGAAAGCAATCACAAGCAGGTTCAAAGGAAAGTACTGGAATGGCCTGCCTGGGGAGGTGGTGGAGTCACCATCCCTGAATGTGTTTAAAAAAAGACTGGATGTGGCACTCGGTGCCATAGTTTAGTCGAGGTGTTGGGGCATGGGTTGGACTCAATGATCTTGAGGGTCTCTTCCAACCTAGTAATTCTGTGATTCTGTGAAAATGCTGCGTGCTCTTTTTTGACTTAGAAAAGGCTGCATATCGGTAAAAAAAAAAAAAAAAAAAAAAAAGAAATTTCAGAAAACCCTCTAATCTTTAAGTGATTTGATGGAAAATGTAATTACTATTTGACATAACTCTCATCAGACAAGAAATTAGGAAAAATCTCTAACATCCACTGTTACTGATTTGTTCCCTTAGTTTTATTATTTTAAAAGCTGTTATTAATATAAATATTATACATAAATATGTGGCTGACTTCAGAAGTCATTGTTAAAATATCTCCCTGTACACATAAAAGGTCACACCTTTGCAAGCCAACCTTTGCAGTTAGGCACATTATCATCACATCTCACTTTTCAATTAAAACCCCCTTTGTTCTCTATCTGCTTTACTATGAGCAGCTGAATTACATGTTTGGATATGCCTGAACTCCCAGGTATAAGTAAGAACTTCTCAATGAATTAAGCCTGTTCTTAATTTTGTGACTATTTTATGACACTGCAGGCCATTGCCAGCAAGTGAATAAATGCTACTTATAAAGTCAGTTATTTTAATTTTTTCTCCTAAAAGATAAGAATGGAGTCACTAGAATTAGGTGTTTCTTGGATGCCAGATGTTAGATACTTTCTTGGGGTTATTGATGTCCCTCTGACCCATTCTCAATGACAATGGATAAGTCTATCTTGAGATGAAAAATTCTCCTTTTTTCAGTGTACATAGGTTCTGCAAAGAAGGTTTTCAGCCTTGTTGAGAACACCAGAGTTAGAGTTAATTTAAGTTCTTGAGCTGCAGTTGGTTCTTCCCGATGCAGTCACCTCTGTACAATGCTGGGCATCGCCCCGCTGAAGAGTCACCTGCACTACTTGGCTTTTGACTTAGAGTCTATCTCTGTTTATCCTGCTTGTGAACCAGTTCTGGTGCACTGGGGACATTCCCAGCATATGCCATGGCTGGGATAGCACCCTTGAGAAGACTTTAGAAGAGGACATGCAGAAGCACTGCTGGCATTTGCCGCCAGCTTAGCAGATTGTATTTCCCAGCTGATGAAGGGTGGCAGGACCACAGGATGCTCTGGTTTCTCTCCTAACTCATCAGTTTGTGGCTTTTTCCTCTTTGTCTTGTATTTAGTCGTCATAGTATGTAGGTGGCAAGTGAAGGGCACTCTTATGTTTGCTCCCTGTGTATATGAGAGACTGGGATTTCTTCTTTCTGGCACTTGCAAAAGAAGCATTGTCATCCTCAGTTAGGGAGAGGTAGGAAGCGATGCTTTCCCTCAGGCCATAGCTGAGGCAAGAGTCATCCATTGCTGCCAGGGTGCTTTTGGTATCTTCAGTCACCTCCAGCCTTTAAAAGAACAAAATTTTGTTACCATTTCAGCTACTCGAACTCAGTGTCTTGGGATAATATTAACAGTCGTTAAACCTAATAATGTTATTTTTGTTGTATAAAAACATTTCTGCCTCATAAATCAGCAAGCATTTCTGTCACTTAACATTTCTCAAAAAAACAGTACAACAGTAATATATAAATATTTTTTGGCACTTGAAAAGGAAGTGTTATCTATATTCTCTTCTTAATCTGTAGGAAAAATGACCTCAATACTGCACAAAATTTTCTTGCCTTCATAAGCACATGAATGTTTTGTGAAGAAGAGTAGTGAAGGGAAATTTACCCTTCAAAGGTAAAAGGTGCTTTTGTTTCTGAGGGTGGTTGTTTCCCCAGCTTCTGAAACCTGACCTACTTTCTCTTGTGGCAGTTGTGATTTTAGAAATCTCATGAATTGGGCTGTGTGAGAGACACAACAGGAAAGGTTTATTCTTGGACGATGTGTTCATTACACCTGTGCTGTTTCCTGGGAAGAGAGGGGAGCCACTCCTGCCTGCCACAGCTCACCTGTGAGCCCCTGCACATCAGTGGGGATGGATCAGCAGTGGTGGATGTCACTGGGCTTTGTGACCCAGCTCTCACTCCTGCCCTTGGTGAAAGGACTCAGGAGTCCCAAAGGAACTGAACACATAGATAGCTGGTTAGGAGAAATGATTGAATGCTAACAATACTTCTTTCAAAGTTAAAACCTAGATGATCAGCTGGAGAGCTGGGCATTCAGTTTTCATGGGTTAGCTTGATGTCAGATTGTCCAAGCTTTAAAACTGCTTTTTTATTTCCTTCAGAAGGAAATAAATAGCTGTGTGTTCTGTGTTGCAAGTACAAGTATACACATGGCTGGGAACAGCCCTGTTGTTTCTGGCAGCCTGTGCTGTGTGTGGTACCTGTGAATGTTTCTCCAGTTGAAATTTTTATTCCGCATCACCACAGGAGGAACTGGATTCATCACGGTGTTGTTGTTAGTGCACTGGGTGAGACAGGGTGTTGTAAGGACACAGCAGAGACCATCAGCAACTTCTGGACAGGAAAATGAACACACAGACAGTTAATCTTTGCTTACTGTTTTCTTTCCCTGGTGCATGCTCAAATAAACAGTTTTGGACTCAGCAGCAGCAGTCAGTAATTGTGTGTTCTCAGCAAGGACACAGTAACACAGGCTTAATTTTTCCTTTCCTCATACCTTTGCCTTTTAATTTTTCATTTGGCATATTTCATACAGTACAAGTGAGGAACTGAGACACAGAAAGACAATGTGACTTGCTCAAAGACTAGAAAGAATTTTTTGACAGAGCAGAAAATTAAACCCAGTTTTTCTGAGCCCTCGGTGAGTTCTGCTTTGCTTCGTATTGTCTCAGCCAAACAGAGTGTAAAAAAGATCAGATTGGATTGTGTGCACACCTACTCTTCTGTGCAACATGATTGTGGAATGAATTGGGGTTCACATATTACCTTCATCAATGTTTCTGTCTCTACCCTCTTCTTGCTCCACTAGGAACATCACAGATATTCTTCTGCCCAAGCAGAGAACATCGTGGCTAAATGCTGGTGTTCTGCAACTCTGAGTCTTATTTCAGAGTGAGATTTGTATCTTCTCATGGTGAGGGAAGGAGGAGACCTAAATCTAGTTATGTTTCCACTTACACCAATAACTTAAATAAAAATGTTAGTTGTCACAAGTTTTGGGTTCTGCCCCAGCCCAGATTTTAGGCTTCAATTGTTTCCTTCTTTCTAAACGTGAAAGGTGTCAACTAGCTAACATGTAAACACACATATATCTCCTGTCCAAATTCTTACTCTCCTTATGTCATTGGACTTGAAAGTTTTATTTGCTTGTTTTGAATGTGATTGACTTTTCTCCTCAGTTTATCAGTGTACTGTTTGGCCATCATACTTTTTCTTTTACCTGTGAAATACTTCGGTATGGTAACTTCACACTTTTAAAATTGCAGTGTACCCATTGCTTGTTAAAGCACAGAACCTATTGTTCTCTTGTAACTTCTAGGCAATTAGTTTTTTGCAATTTCCTTCCTCATTTTAGAACGTTCTCATTACGATGCATAGTAACTGCAGCCATTCAATTGTGTTGTTTGTCAAGTTACCTTTCTGACACAGGTTAAATTGCCATAAATCTGGAAAACTGTCATTGAAAAAGTGTCATCTACTGGACTGATATTAATAACAGTGACAGCTGACTCTGCAATTGAGCTAACAGCTTAAGACTCTTGATATAAGCTCAGCTGATAAATTCCTGCCATGCACTTCTGCTAAAGTGATAGGGAAGAAGCTTACAATGTTTCTGAAAAATTTCTACTGCAGATAAGGTTATGTGCTGTAGTGGTTCTTTAAGAAAATGTGAATAGAAACCTGGTGTTGCATGCCCTGAAGCTATCTGCCTGCCTAAATGGCAAATAAATGAATAAATGTTGGCAAACAGAGTCAGCCAGGAGTTGCAATCTTTCTCAAACCCAGATCTACAGCTTCTGTATAGCTGAACATTTCTGTATGCTCACACTTTGACTTTAGGTGTGCTCTGAGAGGGTCTTGGCACGCCTGACCTGTGCTGACCTCCAAACTGCATTTGGAAGTTCTTTAGGGAACCCCTAAACCCTGGTGTTTGGCTCAAACAGTGTTATTGACATGGCTATACAATATCCTACACCATATCCTACAAAACACCAATACAGACAGAGCCAATCTGGCCTTATTTAGCTGAGTTCTTGTATTGATTTCAGTTATACTGTTAAGGGCAGGATATTTTTATTTAGGATGAAAAATGAAGTAAAATGTATAAACCAAAACTTTTTCCATTGTTTGTTGTGTGGCAGTATTTGCAAGTCTTGGACATAAGCGAAACTTCTTGTTCTGGACCTTTGATAGATAGTTTTACAGTTGCCAGTGGAAAATCTGTTTTTTCTGCACTTATTTTTACCTGAGTAGTGATTGACAAGGTCTTCAAGGCACTGGAAGGTTTGCCGTGGAGAGATGTAATACCAGTTATTGGGGAGGCGGAAGATCCTGTAATGTTTCACTTGCCTGTGCCTCACTGACAAGGAATATAACCCTGGAGAGAGACAAGAGCTAATTACACCAAAGTAGGGCTGGTTGGGTATCTCTGGCAGAATAGAGTATCTGTAAGATGTGGTGCTATTACTCAAAACATTTCAGAAACAGCTGAAAAGACCCGAGTGGCCATCTTATATATCTTGTTATACTTTATAGAGATACATAAATATAACATGACCTGAGATTTTAGTTGAATTTAATTTCAACCGAATTAAATTCAACCAAATTTCTTGTGTGCTTTTCCTTTATTATTGCTGGCATGGGATCTTTTGAAATGGCATAAAGGAAATAAGCCTTTGCAGAGTTGCTTGCCTTCCGCTGAATAGGGAGATCAAACTGCCAGGCTGGTACTCTTCTGTATACAACTTTGAGTAATGTAGAAGCTGAGACCAGGTCATGGCAGGAGAAGGCCACTTGGATTTTTCTGCAGCATTTATTGGCAAGGACTAAACGCCAATCCTAAATTTCTTTAAATTTAGTACAGATATTAAGAAAGTAATTGGCCTGTGGTATGCAGGAGGTCAGAAGAGATGATGTATTATTCCCTTTTGTCTGTAGTATCATGATATTAGAATGTGCTCTGGTGCTTCAGAAAAGGAAGAAAGCACATTGCACATGGGAGATTTGTTCAGCCTGAAGAAGAGCAGACTGAGGGGAGACCTTATTGCTTATTTTGTTCAGCTGCTTCACCAGGGGCAGCAGAGGAGCAGACACTGATCTCTTGTCTCTGGTGACCAGTGGCAGGACCGAGGGAATGGCCTGAAGTTGTGTCAGAGGAGGTTTAGGTTGAATAGCAGGAAAAGGTTCTTCACTCAGAGGGTTTTTTGGGCCCTGGAACTGTCTCTCCAAGGGAGTGGTCACAGCACCAGGCTGACAGAGTTCAAGAAGGGTTTGGACAATGCTCTCAGGCACATGGTGGGATTCTTGGAGTGGTCCTGTGCAGGGTCAGGGGCTGGACTCAGTGATCCCTGTAGGTCCCTTCCAATCAGAACATTCTATGATTCTGTTTCTATGTCCCCATTGAAGAAAATAAAAGTATAAAGTTGGTACAGTATAATTCCCATTGAGCAAAAGAAAGAAAATAAAATTGAAGGCCAGTCATTTTTTAAAATAAATAAAAGACCTCCCTGATTTATATAGCAAACACACTTATCCACCACCACCTGTATTTAGTGTGCATTTTACACCTTCTTGAATCAAACTTTTGTGGACAAAGGCAAAGCTGTGGCTTTTCCTTCATTGAAAGTCCCACTGCCTCATCCCACCATCAGGTTTGCATGCAACCAAAGTAAATAATAGTGTTTAAACACCTGTGTCTTGTTTGTGCTGATTCCTGTGGAACTTTCCATGGCCATCAATAACCCTGTTTCCAGTAGGTAAAGGCTGGTACCCTGCACTGGGTGCCTTCACCTTCCCATTTTATACCTTTTCTGGTTTTGGAATGATCCATATGAAGCAGGACAGGGAGTGAATTAAAGAGCTGTAAAACTGTAAATGCCTGAGATCAAGAGGGAAAAAATCTGCATTGTCTCACCTTTCCTAGTTTCACTCTCTCTGATCATGAAGGAGCCGACCTTGGTGTTTGGCAGCTGTAGAAGTTCCTCTGCTTTTTCTCTTCCCAGCCCTTCAAATAACCAGCTGTGAAGCAGGAAAAAACAAATTCTGAAATTTGGACACCAGTGAAACAGTGAGCAGCATGTGGCTGTGAAAGTGCTGCATTAGCCAGGAAAAGTGACTGCAAAAATAACACTGTGGCTTTCTATAGCTATTCTCTCATCTATATTCAGGCATATTTCCCCAGTTTATGGAGAAAATGTTGCTGGTTTTGAGTTCCATTAACCTTTGTGAGGTTAAGAGAAGAGTAATAAGGTTTGGACTTACTAGGGAAAACAAAACTTTTGGAACTGCTTTGATCTGTATTGCTGGGGACAGATTCATGTGGTATATTGATGACATCTGTGGCATTAGTTAAATATCTCTTTTACATTTAAACCACTTTTTAACCCCAAATTGTATCATAAATAAACCCCAAATAAGTTACAATTATTTTGCTTCTTCTAGGGAACAGCCCAACCATTTAAGTTAATGGGCTCTGTGGATAAGGGAAAGTGGAATTAGTCCTACAAATTTTCACCATAACTTGGTGTAGTGCCATGTTTTGCCACAGGCAGTGTCTCACCATGCACCTGGTCTTGCTCAGCTGTTCTAGACTTATGGAATAGAGTGGAATGGAATGGAATTCTATTTTAAAGTTGTTCTCATGTGTTTGATCCAGTCTGCTGTCACTGAAGATTCAGACAGCAGCTTCCATTACCCCACATCTGTGCCCTGCCTTTGGGAAAGCATCGCTGTTTCAGGAGGATGTAAAAGCATGTTAAAATTGAAGCACTTGCATAGTTTAGTTTACAGTGGCATTCACAGTTCATATCCTTAAAATTAAACAGGTATTAGAACATTTGCCAGAAAGCTTTTAGGTCTGTGCTTTAATGCTTGTTTTTCGGTTTTTTGTTGTTTTTGTTTTTGGGGTTTTTTTCCCCTGAGTGGTGTCTATGGCAACAAGAAATGTCTGAAATTTCCTTAGTTCATCCAGTGAGAAAGTTTACATTCTTTAATGACTTATTAGCATTTCTATTTGTTCTTTTTGGCCTGTTTTCTATGAGCAAACCTAGCTAAAATTTTACTTTATGTAAATATTAAAAATCCATTGTAATTAGGTTCTCTTCATTAATGTCTTTAAGTTAGAGATCAGTCCATGCAACAGATGCATGGAAATATCTTATATGTGATTTGAGGTGGTTTTGGATCTTTCCAGAATTTAAAAGAAGGATTTTCCTTTTCACTTAGTCTAAATTTATATGTGGATTTGAGGTTCTCAGTTTTCAAAAGATGGCTTTTAGACTGTCAATAAATAAAATTTCTGTCTGCCAAGTCAGTATTGGCATTGTTTGGACTATGACTCAGAGTAATCAGAGGAGGATATGTAAAAATGTGGTGATGAAAGGCTATAGAAATGCATGTACTTACCCATGATAAACCTTTGCTACATATTTTCCTGGAATATAATTTTCTCGACCTGTAGTAAGGGAATGGACTCTCCACCAGCCTCCTTCACTGTGTGAAAGCAAGAAAAGGGACATTTTCAGATGTATTTTCAGAGCTTCTCGTCATTTGGAAATTAGTGAATTTACACAGATTAGCCTGCAACCTTCTGTGTGTGCTTCTGAAACTATGTATTCAGAAAGGAACCCTGTTTAGTTTCATTTAGAGTAGTTCAATTTCTAAACTTACTTGAGAATTAAATGTGGACACAGAAATAAGCTACTTTGTTCCATTTAAATTACGTAAGTAATAAAATATTTTTTCTGTAGTTGAAAGAAGAAGGATAAATACTCGGTGGTTAAACCATGCTGTGCTCTGCCTTCCCACAGCTAGACTTGTACTGGTGTCCAAGATACTCAGTTTACAGCTGAGTGTGTTATGTCTGGACAGCCCTGTAACACCAGGATAGAGGATCTGGGAAATGGAGCCTGTCTGCTTGGGAACAGGCTGTCAGTCCAACTGAACCTGCTTTGTGCTTTGCTCTTGTCCTTGTCTTCCATGAGCTGCAGACCAGACTCCAATCAAATAGACCTTGTAGCTGAAGCTGCTGGCATATGTATTTCCCCCAATACATCTTAAGTAATTGCTATGAAACTGAATTCTGGCTTTTGCTCTTGAATCCCTTCAGAAATAAAGGGTACCAAGAATTTTCACAGGGATGCTGCAAAGCTTTAGTCGTAGTGCAAGGATCTTGATGACTGTTGGGTTCTATGCACCTTCACTTTAAGAGGTTGAATCCAAGGAACTGTGTCTTGTGTTTAAATGCTGGTTTTGTGTATGTTCATATAAATGCTCCCAAAATAATGTCTGCACTGCAGATCAGAGTCTCAGTGTGTGTCAGAACAGCTGAACTGGAATCACTTAGGTTAAATGTCATGAGTTATAGCTTCTGGGACTGTGGTCCAGAATGTCTGTGCTGAGGGAAAAAAAGGGGAAGTATCTACTGCTCAGAGCTGGAAATTGCAGGACCTCAAAAGTTTTGGGTTTGGTTTTCCTGATGAAATTAATTTATCTATAAGAATTTTAGGTTATATGGGTCTTTTTTCCCCCCAGAACTCTCCTAGACAGAACCAAGAATTGCAATTAAAAAAAAAAAACCAAACCCAAAACTGAGCGATTCGTCATCTCTCTCCCTCCAAACTTTAATATTACTAACCCTGAAAAATAGCTATGATGATTTAAAATCCCAAAGCAGCACATCTCTCTTGCAGCAGGAGCTACAGAAATTATGTATTTTGGGGCAAATCTTGGAGGACATTTGGTTTGACTTCTGCCAGCCAAACGCAGGTCCTCTGGTAATGAAAGGTGCCTGACCAGTGTGGAGAGTGAGAAACTGTGCCAGTGGTGCTTATATAAATCTGCCAACCCAGAGCAGTCACAAATATCTGTGAGGAGTTGCATTTCCTATGGAGGTTCCATATGTCCTGTTCCTGGCAGGATTGCTGGGGCTGATTGCCACTACACATCATTACTTTGGTAGAAGGCTGAAAAGCTGCTGTTGTAAAAGCAACTGAAAAGCTGCTGCTTGTGCTGACTCCTCTGTGGTGACTCCTCATCACTTGTGCTCTGATCACAGCTTGTTTTTTACTGTCTTTTACTTCTTTGAATGATTTGGGAAAATAATTACAGCTTATGAGCAGGAAGAGGGTGCAGGCAAGAGGAAGAGGCTGACATCAGCACGTATCCCAGCAGGGGAGAACAGGTCCTTCATCAGGACACTGTGGTTTGCATAGAGCTTTGGACTTGTCTTCTGTGAACAAGCTCATGATTCACAATAAGCAGAGGAAAGTTCCCATCAAGGTTTGCTCTGGATCTAATTTATCCGTCAGGAGAAGCCCTTGATCACTGCACTACAGAGAGACATGTCAAAAACTTCTGCTGCCAAAGCCTATTCTTTCAGAAGTTGTTCCTGCAGTAGATTTTACTTTGCAGCACATGTGTACATATAATGTGCCACACATATAATTCCCATTGATGCGGGCATAGGCAGTCCTGTGGTGTCAGAGGGCCTGTAGCTGATGAAACCTGAGAGTGAGGCTTTGAGCTGGAATTTCCAAGCTAAAGCAGTTGTTGTACCATGTTGTGTATGTTCACTGCAGCAAAGTTTACACTACTAGAAGCCAGCAGAGAAGAATCCCTCTGGTTTAGAGGAGCTCTCCACCAGCAGAAAATTGATCTGGTGGTATTGTCTGAATCTTGGGACCCTTAGGTTCAGGGAGGAAGAGAGAGCCCTGTGTCAGCAGAACATAAGTGCAGCCATTCTGGGTCAGACCAAAGCTCCACTAAGGCCTGTGTCTTGTGAGTGACAAAGGCCACTGCATGCCATGGTGGCCTGGAGAAGGGTCTGAGAATTCATCAGTCATCCATGATGCTTCTCTTGAGTATTTCTCTCCTCCAGCCATTTGACTATCTGCTTGAGAATTTTTTTAATGATTTTAGAAGTCCTCCAAGGATTCCTCTGGTATCAATATGTCTTGTCTCCCATTGTATCCATATGCTTGACCAGCTGCAGAAATGGAACCTTTAATTTCATTTTGAGAAGTGCAAATAGTGGCTGTGGGGCCAAGTAACTTCCAGGAGGTCACTGTGTGCTGATACAAGCTGTGCCTAGAAGAACATCAGGGCTGCTTGCTTCCATTTTTTGTACATGTGCTCATTTTTGTGTCTGGCAATACTGCACTATGGTTAAGGTCATTCTGAACTAGTGCTCCAAAGCCTGCTTACTTCTGGGGCTCTTAAATTTTTTGAGTGGAACTGGCTGAGAAATCTCTTTTTTTCCTCACTAAGAAAATGCAGAATTTATTAAAAAGTAGAGAGACAAATACACACCCCTGCCCCTCCCACCTACTTTTTAATTTTTTTTTTTTTTTTTTTTTTTTTTTTACATTTGCCTTAAATTGGGATGAAATTCCAACACTTAATCATAATGGAGTTGTTAGATTAAAAAGGGTGAGAGAGAAAATTACAGACACAATTGACATAAGGAAATTCAGGGTGATTTTCCTTTTCTATGTGATTCAAATTATTTTGGCTTTTACTCTGTTTTCCATTACATTTGGGGAATACTTTCTTATCAGTTTTCAAAGCAGAATTGTTCTGAGTCTTATTTTAGAATAGAGTCTGAATCCAGCTTGAGAAACATAAGGGAAATCTATAGATTAAAGGACAATGTGTAATACCAAATCCTTAAGCTGCATGGAAATTTACACCATGGCTAAGCATCCTTCCCTGAAAATTCTGAACTCAGTTCGTTTTGCTGAATTGCATCCAGTTTGGGCCAGGTACATAAAACAGAGCTTTACTTTAGTTGTAATACAACCTAATTTAAAAATAAATGGATCAACTTACTCTGATAGCACACGTAGTTTTTCCCCTACATGAAATATAGGTTGACTTATGTCTGCTGAAGGATAGTCATAGAGAACAGCAAGGAAGTCACTCTCCTGACCTGCGAAAAAAGAAAGAAAAGGTCACTTAAAACAAAGGTAGTGCTCTGAGACAAAAATGGATTTTTCATTAAGTATGATAGATTTTATGTAGTAGGTCAAATGGGGAAAAAATTCTCTGAAATGTCACTTAATAAACATCATGAGCTAAAGAAAAACCTATAGATTTATAAGAGGACTTTGAAGATACTAGAAATGAAAAGTCATGTGGTTAATTGTAAGCAACTAAATTTGGACCACTTTTTCTAGCAATTACCATATTTAAAGGACATATTCAGTTTGAAACTAAAAAAATAGTAATTATTTATAGTATTAGGAAGTAACCCAGTTTGATTAATGCCACTGTCTCTAATTGCCTCCAGCTACAGTTTTGTAGCATTAGATTTAAGAAAAGGAAGATGCATGTTGAATTGTTTCATAATTTTGCACCACTGATACATTTCAATGGCAATTTAGATCAGGTCAATGAGAGTGTGGCCATTGTTGCCTGTTTCCATCAGTTTTTATATGAAATTAGTTTACATCAAGATCAATGAGAGTGTGACCGTTGTTGCCCATTTCCATCACTTTTTAAAGGAGCTCAGTGATCAGCCAGTGCACTTTGTTCTCACCATTGCATGGAGACTGTGCAAGAGCTTCAGTGAAAGAAAACAGGCACAGGGGTGTTTAAGGTGAAACCATTGCACAATGGCAATTTGCAGAGCTGAGGTCAGCAAAGAGATGAGAAAACCTTTTCCATCAGCTGGGATGAATCTGGGACTTGCACCCTGTGTAGGACATGCTGAGTCTTCTGGGTTTCTGGAGGGTAGAGCACTATACACAAGACTGGGCCCATCAAATATGAAATGCTCCTCATCCTGCTGGAATCTGTGGTGCCCAGTAAATGCTGACAGCTGGGAGGTTCAGAAATGTGTCATGCTGAGTGTTTTGAGCTCTTTGTCACAAGTCTTGGCAAGAGGGATTGTGCCATTCACTGCCTGTGTTTCTCCTGGAAGCAGTTCCTCCTCTCTGCACACCTCAGTATTCTCCATGATCTCACAGGGAGACAGAGCTTCCCTCTGCCTCCACCAGGATCAGCACCCTGATCCTTAGGAGCACCAACTACCACTACATTTGCAGAGGCTGTTTGATCTCCATACTTCCCACTCTGTGCAGTCCAACATGTGCAAATATGGGAGTCAATTCAGGGTAGGAAAGAAAGAAATTAGATTGAGAGAGAGAAACACTTCTGTATCTTGTTACTTTTTTTTGCATTTAATATAGATTTGTTGCCAACTTCTCTTTAAGGAAGGCAGCTTCTGAGAGAAACCTAGGTGCAACACCCTGAATGAATGCTCTGTTTTTTAGCTATGTGTCTCAGGGCCATAGAAACAACTCACAAAGATAACTGTAAAATGCTGAAGGAAACATGAAGGAAACAAACACAAGAGGTTACCCAGAGAAGTTGCGGATGCCCCATCCCTGGAAGTGTTCAAGGCCAGGTTGGATGGGGTATGAGCAACTTGATCTAGTGGATGTCATTCCTAGTCATGGCAGTGAGAATGTTATTAGATGATCTTTAAGATCTCTTCCAACCTAAACCATTCTATGTTTATTTTGAGAGTGTGTTTAATATTGATAGTGACATGATTTTCTTAGTTGTTTAGTGTCACTGAATTAAACAGGACTAGTCCAGTACAGCCAACCACTGTGATTAGTCTAATATAACTTATTTTACACTTAGTTCAACCCTATTGAAGAAATTCTCTGCTAATTCTCTCTGATGGCTTCCTTGTTCTGCACAGAAAATGTAGTGGCACCTTCCTGTCTATGAAGCTACTTAGTACCTGAGGCTAGTAACACCTAAGCATTGACACTGAATCTTTTTTGACAAAACAAAATCTTTACCCTGGACTACTAGAAAAACTACGAGCCAGAAGATGCATTTTGAAAGTAGCAAAATGAGGATAAAGTGCCTGCTTATAAAACATCATGTAATGCTACATTGAATATAATTACTTTTAGCTTAATGCCTTTAGCAATGCTTTTAACAAAAAATTATGCTGTGTATTTATAAATATTCTGCTTCCATAGTGAAAGAGCGGAAAACAAGTGCTTTTCTGTTCTCTTTCCTTGTGCACTGTCATTTGCATTTCATTATGCACTATGGGGAAGGTGACTTTTTGTCTACTCTAGGAAGACTTGTGTTACTTTGCTTACACTTTCATATTTATATTAATTTTAGTTTCAATTTTGCATGTAATTTTTAGTTCTGAAAAGGAGAGAATATATCAGAGTGTTATCTTCCATATCCATGCAAATGTTACCTCCTAAACTACATATAGTTTTACTAAAGTGTAAGGAAAGGAATGAACCCCCTCCTTCTTCTCTTTGTTTTGATTGGTATTTAAGTCAAGCCTCACTGGGTTTTTTGGTCATGCAAAATACCCCACCACACTGTTCAACATTTCACAGAACCCATAGCAGCTCCTTACAAACACAAAAGCCTGGAAACAGGAACGAAACAAATTACACGCTTTCTCCACGCCTAAATTCCACAGTGATCTAATAGATTTGATCTGATGAGCTCCCCACACTTTCAAGATGTCAAAGAAAAAAGATTTGCCTGAGTTTTCTAACACAAGCTCTCCTCCACAGGGCAAGCGTAGGTTACATCTGAAATGGAACAACCCAAAAGTTAGAATGGAAATATCGAAGCACAATCATTTCCACTGCATCAGGTGTTAATTCTGGGTGGTTTTTTAGGAGTAGGAAATGAATGTGAAATACATGCTAATTTTAGATGTCTTCACACCCACGTCTTGCAAAGTGTGAGACTATTGAGAATATTGTATCTTTGAAATTATTCATTGGGAATGGACTATGTAGCATTATTAGAGAGTAGGAAAAGCATAGGCAGAGCATCCAGATCCAGGTCACTGCCCTCAAAAATCTGCTGTGCTGGGCACTGACGTGGTCCATGTCTGGAGTGGGAATTAACTGTTTGGAGTTCAGCTCCATGCATCATCCAGCTTTACTGGCCAACAGAAATATTATGATTTATGGCACGGGGTGCACCAGAGAGGGTGAAGGAGGGCACTCATCTGGGAAACTGCAGCACCACAAGGTGTGGCTGCAAAGTCACACTTTGGTACCCAAGCTAGATCTAAACCAGCCAGCTTGGGAACTGAGATTTGTGCAGGTGCAGCCCAAAAGGATTAACCCTTGATTCAGGGTCCCAGAGGAGGACAGAGAGAGGCTCACAACCCTTGATGACCCCTTGCTACTCTGCTTACTCTGTCATCAGTCCCTGGGTTGTGCCAGAAATGCCCGTGCAGTGTGTGGCAGATAGGGTGCAGTTATCTTTGGGACCCAAATCCTCCTTGGGAAATGCAGCTTATACACTGTTCCCTTTCTCAGGGCCAAGACTGGCACACTGGTACTGAGGAAAGCATAAGGTTTTGTTTTCAGTGCACAAGGGGTTCATAGGGTTCTGATGAACACTGCAGACCAAGTCTGAAGACTGCAGTTATGTATTTTCTTCCCCTTTTTTGTTAGAAACTCTTTCATTATTTCCCTTCTATTTCAGTCCTTCATTTTATTCAGTCTCCCTGAAATGAACCAGTGTCAAGCCTACTTCTCCTAATAACTATTTCAACTATTGAAAGTCCATGGATTTGATCCTCCACCTCAGTTTAATCAAGTCTGTTCCTGGCCTGGTGAAAATCTTCTGTTTTGTGATGTGATTTGGTTGTTTGATCTGCTCAGGAAGGCAAACAGATAGAAACTCAGTGGATGAACCCCAACACACGCTTTGGTACCAGGTTCACTTTTAGAAATCTTTTTTCATTGGATTTGGATGATGTTTGTATTCCCAACTTTCATTAGCAACATCTAAGCCATTATGAAAGTTACTGGTCTGATCCAGACTAAGAGGTGGATGGATCCAAAGAGCTATTCAGACTGATAAATCCTGGAATCATGGAATAGTTTGAGTTGGAAGGGACCTTTAAAGGTCATTTAGTCCAACCCTCTAAAATGAGTGGGGACATCTTCAACTGGATCAAGTTGCTCAGAGCCCTGATCACTCTGACCTTGAAAGTTCCTGGAGACGGGACATCTACAACCTCTGTGGTGAACCTGATCTAGTGTTGCACCACCCTCATTATAATTTTTTTTCCTTATATCTAGTCTAAATCTATCCTATCTTAGCTTAAAACCATTGTCCTTTGTTGTATCACAACAAGCCCTGCTGAAAAGTCCATCCCCATATTTCTTATGAATCCTCTTTTAAGTATTGAGAACTGCAACAAGGTCTCCCTGGAGCCTTCTCTTCTCCAGGTTGAATAACCCCAACTCCCTCAACCTTTTCTCATAGGAGAGGTGTTCCAACACTGATAATTTTTGTGACAACCCCCCTGCCTTTGGATGATTACACATGGGTATCTTGTGCAATATCAGCTGTGAGAGTGTCTGAAACATCCTACAGCCTTGGCAGGTGCCACTGTAACTGCAGGAGATTTGTTCTCTCCCTAGGTGGTACCAGGAGGTCACGTAGGACTAACAGCACCCCTTTCTAGATGTGCTGGATGTATAGGAAAGTTCAAGTAGATTGAGTCTTGAATTCCTAAATAGATATTTCCCCCTTGTAGTTACTGTGCTATCAATATTTGCAGAGGTATCTTTTAGGGGTATGTTATATTTCCATCACAGAAAGGGTTGCAGCTGTTGTTTTTAGCCCTGCTAAATCCTGACTTTTAGTATGTGCAGGACAAACTTGGTCGCAGCTATGGCCTGCTCATCAGCAAGGTCCTGCTTTGAGTGAATGCATGTCTCTGTTTTGGTGTTTATGTGTGGTATTTGTGTCAGCAGTTGTTTTGGTCTCTGCTATGTTCTATGTTAGGACCTAGGGCTGCAAGGCTGCCCATCTCAGTGAGTTCCTAACCATACTCAAAGAGCAGGGCTGGGTTTCCTTGCAGTAAAAATCGAATCAGGCTGATTCCCTAGCCTTAATAATGAGCAGCCCAATTGGAAAATCTTTGATGGAAAAACTCCAAAATTAAAACAAAACAAAACACTAACTAACTAACTAACATACTTTAAAAACCCACTCCAAAACTGCTTTCTCCTCTTCAGCTTTGGGGAGTGATTTCTTGCAGCTCTTGTGCCAGCTGTCTGTATTAGTGTACCAGGAGGGCTGAGGCACTGCTGGCTCTCCACCCACTCACTCACAGTTTGTAGTAGCTGATCACCAAATCCCTCTTCCTTTCCCCCTCCAATGCATGACCTCTACCAGCCTACAGAGGGAGGGATTTGCCACCTGATTTATTCACTTGTGGATGCAGAGGGCAGATGTGTTATATTCTTCTTTGGCAGCTTGCCCTGTGAAACTTGTATTCCTCTCTAGCCTTTATGGATAAATCTGGTGACAGGTTGGCTGTGTGCTACTTTTAATGCAATTACCTGACAGTGGATGGACATAAGGTTCAATGCAATACATCATTAAAACTTTTAACCTTAAATGAAGGAACCCCAAATTTCAAGGATAAATTTGTATAAAATATCACATGCAATTATATCAAAACACAGCATTCCTGGTTTCTGAAGTAGAGTTTCAGCGCTTTCTGATTTGGAAAGAACGTCTTTCAAGGAGCACCAGCAAATAATACGTTTAACATTTGGGGTTTTTAATTAAAGTGCTTCTTGGAAAATGAGCTAAAACATAGCTAAATATAAGCACTGTCTGGTGGATGCCCTCCTTCTCCCACAGCAGCCATGCACTTGCCTGCTCCTGGCAGGCGGGTGAGGAGCGACACATGGCTGAGTCTATCATGTGTCATGAGCGTCTTTTTCTCTTGAAAGGAATGAAATGAGTGCTTACCCGTTTGGCTCGGCGTGTTTGTTTCCTCAGATGCTCTTGGAGTTTTCACAGTGTTTCCCATTGTGCTCGTTAATTCCGTCAAAGTTCTTCGGAACTAAGTCAAAGCAGACATCGAAATTTAACATCACAATAACACCTGCTGTGCCAACAGATGAGAAATGACCTAGTTTGGGCATCTCCAATTTCGTACAGTTTTGCTTTTGAGAACTCTGGTGTCAAATTCATGCAAGAGTTTTACATACTTGCTAAACTCTCACCACTTTTGTGCTTTTATCAGGGGAATAGCAGAAAACCACAGCTAGGGAAGTTGCTCAGAAGAACATGATGTAGTAAAAGTTTCCATTACCAGTACCTCAGCACAATAGGAAGTAGCAGCAGAGCTGTGCCCATATGGGCATTTCATGTACAAAATATTTTTTCAGCATTTGGGGTTCTGAGGCTACAAAGGATCTAATTAGACTGATTTCCCTGGTTTTCAGCACTGTGTGTGTATTATGCTGGTTTACTACTGATCACAAAGAACACAGCTTGGTAGGTTTGGGATTTTTTCTGATGCAATTGTGCCCTCAGCAAACATGGGCTTTTTTTTTTAAAGTAATACCTTGCCTAAAAAGTGTTTGATTTCAAATCAGTCCTCCTGCATAAAGCCAGCAGTGCAAATTCTTCAGATACCTGTCTTGAAAAGTTTTGATGGATGTACAAGAAAGAGTATGAGATAATTGTGGAACTAAATAGTGTGAGAGGAGCAATTCCTTCTCATAGCTTTGCTGCAGCCATCCTAATTCTCTCTGACAGAGAGGACAGAGAGATAAATATTTTGAATGTGGAAGGTGTATCACTCTATGGTATATTTTCAGAGGCAGAAGACAAAAAGCTATATCTATTTAAAAACTGTTCGTTAAAGAAAAATAAGACCACCAGCACCAGATGGCTAATTATTTTTTGAAAATGTATTTCTGTCCGTTGCCCTGTGAAAATGATAACAGGAGCTCTAGCAGCATTGTGTGAGTATTCTACATCTTGCAGCCTTGTCTAGCTTAAATATTTCAAAGATGATTACTGACTTGGTGTGCTGCTCTTCACTTACACATGCTAGAGCCTTAGGAGGGTCAGTCAGGTGGAGAGATGTCCAATTTGAGAAGTAGAACCACTGACATCAGCAAGACTTCATTGCTAATTGTCTTTCAGAAGAAGATTAGCAGAATTTCAGTATGTTGATTAATACTGTAAATTCTTATTGTCTTACAGACAGTTTAGGAAGACATCCTACAGAATAAAATGCCATTCAAAGGAAAGAAAATTCGTCCTTACCAAATGCAAGGAACTCAGTGATAGAACAGATGGTAGTGCACAGTGTGACTCCACCTCATCTGCTTTCCAAGCTTCTTAGTACTGTTCCCAAAGGCTCTTTGCTAGAATTCTCTATTTCACTGGCCAAATGGAACATTACCCCTTCACTTTATGCACTCAGAACTGGCTTGTGGCACATCTGGAGGGTGCAGCTGTGCCAGTGTCTTTCTGACAAGCATCAGAAACCTACTTTCACAAGAACAAAAATGTGTTGCCTGATAGGAGAAGTCTAGAAGCTGAAAAAAACAGCACCCTTAAATTTAAATAAACTACTTGGGTATTCACATTTTTTAAATAGGTCTCTTTATAGCTAACAAAACAAAAAATATTTTTCCATGTAAATGCACCTAAATTTCTAAATCTGAAACCAGAATTCACTTTGCCAAGCAATGTCTGCTTTCAAGATCATAATTTTCTGATCTAATTATGAGTATTTTTCTGCAAGACCCAATTTTAAGTTGTTGAACATTTTTCTTACTTGTATCCCATAAAGAACAAGAGGTAAACCCACAGGAGTAGTGCAGCCAGTATTTTGGCTACAGATATTATAGATATTCATGGCTCGTCTTCAAATTAGCCAGAAAAATTTCCTGGGCACAGCAATAGAGAGCTCAACAGGGCTGAAAATGTCAGCCAAGAGTGTGAGATAAATACCTGGGCTGATAAAGTCTGCTGAGCTCTGTGCTCTGGTAGATGCATTTTTGCAGTAATTTAAAAGGGGAGCTCAAATCTTGTTCAGGGTATAGAATCTAAGCTGCAGTTACCAAAAATGTTGTGCAGATCCAGGTAGATGACAAGAATGATAGCATAAACATCTTATGTCCATCTATAATTTTAACATGTGCAATTGACATTTAGATGAGAATTGCTTGAATTTTGTGTCCCAAAAGTCTGGAGAAAAAAAAAGAAAAAGAAAAAAGTGTCCTACCTCTAAGTACCATAAGTACCATTTAATGCTGGGTTTTGTTATTTGAGGGTGGGAAAAGCAAGTCATCCTACAAGTGCCAGCTTGTGACCAGTGGCCTTTTTCCTCCTCCTAATGTCAGGTGTGCCTGAGTCTCTTTGGAAAGTGATATGTAGTATTTCTGTGCGGTGGAAAGACTTCTGAAAATTTTACTTCAGGCTTTCGATCTTTCTAAAAGCACGGCACATTTCACCAAGGCACTTAGATTTTTCTAGATGGTGTTTAAGGACCTAAACTCTAAATGCTGCTTTAGAAATAGCTGAAGTGTTTCTGCAGGGTTGCTTATACATTGTTTACAATTAAACCACTGAGGGATTAAATACTGGACAACAGGCAAGTTCCTACTTTGTATTTTTGCAGAGCACAGCCTGGTTCCCTTCTGCCATACCAAGCATTGCTGTTCTCAAAGTACCTCTGAAGTCATCAGAGCATATTGTGCAGCTCCGTGCTGCTGCCTTAGATGTGGAATAATCTGGCTTGTGGAAAATGCAAATGTTATAAAGTGCTTCCAGTGCAGGGAAGAGCAGTGACGTCTCGGGCTTTGCCATCATTAGCGCGGCACTTTGCTGTTTCTCATTGCATTTTCCATGCTCTTTTACTGTCACTACCATTGGCAACATAAAGTCTTGAAAGGGACAGAGAGTTCAAGATTCTCTCCATATTCATGGCAGAAGTGCTCAGTGAAAATTAAAAAATAAAAGCTCGGACCCTTGCTGTTAATTCACTTAGCCAAAGTGACTAAAAGGAAAATGAGACATCAGACTAGGTTTTACTACTAAAGCCACTTGTCATTAGGCACATGGACAGAGTAAAGGTTCCTATTGTCCAGTCAAAGGTGGTGGAGTGAATGTTCTGAGGTATGACTCAAGGTTCAGGTGTTGAAAATAATACATGGAAGTTTTGTTTGAAATAGGGCAGGCAAAAATTGCTTCTACTTGTTTGCTGGCAATGGCATATCACTGTTTCTAGAGTAAAAATGTACAAATTAGTATCACTGTTTCTAGAGTAAGAATGTACAAATTAATCATATTTCTAAAACAATGGTGTAGTTTTCTCTCATGCGAGTGATAGAATTTGATGGCTTAAGTAGCTTGTGCTTTTATTGAGTTATTGTCAGCACAATACAAATCCATTCCATTGCTGCATGATAAATTCTTTTGTGGTTTTCTGAAATTTTGAGACACTCTGCAAAACTAGACTTACTGGAAGCATTAAAGACCTCATGAACCAATTACTTTCATTGAAATCGATAGAAGAACAGTAACAGTTTCATGGATTATAATCTTCTGAAATAGCAAATTTGCTACAGGCCCTGCATCTCACTTGACCTTATTGAATCATAGAATAATTTGGGTTGGAAGGAACATTTAATGTCCACCTAGTCCAACCATCCCTCCATGAACAGGGACATTTGCAATTAGATCATGTTGCTCAGAGCCCTGTCCAATTTGGCTTTGAATGTTTACAAGGATGGGGCATCTAACACCTCTCTGGGCAACCTGTGTTTCACCCCCCTCATTGTAAAAACTGTGTTCCTTATATCTAAACTTGATGACAGAGTTTGGGATACAAGTAAAAGAGCCACCCTTCCATCACAGAAGCAGATAATTATGCCAGATCCAAAGAAAATAATTCACTGAGGGTGATGTAGGAAGAACTAAAGAGAAATTATACACTCTAAACTCACTGTGTCTAATCTACCCCAAGCCCTGGGCTGCTGGGATCCAAAATCTACCTGCAGCTTGCCTGCTCACCAGCCACCTCCTTGGGCTTGCAGGAAAATTTGGTTTTAACTATTAAGATCATATTTGCAGTGTTCCAAGCACTGGTCCTTCCTCCTCTCCCCTTTCCACTTGTGCACATCGTGTCAAGGAAGGGTGGTCACAGGGCTGTTTGCACACACAGCTGTTAGGGCTTAGGGATCTTTGCTGCCAAAAGGAACGTGAGGAAATATCCACAGTCCCAGACCTGCTTTGTGCTCTATTTATCAGAACTCTCAGCAGATATGAATTCTTCACCTGTCAAGACTGGAATCCCACTGACCTACATCGTGTGACCCCAAAACCTGTGGTACAATTTTCCCCTTCCGTTCCTGTGTGCAGCACATGTAGCAATAACATCCTCTTGCAGAATTTGCTCTCTGAGAAAATGTGCTTCTGAAGCAGTTAAATAGCATGGAACATACAAAAGTCTGCTCCTTGGTGAGAACTTTGGAAAAGTTATATTTAATATGATTGAGAATTAGTTAATATAAAGAAATGAAAGTAATAAGAGGAATAAAAAGGCAAGATAAGCACATGAATAAAGCTCTCCTACAAGGAATACCGTAGACTAGTAAAATTAGAACATTTACCATTCCTGAGATGCTGTACCATATTTTATTTTTGTTTCCTGATATTCACATCTATATTGCCACGGTCTTACAATTTAATTCTCAAAAAAGTTCACAGGTAATGTCTGAATCTCATTTAGCTTGAAAATGAAAGCACTGGCATCCTGTCATTTTTCATGTGTGGAAAGAAAAAGCAAAACAACTTAGATTTCAGAAAGTATTTTTTTTTTGTGCATTTCCCTTAATTTATCATTAATCAAAATGAACATCCTTCCAGCTTTGAGGCAGTTGTACCTTTGCACATAGAAAGAATATCATAATACTCTCATCAAGGTAATTCAGAGACACATGCAAACATGAAACAACATAGAAATACCACACTATCCACACTTCTAACTCTTTGAATAAAAAGCCCTCTAATCTGTGGGCTCATATTTTGGTTATAGTGAAATGCAGTTTGTTTTAGCATAAGGTTTTGAGCATCTGTCTTACTCAGGTTTCAGTAGAAATACTCCTTGTCCTGTCTATCTTTAGTACCACTCCTTATGAAAAGGATCAAGGCAGACTCTTCTGTTTCTGCCTTTGGTGGTACTTGAAATCCCCGCTCTGAATACTGTCATTGTTAATGAAATAGAACACCCTTGTCTATAAATAAAATTGAAACATTTGGTCTCGTACGCAGCTAATGTAAAATATATCCCAGCAGTGATTACCTTTAAATGCTAGGCATGGCATTCCAGGTTGCAGTATTTCTGAGAAAAGCCGTAGTCATAGTGCTGCTCTCATGCTGCCAGCAAGGTTTAGCTGATCAAGTCGAGGAGCAGCCGGTCGAATGAGAGTGTTGTGAAGTTCACGCTGTCATGTAGAGCAGCATTTGCCAAACAGGCCACATACTTCCTCTCTGAGAAATAAGGAAGGCTCAAAGGGTTTGCAACAGATGAGGTTCCTGTTGCAAGTCACTACTGAAGGCACATTTTATCTATGGGCTGAGAAAAACAGGGAGGTTTTCAATGTATTGCATTAGGGCTGGTTTCAGCAGATATAAAAAATGAGGGAAATAACCCAGTTTACATTACTTACACAAAAAGGGTTTATTTTCTTTTCTTCTTCTTCTGAATTTATTTATCCAGTAATGCTCATATCCCAACTGTTTTCTTTTATGCAGTTTTGGGTTTTTTTCTGACAGACAGGAAGAGGCACAAAACATTTTTTTCTCTCTTATTGAGTCTGAATAGGAATGCAGCCTTTGCTTTATGCTTCACTTTGCACCCCAAAATATCTCTGTCTGAAAACAATTGAACAGCAATGAAGAAATATGGATTGAAAGCCAGTCTGTGAATCCCATTTTCACATTAGTTTTAAAAAAAGCAGAAGCCTCAGGATCTTCCTCATCTCAGTGTCTGAGATGGAGGAACCAAGATGCTGGCCTGTTAAATAACCTGACTAAGGGCACTGAAGAATGTTGTACCATAGATATGAATATAGAAGTCAAGAGGATTTATTAAGCTTTGCCCTTTGCTTTTATAATCAATATGGGATCTGAAAAACGCCCTAACATATTACAGAAAAATATTTTAAAACTCTTGACAAAACCAAAGAAAACAAAATAACCCAGCAAGCCCTAGCAGATTTCCTACTTTGCACCGGAGCAGCTCCAAGTAGGTGCTGATGTGGGAGCTGTTGTGTAACTGTGTTATTGAAACCAGAAAACACTGATCAAATCCCCAAAGCTATGCCAAAAATTGGTAATTTGGTAATTTCAAGAGAATACTCTTTCTCTTTGATGGGCTGTACCAGGAGTCCTCAGTTGGAAGGGTCAGGAAAGCACTAGGGAGCTTGATGAGCTAATCAGTCTAAAGCACAGCTCCGTGGGTACCCTGGCCAGTTATATTTTGATTGTTTAGGACTTTCTTGCTTTCTTCAAATCACAAAGATGTGACATGCATGTCCATTAATGGCATTCACTGAATTGATGAACAGTGTCTCTGGAATTACTAAAATATCATGGATTAGGGGAAGTCTGCAGGTGGGAATGGGCAGAGGCAGAGCCTTTTCCCAATCCTCACCACCCTCAGCCTTAGGCTGCCTCTGACAGTCTGTGTGCCTTTACAAGAAATAAAGTTACATCCTAAGATGCACTTGGGAATGGGACAGGTCTTGGACTTAGCAGGAGAGATTGGTCACACTTAAGGAGAGGTTGGACTTGTTTGATAGAACATGATCTGCTGGAATCACAGTAGATCTCAGACACTGTATCGTGCTTGTAGAGGAACAGATGCGTTTGCAGTGGAGAGTGGTAGATGGAATTCTCCACTTCCATGTCATCTTTGCCTGTTGCTGGTGGCTGGCTGCTCCTGTACAATGATGAGAGCTGATTTATCCTTTCTGTCATTCAGCTAATACCTTGTGTCAAATAGGATCATTGATAAGGTAGTGTGTACATCTAAATGGAAGAAAGTGCTTGTATGAATTAAGTGGGACTTTTTATGTCATCTTAGAAATATTCATATCCTGTTATTCAAGTCATTAACCTGACACAGGCACTCTGTGAGTCACTTGTGAGAGGAACATTGCCCTTGCAGGGCTGCCTCTGATGTCAGCAAAGAGGGGTTTGCAAATGCCGATATATGAAAAAGAAATTTTCCTTCTTCAAATGCTATTTTTGATATAAGAGAGAGAACCCTTGCCTTCCCCCCATTTTTATATGGAAATTACAGTCTAGTGGACAATTATGGAGGGAAAGATGTTTCTTTCTCAGTCCCCCCTTCCAGTGCTGGACGGACCTGACCATTCCCTGTTACACTTCCTGTGCTGGTGTTTGCCAGGTGTCTGCCAAATGTCTTCTTAGCTGTGACAGAGACTCCCTGAGCTGTTCCCAAAGCTTTCTACTTCTCCAAGCTCTTGAAGCCAGGCTTCATGAAAGCCTGGAATAATGACATTAATGTCACCACACAGAGCCCTGCAGCCTTGGTGTCTTGTAAGCACTGGTCACTATGCAGAATTGATTATCTAAGGAAAAACAATGAAGGACACTGAAAAACAACCCTGCAAGAAAGAAGCAAATAGGGTCCAAATTGAAAACAACTTCTGAAATAGTTTAAATCCAGTCTGTTAAAGAAAAATCTCCTGAACTTGTTGGGAAAGTGAGTCAGTGGTTGTTTAGTTGCAGCTTGCTTATTTTTGCAGGAAGAAAAGAGAGGATATAAACAGTATCTTTAATCTGGCATTAACTGAAACTGAAGGCACCCTCAAACAGAAATAACGTTCTGTTGCCTGTCCATGGAGTAATTATCTTTAAGCACAAGCTGCCAAGGAGAAGGCTGTGATATCCATTTTTCTGAGTCCCAGCTTAAATGCCTCATGCAAGATCAAACACAAGCCATGTTTTAAGGGATAGGAAGCACTTGAGCTCAGCAGTCAGGAAATGGAAGAGCCCTGGCTATCCTGGAGGTCAAACCAGATGGTCTGACAGATACTTCTGGCTGGGAACTGTGTGCATCTGAGCCTGGAGAGTGCCTATTTTTAACAAATAAAATATTGCTGTACAGCTGGCTCTTTTGGGAAAGTAGAATTCTCAGGACATTTCCTTGCTCTGACTGTTTGCATTAGATGTCTTTTGATCTCATTTTTGGGTGGTGTTACTGTAATTGCTGTTTGCATTGCCTATAGCATGGTTCAGGGCACACAGAAAGCCTGCTCTGGCTGCAGCCATCAGAGAAACCCCATTCACTTTGCAGGGAGTGTGTGTGTTGAGGAGACAAGAAAGAATTTAATTTTCAAGTCAGTTTGGGAAAAAACAAGAGATCGTGATGTGAGGAGAGGAAGCTGCATTTAGGTTTGCAGAATGTGAATGATAAAATCTAGTTCCCATGAAGTTTCTAATCATTAGATGTGTTCTGAATAATTTTGAAAGATTTTGCAGAAGTGAGCTTCTAAACTAAATGAGGAATCAAAAGACATTCAGCACTGCAGCTTATATGGCAATTGTCTTTTCCAGATATGTTGTGAGACAGGTACAGAGTACAGTGATGGCACTGTGGTGGGTTGACTCTGGCTGGACACCAGCTGCCCACTAAACCTGCTCTGCTCTCCTCAGCTGGCAGGGGAAAGAAAATAAAATGAAAATCTCATGGATCAAGATAAGTACAGGGAGAGATTACCAACTGGTTACCAGCACAGACCGGGAAATTAATTTATTTTAATTAGTTTAATTTACTACCAATTAAACAGAGCACGATACTGAGAAGTAAAGCATGATTATGACCATCTGGGATTTTCCACTCTCTCTCTTCCTCACAACACTGCAATTATTTCATTTAGACTCCCTCACTACCAAAACACAGAAACCCAACAGAGGTCCATATATTCTTTTTTATCATCTTATCAGAATAGCAGGAAGAGCTTGTGTAGGAAGAAATGGGATGGCCAGGATAGCACCAATGAAAGTCTGTTGAGCTCTGATGTCCCAAAAGAAAAGTTTGCAAGAGGCACCAGCCCCAGCTCAGCTGGTCATAGCCTGATAACAAAGTGAGAATTCACCTTCATGTAATACTGATTCATCAGCTTCTCAGCATTGTGAGCTGCAGCATTTCGTGGTATCTGAATTTCTACTGTGTATCTGAACTTCTAATATTGAAAAGAGAAATTAAGAAATGCTGGCAATGCTCCTGGTCCCTGAACTAAGTAGTAGTTTTTTTAAGGCTTTTACTCCCATTTTCAATGCCATCACTTGTTGCAGTAGATGCTGTTGCTCAACACTCTAAAGTTCCTCCTATTCCTATGAATTTTGGAGAGCAGTGTAACAATGCTTTTGTGGATTGTGTAACACAGCTGCTTCTTCTTAGCACTTTTGAACACTTTTGACTTGGTCAATGTCAAAAATGTCAATGGAACTTCCTCTGTCTTCCTCTTCCCCCTTGTTGTGGGTCCGTCTGTAAGGACAGCTAAAACAAGAAGTGTGTGTGGATTCAGTTCCCTGTAAATCACTTCTAAATGATCCCCCAGTGATGACAAAGTGACTAATGACTGCAATTTTATTGTACATGTCATTTTTTTAGAGGTTCACTTTCAAAAAAAAAACAACTCTGCTAGAACAGCAAAGATTTCACTTGTTAGTTCAAAAAGTGAATTTTTTAGCTCTTGTGTTCATGGGTACAGGAGAGTTCTTGGAGAATTAAAAACCAGAGGACTAACAAAAAGAACACAGTGTTTGTTATTCTTGAGCTGATCTCATGATTTTTGGTTTTCTGATTCATGATTCTGTAATGTTGATCGTAATATGGGTGTCATGTAATGGAAACAAACAGACCTTCCACTATTTCTGCTTCTGCCTAAGTAGTACTATTTTTTAAAGTACACAAGTCCTCCATTATTGGTTTCTGGGATTAATCACACAAATAAATTATAGTCTTACAGGAAAAGAGGGAACTTCTGAGTGTAGCTTTGTTACTCTCTCTGTCCTGAGCCCACCTGTAATGAGAATTCAGAGTTTAGGGAAGATTTCTGTTTAATGTGAAAACTGCAGGCTCAAAAAAAGAAAGAACATTAGTTCTAGGCAATACCAGCTTCTATTCTCACTTATTTGTTCGTGAAGGGTTGTTTGGTTTTTTTTACAATAATGAAGAAACAGACCCTGAATTTGATGTGCATTTGTAAAGCAGAGAACTGGTACAGTTTTGCTTGTATAACTTCTGCCCTAAGAGAAGTCATGTTTCTAAAGCCTGGAGCATACTTTGGATGCACCTTGGAAGGAAACACAATGATGTTGCTCCTAAATACTCTTTGAATGATGCCTTGTGTTTCTCTATCCCCTGCTTCCGGTCCTAGCAAAAATTAAACATGATTAAAAGTAGTAAATTCCACATCTCTTGCAAAGCCCTAATATTTGGTCTCTTTCAAACCCCAGATGCAAGACTTGATTCCTGAATATGGGTGTTACCAAAAATAGCAAACTGAGGAAGTGGCCATTTACGTGGAAAATAGAAGAAAAAGTACAGAATAAAGAGCAAATAAACCTTTTCTAACCACTCACAGAAAGAAAAGAAAATATTCACAGCCAGAGGCTCCATCAAGCTCTTCTCCCCTCAGAAATGTATTTGCAGAAGTTTGGGGGTTTTATTTTACTCATTGACTGTATCTTCTGCCAGCCCATACACATCTCTGCTGTGACATGAAGATTTGCCTGCCCAAGCTTTTAGTTCTGCCCCTGCTGTAGAGAACTTGGGGGACGCTTCTATTCAGAACCTTTTGCAGTCTTTGTTTTACTCAGTACATGAACTCAGGGCAATCTTTCAGGTTGTAGATATTTGAGACAGTGAAACTTTGCCAGCTTTTAAAATCTCCAGAAGGAAACATGTTCAAAATCAAGCATACACAAGGATGCTTTGCTTGGTCACAGTGAGTTTTTGGATCCATATATCATCTGATTTCAGTACTCTTTCCCTACCAAACTTGGCCTTTTAATAGGGCAACTTCAGAATTTCCACAGAAACTGACACTTTCAAAATTTGTGAAACTTTTGGAGTTATGATTTTGTTTTGCTTTGTTTTAAATGAATGCCATTTGGAGGTACTGGATACTTGACAAACCATGCTGAGCATGTTCAGATCTGATGTGGAAGAATATGTTTGCCAGATTAGTGGGTAAATATTGTGCAGCCTTGGATTTAATTTTTCAGCTGTATTAAGGGGGCTCATAATTCCTTACTCCTCATGAAATGCAAGGAAGCTCCTTTTCTGAGGGAAGCTCTCATGATGTGTTATCCCTTTTCTAGTCTCACTCATCATAACTCTGATGACCATGCTCTTCCAAAGGTCAGGTTAAAATACATGGTTCTCACTCCATGTGCTGGGAACCAACCCACAGACAAGATACTCTCATCAAAGATATGTTTCTTTCTCTCTCATGACCAGCTGAGTCAGTGCACCTAGTCAGCAGCTGGCAAATATCATGCCTTACAAACACAAAATATGCCACTGCAAATCCTGTGAGAGAATAAAACCCATTGCTCACTTGAGTTCTCATCTAAATTGAGTGCTGAAGTGAAGAATAAGACCAAGTGGTGTTTATTTCTTCTTCTTTAGTTCTTCCACTCTTAAAACTCAAGATGGCTCTTACAGTGGCCCAGATTAAAAAAATAGGTTTTTCCTTTGCTTATCTGGAACCATTTTCATCTCAATAATTAAGCTAATAACAGTGCTTGTTTTCCAGATCTATTAAAAAAGAAGAGAAATCTTTCAGGAGGGTAGTATTACTGGAAATTCTGCATGCAGTGAACTAAAAGGATTGTCTCTACACCCAAACCCAAATTACCTCTTTCTCACTATTTTTGGAAGTCAGTTTCTCCAGTTGTGAGCAATGGTATCCCATTAGTATCAATGTCTCTGCTTGTTTGAAATATAAAAAATCTCATGGGTGCTGGCCAGGGCTTCACAGAGTTCTTTGGGCTCCAAGGTTTGAGACAATTTCAATTTGAAGATTTGCTGTTTGGTTTTTGTTTCTTTTTAACTTGATTTTCAAGACTTGTAGTTATGCTTTGAGCAAATTCACTAAGTATGTTAATCAGTTCAATAGATCGGGGTCTTTCATATCATGCATCTGGGTTGTGGGGTTTTTTAGAGCACAGAGCTAATTTTAGCAGCTATTATCAGTAAACTGATGCAAATGTTTGGAAATTAGTCATTTGAACCATGTCAGAGCTATTCCAACCTTTCTGTTCTAGGTCAGTTCTTATCAGATTTAAACTAATTTTTCTGCATTTGCAACAACTAGTTTTCATGTTTACTCAAAAATGTTGTGCCGTTCTTTCTTGCTAAGAACATTTGCTGTGTTGGCACAGCTGTAACAAGAATACAAAGAGTCTGGGGTAGAGACTGGACTGTAGCCTGTGCTCTGGTTTTGATCTTCATGCTCTGGTTAATCTTCTGCAGTGTTCTTTAGTCTTTTGTTCCTACTTCCTCAGTTCACAGCCCTTCCAGACCTTCACTGCTCCCTGTGCTAGTTATCTTTGGTTTCCAGCCGAAGCTGATTTACACTCAGTGTGAATACTTAGTGCTCGTTTGTCCTTGTACCAGCATAGTCCCAAGGTAGAAATAGCTTTTCTTTATGGACATCACATCTTTATGGACCTGCTCTCTGTCCTTACATTAACATACTTAGTTTGTCAGAGCTATGATAAAACTCTATTTAGTCTCCTCTTGTAAAATGGGCTCTCCATTTCTTCATGTGCCTCACAGCACCTTCTTTATATCTGCTCCTGTCTCAATGTTTCTCTTTCCACCAAAGTTTTCAGAAAGATTTGTCATTTGGTTAGAGACATAATAAACATACATAGAACTCTTCCAAATTAACTGTGGCAGAGCTGGAAACAGCCTAACTGACCCTTCACCCCTTTGCTTTGATCTTTAGAACTCACTTATTTTAATTTAAAAGCCAAGGTTTTACGTTCTGCAGGTGGAAAGATTTTTCTTCTCATCTTTTGTACCTGCACCAGGGAACCAGGTGTTCTGACAAAATATATTGATGGATATGGTGGGTTTTTTTTCTAGGGAGGCTCAGCTTTTTCTCCAGCATCTATAATTACTACCAGGAGGGCACAGACCCAGGCAGAAGCCCTGGCTGAAGATGTGGGATGCCCTTCATCCACCAGTGAGGAAATTGTAGCCTGCCTTCGCCAGTTGCCTGCTCGTGTCCTCAATGATGCTCAAACTAAGGTACAACATAGCAAAGCATATGCCATTGACAAGAAATCAAAAAGTTTCCATTCACACAAAACTGTGGGAGAGAAACCTTAAAAAATAATTTAGTCTGAATCCTTGTGAAAGAGGAACTGGACTATTTTTGGTGGAAGGAAGTTGTTGTCCATGACATCCAGCTCTGAGCTATGAATACTCACAATTTGATTCTCCTTTAGACTAAATTCCTTTTACACTGCTTTAATCATGTCTTCTGAAATAAATCTAAAAATTGTTTTTTCCCTTCTTTCAGTTCCCTCTTGCCTACCCCTGGGTGTTACTCTAGAGGAGAGTCAAATGTCTGCAGCTTTAATAACAGAACATGGTCTGCAGCTTTAATAACAGAACTTATGCAGAAAATGAAGCAGGATGGGATGTCAGTGTTCAGTATTTGAAGTGGGAGGCTTGTGAAAGCTGCAGTATAAATAAATCTAGAGATGGATCCTTTACCCACAAATTAAAACACCCACCTGCAATAAATTTTTCGATGAGGACCAGCATGAAGTCAATCCCTAGTTTAAAACAACATTTTTATAAGACCATCATTTCTCTTTGCCTCTTCAGTTTGTTTCACCTACTGAGACTGTCAGCAAAATCATTGTTTTTGCCAATGACGAGTTTGCACTTATATTACCTGGTCACTTGTTCACTTGAAAGGAATCAATCAGTTAAATTAAACATAAATGAAATAGAATTTAAAGAGTAAGCTGAATTAACTGCACAATTCTTGCTTCTTTTTTTTTTTTAATTTTTTTTTTAATGACGAGTTTGCACTTATATTACCTGGTCACTTGTTCACTTGAAAGGAATCAATCAGTTAAATTAAACATAAATGAAATAGAATTTAAAGAGTAAGCTGAATTAACTGCACAATTCTTGCTTCTTTTTTTTTTTTAATTTTTTTTTTTTTTTTTTTTTAATTCCCAACATAGCTGCTAGCTATTAGTGGCCCATTCCAGTACTGGGGTCCAGTGATAGATGGAATTTACCTCCGAAAACCTTTGGCTAAAGC